AAAACGGAACGGCGGAAATCGCGCAATAATGCAAATCCCCGGAAAACTTCCTCCGCATCAGCCAACAACTCCAAAACCTCGGATGACTTAGGTGTTACCAAGGAAGAGAAGGAGAAATGGCAGAAGGAAGGAAAGTGTTTCCGTTGTGGTAGAGATAACCACTTCGTAAAGGATTGCGTGGCGACGAGCAAGGTCAGGTTAACGAACCTGAAGAGAAAAGAATATCCTTCCGGGAGAAAGGACCATGGAAGGGAGGGTGATAAGAAACGAAAGTTGGAGCCACGAAATGAGGCATTCAGGGCAAGGATTACGAATTTGGAGGACTAAATTGATTGGGTATTTCTATTTTTGCGGTGTTTTATTCTATGTTGTATTACGGCTTTTCTATTCTGTTTTGGGAGAAAGACTTTTCTAAGGGATCGGGTTATGTTATGTTCTATCGGTTTTGTTATTTTGCGCAATTTAAATTCCCTCTACACACATTTCGAGAAGCGGGGTCACATTCCGAAAACGCCTGGCGCATAAGTGTTGTACTATGATTTGATCAACGCTCGAATTTTCTATATAAACTCTTTCGCCCCGCGCTCAGAACAAGAACTATCAACATCAACAAACTCATACCTAAGAACAATCCACCTTACCTTATACTTTCAAAACATACGAACATGTCTTCACACAACCAAGAAACCCGCCTTGAGATTGAGATCTCTTGGAACCACCCCGCAACTAGTACCCAACATACAGAAACAGTCAACGCACTCCTAGACAGCGGAACAGAGGACTGGGTTATGTCCTGGAACTGTGTCCATCGCCTAAAGATCCCAACTCAACCTCGACCCAAGCCCCTCATCATCAGACAGGCTGACGGTACCCCTATGCCTAACTCCGGCACTCATATCACCCAATCTCTTACCCTCCGCGTCGGCAACCATCTAGACAGAGACATCGTCTGTGAGGTTGGCTCATTCGCAGGAGAAGACCTCGTCATACCACATCGATGGCTCAAGGAGCATCAACCTACCATACATTGGGGTCAGAACAAGGTCACCTTCGACAACATCAATTGTCAAGTGAAGGAATGCTTCAGGACCATGTATGATATATACGAAGAAGACCCAGAAGAGCTGGTCATCAGGCTGTTGAGGACGTCACCGGAGACACAGATGACGATCGAGCAACACCCCTTCTGGGCAAGGGCATTGGTAGGCGAGGCTCTCGCTAGTGCTATACCGATGGAGTACCAGGACTTCGTCGACATCTTCTCTAAGGAGGGAGCCGATCGACTACCTGATCACTCTGAATGGGATCACACCATTCCCCTTATGGAAGGAAAGCAGCCCCCATGGGGACCGATCTATGCGCTCTCCCCAGTGGAACAAAAGGCACTCCGAGAGTACTTGGACGAAATGCTAGCCTCTGGCAAAATAGTCCCCTCCACCAGCCCGGCAGCAGCACCGATCCTGTTCGTGAAGAAAGCCAATGGAAAACTGAGGTTATGCGTAGACTTTCGTGGCTTGAATGCTATCACGGTCAAGAATCGCTACCCCCTTCCACTCATGACAGAGTTGGCCGATTCGACGAAAGGAGCAGAGTTCTTCACTAAGATCGACCTGAAAAATGGCTATAACTTGATTAGGATTGCTGCTGGCGAGGAATGGAAAACAGCTTTCAGAACGAAGTACGGCCACTTTGAATATAGGGTAATGCCCTTCGGTTTAACCAATGCACCGGCGTCCTTCCAGGTCATGGTCAATACCATATTCAAGGATCTTTTAGATCAAGGCGTAGTAGTCTACTTGGATGATATTCTAATATATTCAAAGACTAAGGAAGAGCATACGACTCTTGTGAGGAAGATATTGGAGCGACTGCAACAAAACCATCTATACGGGAACCTCGAGAAAACGGAATGGTATAAACAAGAGGTAGAATTCTTGGGATTTGTACTATCAGGGAAAGGGAACCAGGTTTCGCCTAAGAAGGTGAAGGCAATCACGGAATGGTTACCACCCACCAAGGTCAAGGAACTTCAATGTTTCCTCGGATTCGCCAACTTCCTACGACGGTTCATCCACAGGTACTCCGAAGTTTGCCGACCAATGACCGATCTCTTGAAGAAAGGTTCCGTGTGGCGATGGAGCAGTGAACAGCAAAGCGCTTTCGACGAACTCAAGGAGACATTTACGTCTGCCCCAATACTACGACACTATGACGAACACCGTGAAGCGATCATAGAAACTGACGTGAGTGACTGGGCAGAGGCCGCAGTACTCTCTCAGATGTTCGAGGACGGTATTCTACACCCGGTAGCTTACCACTCTCGCAAGTTTAACGAGGCAGAGGTAAACTACGAGATCTATGACAAGGAGATGCTCGCTATAGTTTCTGCTCTCTTGACTTGGAGACATTGGCTGGAAGGAACGGATATTCCTATCCAGATACATTCGGATCATCAGAACCTACAGTATTTCACAACGACCAAGAAGTTGTCGAGAAGACAAGCCAGATGGGCCGAAAAGATAGCACCTTTTCGCTTCAGGATCCATTACCGCCCAGGCGAAAAGAACGGCAAGCCAGATGCACTCACAAGGCGCCCAGAGTTCGCTATGGAAGGGGGAGTAATGCGTGAACAACCCGTAAAACAGTTGCTCAGCGCAGAACAATTTGCCAGGAAATCACGGACCAGCGTAGAAACTGGCCCTGAAATCATTGGCAACCCCGAAGAAGGATGGACTCCGTTGGATCAGTGGTACGACATACCAGGTACTGAGCTGCCTCAGCCACTACAAGACTGGTATGAACAGGACAGACAATGGGTTCGGAGAGTGTTCCGGGATGAACCTCTCCCTGACGCAAACCTTGAAGTCTTCGGGACAGAGGAAGCTGATGCCGTAATAACGGAACTTGCCAATGAATGGACCCCGGGATCGAATGAGGCCACCCACGATGGTCGTTGGGTAGTGCCAGGATACGCGGTCAGACAAGTCATTGAAGATCATCATGACAGACCCGTAGCGGGGCATCTAGGAAGGGATAAAACCCTCGAGTTGATCGATAGGAACTACTGGTGGCCAGGAATGTCCACGGATGTAGCCAACTTCGTCAAGACTTGCGATGTATGCCAGAGAGCCAAGCAACGTCGGAGACACTTGTCACTCCCTCAACCCCTAGAGTTAGCCACCACACCTTGGACTGATATCTCAATGGATTTCGTAGTAGAAATGCCAAAGGAGAAATCAGGATTCCGTAACGTATTGGTAGTCGTGGACCGTTTTACGAAAATGGCTCACTTCATTCCAATGACGGGAATCAACGCGGAGCAGACCGCTAACGCCTTTGTTAAGGACATTTGGCGCTTTCACGGACTTCCTAGGAGCATTGTCTCTGACAGAGGAACACAGTTCGTATCGGCATTCTGGGCTGCGATCACAGAACGACTAGGGATTCGTAGGAGACTCTCGACCTCGTTCCACCTACAGACGGATGGACAAACAGAAAAGACCAATCAGCACCTCGAATCCTACATCCGGGCCTATACCGCAGGAACAGGAAAGAAATGGAAGGACCTACTACCGATTTGCGAGTATGCATATAATAATGCGAAACACTCGTCGACAGGACAATCGCCGTTCTACTGCAACTATGGTTTCCACCCACGAACAGATTGGTCAACGGACGCGAAAATCGGACAGCTGGATGCCAAAGGAAGTACCTACCTGGAAGACCTTCTCCTAGCTCATGAGTCAGCGAGAGATACGCTGCAGAAGACCTTTGACAGGATGGCATCAAGGCCAGGACCAGCAGTTCAGCGGTTCACAATCGGTCAAAAGGTTTTGCTGGATACTCGGAACCTCGGCGGTTACAATAAATGGTCGGATAAGTTTACAGGCCCCTTCGAGGTTACCGCGGCTGTAGGAAATAGGGCTTATAGATTGAATCTTCCGGTAGAATGGAAGGTTCATGACGTATTCCACGAGATGTTGCTGAGACCTTATCGAGAGGATCCCAACCCTGGCAGGCAACAGAACACACGAAAACGACTCGCAACACCCGAACCCCAAGAGGCACTCTTAGATGAGAACCTCAAACCGGTCACCAACACTCGGCCCCATACGCGGAGTCAAGGGTCAGTCATCGACTCGAGTCGGCCTCCGAAACGACAACGGACTAGGGAAGACTAGCTCGATACCTTTCCTACTCTATGACTTTTCCCACAGGGTTTTTATCATAGAGAGGTTTTAACGGTCGAGGGCGACGTCTAGGAAGGGGGAGTAGTGTTACAGGAAACACGAACACTGCTCCTAAGCCAAGGAATAAGGATAATACGAGTGATGGGTTGTGATGTGAGTACGGTCGGGTAACGAGGGAACCAGCATAGGAAGGTACCGAGGGGTGTGGGGGCACCGGGTGCAACCACACTAGTATTAGGCTGTTGTGAGGGCACGCTTACTATTGGGTGTCTCACCCGGAACGGAATAGAAGCGGGGCTTATGGCTGCAGGCCATTCTACTTAGGGAAGTAGCTCTAGGACAATAGCATGATACAGCTCGGTTACTGGCAATTGCGGGGTTCATGGTTACGTGTCGGAATTAGAATGGAGGAACGGAACTATGCGGGGGCGCCTTTCTATTGGGGGTTATCTTCGGGTTGATTGTCTTATTCTATTATCGTTATCTTATTAGTATTAGAAAGCGGGCCTTGGCATAGGGTCCAATATGTATAAATAGGGAAGGATTCCGCCTCGTCTTAGTGGCATCATCAGTCACTCAGCGAGCGGAATCCGGTTTACAATATTACAAGTTTAAAAGCTACAGAACTATCGCTTAGCACTGGCATTTCCCCAAACAGGAAGACTGGAGGAACAGAGTTCCAACCCGGTACAAAAGGTTCCACGAGATGATGAACGAGAGGTTCGCTAATGAAATACCGCCTCGCCGCCCCTATGATCATAAGATACCGTTTAGAGAAGGAAAAAAGTCCCCATGTGGGCCACTCTATGTATGTCCCGTGATAAACTCATCGTGCTCAAGCAATACATACAGGACAACCTTAAAAAGGGCTTCATTCAGGCCAGCTCTTCCCCCGCCGGTGCCCCTATCCTATTTGTTAAAAATGCTGATGGAACATTTCGTCTCTGCGTCGATTATCTTGGCCTCAATGAACTTACCATCAAAAACCGCTACCTGCTGCCACTCATCCGAGAAACTCTCGACCACCTCTCCAAAGCCAAGTGGTACACCAAACTTGACATTCGCTAGGGGTATAACCAGATCTGAATGGCTAAGGGTGAGGAATGGAAAACAGAATTACGTATACATTATAGACATTTCGAATATACGGTGATGCCCTTCGGCCTTACCAATGTGCCGGCCAGCTTTCAAAACTTCATTAACGATTGCGTCCTCGACTACCTTGATATGTTCTGTACAACATGTCTTGACGATATTCTCATCTACAGTGACACCTTAGAGTATCATCAGGTACATGTCGAGAAGGTCCTGGAAGCCCTACAACGAAATGGAGTACTACTCAAGCTGGAGAAATTTGAGTTTCATACACAACGCAGCACTTATCTCGGCCTCATCATTGAACCGAACGGCGTTAAAATAAATCCAAGGAAAGTGGAGACAGTAAAGAATTGGACCGTCCCCAAAACAGTTAAGGATGTACAAGCATTCCTAGGTTTTGCTAATTTTTACCGTCGATTCACACGCGGGTTCTCGGAACTGGCTGACTACGTCTCTGCCAGTGTACTCTCCCAATCCAATGATAATGGTATCCTTCAACCCGTCGCCTACTTCTCAAAGAAGCACTCTCCCGCCAAATGCAACTACGAGATTTATGACAAAGAATTACTGGTGATAATCCGATCCTTTGAAGATTGGTGACCGGAACTTGAAGGGGCTGCACACTCAATCACCATCATATCCGATCATAAAAATCTCGAATACTTTATGAGCACTAAACATCTCAACCGGAGACAAGCACGCTGGGCGGAATACCTCTCACAGTTCACTTTTGTCATCAAGTACCGAGGAGGGAAACAAAAAGGAAAACTGGACGCATTAACAAGGAGATCAGGAGATCTCCCTGGAGAGGAGGATGAAAGCAATTACATCAGAGTCAAGATGTCCTGAAAAAGGAAAATCTTGAAGCAAAGCTAACTTTGTTGCTGGGTTCTTTTTCAAATGAAGCTGCTGAAAAGAACGCCTCACTGAGTACACTATTTGATGAAGAATATAACGCTGACCAATTTCCACAAAAGACACTGGACATGCGGAACAAGGGTGAACGACATTCAAAGGATATATTACTCGCCAAGTACACCGAGGTTGATGACAGATTGCTCTACCGAGGTAGCATATATGTACCTGACTACGAGACTCTTAAACTACGGGTCCTCAAACTGTACCACGATGCTGTATCCGCCGGACACCCTGGACGTGAAAATTTTTGAAACTTATCAGTCGAGACTACTATTGACCCCTTATACTGAATTATATTGCCCGCTATATTCGGAACTGCCAAACCTGTCAACGAAGTAAACCCAACATATATGGGAATCTCGATGTACTTTGACCTTTACCGATCCCCGAATAACTATCGCAAGAGGTGTCTATAGACTTCATTATTGGCCTACCGGAGAGTGAAGGGTACGACGGAATCATGGTAATTGTTGATCAGTTAACAAAGATGCGACATTTCCTACTCTGTAACACTTTGGTCAACTCCGAAGAAGTCGCCCAGTTATACCTGTGAAATATATGCAAACTCTATGAACTACCCACACATGTCACCTCCGACCGCGGTACGCAAATTATAGCCAAATTGTGGAAGGGTCTCTGTAAACATCTTGGCATTGAAGCATTAATGTCCACTGCCTTCCCCCCGCAGACTGACAGCCAAACTAAAAGACTGAAAGGTATAATGGAATAATACCTACTTGGATACGACTCGTACCAACAGGATAATTGAGTAAAATGACTCCTTATGGCAGAATTCTCCGCCAACAACCAGGTTTCCGCATCCACTAAAGCTACACTATTCTTCGCGAACTATGGCTTCCACCTCCAGTTTACGATGACGATTAATACACTTGATAGGACCTCACCGAACCGCAACGCTAAAGACTTTGCTTTGTAGATGAAAAAGCTCCACGACCACCTACGTTCCAATATCCGCACACCGCAAGAGCAACAAGAACAAGACGTTAATGTCAAACCAATGCCGGCCCCGTGCTAGGATGTCGAAGATATGGTGTTTGTTTCAGCAAAAAATATCCGAACCACCCGTATGTCTCGAAAGTTAGACTAGAAGAAGCTGGAACAATTCCCCATCAAAGACATTATATTGCCAAATGCGTACCGAATCTATCTGCCTAGGAGCATGAAAATGCATCCAGTCTTACATGTATCAATCCTAGACCCCGCTGCAAATGATCCCGTCCCTGGCCAAATCCAACCACTAACCCCACCTATCATCGTTGAACAGGAAGAGGAGTACGCGGTCGAAGAAGTCCTGGACTTATGAGAAACAAAAAACCATGGCCTGCAATATTTTAAATGGATCAGCTATACCGACCCCACTTTAGAACACGCCGCATACTACGACAAAACTGCCACTGTTGATATATTCCATATATGCTACCCTGACAAACTTGGGCCGTTGGGAATAAAAGTTAAAGTCAAGGCTCGCAGGAGCTCACGCTTGAAGGTAGGGGCTACTTTCATGGATCGATTAGTTAATACACTGCGTTATGAGGAGCTTTATTAGTCAAAAGGGTTCTATCGAGTTCTATCGAGTTCTATCGTTCGTAAAGGTATGAGTCGCTTTCGATTTGTTATCGCTGAGATTTCATTAGATATATTAGGAGGTTTCATGCTCGCTTTTGTTCTCTTGCTTTTCTTTCTTTTGGTACGCAATATATTCTGTATCTACACTATCCATTACTAGTTAATAACATTTCCTATTCTTTACTCAAGAAGACCACCGCACCACTGCTTCCCTTGTCCCGTTGACCTTCACCAATGCTAGAGCCCCCCAATACCCCAATTGCGGGCTCCCTCTACCAACTTCTACTACTTCCTTCGTACCCTGCGGAATACTCGCTACTCGCCCCTTGAGAGAAGAAGATGACAGTGTACATTGCAGTCTCACAGAGGGGAGAGATTGTTGGTAGTCGCTTAAGCGAACTGAATTGGGGGATGTCGATCAACCATAAACGATGCAAAATAGTGTAAGGAACCATGGGCGAGGCATAGGCATAGGAGTTGAGGGACATCAAGGGGGTTTACCAGGGGGTGAAGACAGTAATGCACGCTAGGGCGCGAGGGGTGAACTCATACAAGGACGGGGAAGACAGCCAAGGCAACAGGGGTCTTTACGACCTAGGGGGGGAAAACAAGGGTGACATTGGCCACGAGGAGAGTAGCGATGGTCGAGAGGACCAAGAGGACAGTGATGACAATAGAGGTAGTCATTTAAGAACAGCAGACGTAACGTGACTTTGGATAAAGTTTCTATTGAAGTGAAGTAAATTCCCCAAAGTAATAACCCAAAGTATAATACAGGATTTTGCATAGAGAAGAAAGGTAAGATAGACAAAGAGGGGTATGAGATCCTTATATAACAAGGAAATGACAGCCGATAACAACCAATAATAATGGATGACTAATACCAAGGAAACTCCCAGAAACTCATAATAACTCAATCCTTTTCGCATAACGGATCCTTTTCGTAGTTTTAGGGCTAGGCTGATATAAGGTTCGTAAAAGCGGGTTACTTGGTATAACCCAGTAAACAATTGATAAGTTGGGTTGAGTAGAGAGTGTTTTGTTGCTGGCTGGGTTGTGTATAAGGTCATTTTTTACCCAAGTAATTCAATTATATCTTGGGCAGAAAAATTATAATTATTTCTTATAAATGAAACACTATTTCTGGAAAAATAACGATTTGACATAAAGATTTTTAGTGTAGGTACTTCAATTATACTATCATTTCATGCTCAATACTAATAATTCTACCCATCAAAAGGTACCTTTTACCTGGGTAATATTCAAAGGATTGGGTTGGGTTGGATACTCAGATCTGATAGGTTGGGTAGGCCGGGTCGAGGCCCTTTCTCTACCTGGGTATATTCATTGTGGGGCCTAGTTCAGCACTGATTCACTGGTATCATTAAAGATTCCCCTTGCTAATCGTCACTCAACAACCAATAAGTGTTTATTATGCAAAGTGGTTGAACACCTTCCGGGTGGCTTTTACAGACTACAATCTGTATATGGGATTTTAGAGGGGTGTGTAGACGGCGGGCAGCTTGAAAGCGTGAGATCAATGGTAGAGTTCATTCAACATACGCAGGACTGTAGCAAACGGATCACATTGTGTCAAGCTGCTAGGAGAACTGCTGAACGTACTATATCTAACTCGGGTGACTACAATTAGCTCAAGCTGGAAGAGTGCAGTTGTAAAACAGGTTGCTCAATACGAAGATGTCGTTGTCATTTGTCTAAGAAACTATGCACCACCTCATTTCATGTTGAGCACGTTGGCAAATGCCAAAACATATCAGAAGCTGAGACAGAGTGTCAGGAGGTGCCACAAGGTACTGAGTATACAACGGCATCAGGTGAGGACAGGAACTCGTTTGATGCGGGATTGGAAGAGAGATATAGCAGCCAGGAAAGAGAGCAGGCAAATGAGAGACAACATGTAAAGACCGGAATATTGGGGACGGAATCAGCTACTACTAAATGCATAGAGGTGGCGGGTAGAGACCAATCTACACTCAATCTCTCGAGTCAGGTTGAAGATGTCATTCATGTCAATAAACCTTGATGGGTATTAGGCAGAGAGGTGCAAGAGTTGTAGAGTACGTCTGTCTGTATATCTATACACCAGGACGAACATCTCTTTGTAATGAGTAGATAAATACATTTCAATTGTGTAGAGAAATAAAACTTACAGTCTCTGATACTGTCACCTCTTCTGACTTTGGAAGTCCTAGTGAGACCTGGCCTTTTGGGAACTTCTCAAAAGGCGGATGTCTTCCAGCCATCGCTGAAGCTTCCGATATGGCGCCCCGCCGTATGAGAATCTTCCCAAAGTAACCAACTTCGCATACGGACTAGAGCATATCTCATCCACTTAGTCAGCTTCCCCGTGGCTAAATCAGCAATTATGAAAGCAATTCGACGTAACCCCGCGTAATCTAGTTACAACCTCCAAGCTTGCAAGTTCACCACCCCACAAACTATCCCACACCCTACTCTGCAACAAAGGTCCTAAACATCAAACAAAATGACGAACGTGTACGTATTCTCCCCATAACCCATCGCACTGCACTTCACTCACACTACTACACCCCCGCGACAGCTCTGAGATCCTTGGCCAGCTGCGGTACACCCTTGATATCTGCAACCGCTTATCGATGCCCGGACACTCTACCCTGCCGTGTCCGGATGAGCGTCAAGCCGTCATGAACCAGCTCAAGGCCAACATCGAAGTACTAGGCAAGCTCGCGGAGGTTGCGCATGTGGAGGCGCTCATGGCGCACAGCCTGGCTGCGCAGAAAATGTGGGCTACCGACCGAGGAACGGTGTGAGAATGGATGGTAGGAGCGCTGTGATTGTGGGACTAAAGCTGTAGAGTGTTCCTAAAGCCTTGACTGGTGGGTTGTTGGTGGCGGAGCAGGGGAGGCGGGGGAGGGGGTCTACGGTGCGGATAGTATAGTACGCTGTTGTAGTCTTCTTATTTTGGCGGAATTTTTGTACAGAAATGAATACTCCTACCTGTGATCCTCTGCAGTATAAATTCAGGGTTAAGCGGGTACAGACACATATGTACGTGATGTGCATGTAGAGTAGTTGTGCGTGTACTTTGATATCGAAATTTACAAGCACCACCACCAGTAATAGATTGCCAAGAGTCTGGAGATAAAGCTACAAGTATGAGCAAGGAGAGCAGCTTGAGAGCGCCAACTTCTAGAAGCTGTAGAGTATCAGCGGTAGTTCTTACATCAGGCTTCATCACCCTACTTCACGGGGTTGCACAGTTCGATAGGGCGCACCACTTAGTCAGCCCCCACCGCCGAGTCTGGAGCGCGAAAGCGCAGCAACCCCGGGTAAGTTAGGCCTCCAACCAAGGAGTAGGAAGGGAACTTTGTATCACAATACCACAAGTCTTGCAACCTGCGAGCATCAACCCCCAAACCACCAAACACCTTATCCTCCGCCACACGACTCCAAACCCCCAATCCATCATGACACTCGGTACGTATCTCCCCCGGAGCGGGGGTCTTATCTTTTGGAACATTTGTGGCGGAGAAGTTAGTGATTGTGGAAGCTAGCTATGTGAGGACGAAATGGGAATGGATATCAAGTGGGATAGTAACGTAGAGCATCCAAAGATGTGCTGGATATACACACATATCCCGTGCACTTAGTCAGCCCCTCCCCCGTGCGGCTAAAGCGCCAATCATAAGTCGGAATTAATGCGCTGCAACTCGACATCGCGGATCAGACCTCCAACCGAGGCATTCTTACAACAAAGCTTTCTCCCCACCCACAAACAACCCCACAAACCACCCCACACCCTACCCTCCGCACGGCGAGTCTGATACAACAAAAATCAATATGAGACTCGGGTACGTATCCCCCCCCACCATATATTCATCACACTACTCGCAACACCTACTTCTAACACTGTACCCACCCGCACCAGCTCAGAGACAATCGCCCTCCTGACCCGGACCATCGACACCCTAGACCACCAGACCTCGCACGCCCAGCACGCACTGCTTTCCGTCGAGGAGCTCAAGTGCGCCCTGCTGCAGCTCATGGCTACGGTCGAGGCGGCGGGGAAGCCCGCGGAGGCCGAGAGGGTGTGGGCGGAGGGGGAGAAGGCGAACAAAACGAAGGTGGAGGTGGAGAGGGTAGAGAGGGAGACGGAGAGTGTCAAGGCAGATGCGGACAGGGCTTGGAAGGAGGCTGAGAGGTCGGTGGGGGAGACGGAGACGTTGATGGTGGAACTGGGGGGGCTGGGGGGTGGGGGGTGGGAAGCTGAGGGTGTAGGTGGAGCGCGTCAAGAGTGAGACGGAGCATCAAAGGGTACGGAAGGGTTAGAGGGGAACCCTTGTCTTGTTTTGGGAATGCCCGCGGCGGAGATGTTTTTTTGTCGTGTGGCGGACATGTCATTGTTTGTGGGAGCCAACTACAACCCGAGAATTAAATGAGTATCAAATAAGATAATACCGCAGAACATGGAAAGGTATTAGAGACACATGTGTATCTTTACATGTAGGTACAATTACATATAGATATCTCGTCCACTTATTCAGCCCCCCCCCCCCCCCCCCCCACACGCGGCTGACGCGCCAATCATATAGCGGAATGTGTTGCACCCCGCACACTTTAGGCTCCCAACCCACATTCATTTCGGCAACAACCCGCGCTCTCACATTCCCCCGGACCAAGCTTGCCACAACCCCAACAGAACCTGAATACGTCAAGTCTGAACCATTAAGATGACACTCAGGTACGTATCCTGCCCCCCCCCCCGGGGGGCCTAATCAGCGTACTACACCCACCCACCCCACCCCACGACTAACGACCCCATCTCCACCAGCTCTGAGATAGTCGCACTACTAAGTCAAGTGGCCCTCACCATGAACCAAGTAACCTCGCCCAGCCAGTACGCACTGCTCTCCGCAGACGACCGCAGACGCGTCCTCGCGCAGATCAAAGCCACGGTCGACGTCGCGGCAAAGCTGGCAGAGGTTGCACATATGGAGGCGGCGTTGGCGCGCGACGCGGACAGGGCAAGCATCGACGAGCGCAGGGACAGCATCAGGGCCGAGACGGAGCAGCTGAAGGCGGAGGTTACGCGTCTGGAAGCGGCGGCGGCGCGCGACAACACCTGGGAGAGATTCAGGGCCTCAGCTGAGAGGTCGAGGGCGGAGACAAAGAAGGCCGCGGAGGAGGAGGAGAGGGAGAGGCAGAGGTTGGTGTTTGAGAAGCGCTAGGGGGTGACGGGGTAGTGGGCAATGGTGGTCTTGTGGTGCGGGCGTTTCTGGCTGGGGTGTTGTTGGTTATGGCGGTCGTAGTTTTGGGAAATGAGTAATGAATGAGGATTGAACACGTGTAATGGTGCGAGAAGATATCTAGTAAGGTTGTGGTGTTGACCGAGTACCTGCGCAATCACCACCGACAGCTATCTGCTACTGTCACTGATGCTGCGGTCTGTATCGAAGAGGCTGAAACAGTCCCACGTACGTGAGTGGTTCTCTCAGCACCCCCCCCCCCCTCCCGTTGTCTAGTGGTACCATATACGCCCCGCTAGTCGAATATTTGTACCGGGCGTGTATCATTATATATCACTCGTCGCGAGAGCTAGGGTGAAAGGAATGAAGTTTACCTCAACTCTGATCTCATTGGGCGAGGGGCTGTGGTAAGCTGGTAGGTGGGGCCTGTGGGATGGCGGTACAGGTGTTATTTGTTGTATTTCAAGGGCCGCGGGAAAAGGAATTGGCTTCTGATCGTGAGTTCCACGCGATTTTCGGGTCTCTGAGTGTTGCGTATGTTATGTCATAGCGATGAACACTCTCCATTCGAGAACGGTCGTGGATGGGACCTCCTATTCACTAATGGGGGGTCAATTTAGCGTCCTAATCACGAACACACTGCTGTATCAGACAAGACTGGTAGTTATAGGACAGTGTCACAGACTCTCACAGTCAGTACCGGTGTCGGTGTTAACCTCGTGAAGGTTTGCCAGTACCAATGCGAGTGCCAGTGGTACTGCTTTGTTTTATCACAATCACAAGTCAACTAGCAAATGTTAGCAAAATGATACAGAACATTGACAGGAAACTTACTATAGGAACGTTTCATGGGTCGATTGGTTAGAAAATTCGGTTACGAGGAGCTGAATGAGACAGGAAGTTTCTACAGGTTTATACACATTACAGGGGTATGAGTCATATCGGATTTATCATCCCTGGGATTTCTTTGAGTATATTAGGAGGCTCTACATTCACTTTATATACTTTTCATTTCATTCTGCTTTATACGATGTCTTCTTCTCCTCGCTCACCTCCAGCTCGTCAAACGTATCGCCTACGAACAAAACTTTATTTTACAAACCCAATTCTACTCTATTTATCTTACTATCTTAAATATTTATCTCGCATAACCTTAGCCTACCCTGGTATACCATACCAAGCTAAGTCATTTTGTTCTCTATTCAGATATCATGTCCTGTTCTCTAAGCGAGAGAAACAATTATCAACAATGGATTAAGTGTCAATGTGGCCTCCCAAGAAACTTAAGAAATTGAAGAAAAGAACTACTCAAATACCGAATCTCTTATATTCACGAAAATTTCTCCCATAGGTTTCTCCTGTCACTAGGATATCAGGAATGTAAGTCATATTGAAGGCACCTCTGTCCTACTTCTATATCTCGGGGCCCCCACCAGGGACTCCAAGTCCAATTTGCTTTACCGAAACCCAATCTAATGTTCCCGGAACCCAGGCCCCCGAATCCTCAATTGAAAACCTGAAGAACCATTCTCAATCTACATAGACGTAGGTAAGTACGGACAATCATACACCTCAAAATATGACTACATAACCCCCAGCATTGTATCGGGAGATACTCACAATAGAATGGACCTGAACTAAATCTCTTGATTAATCAGACATGCTCTTTAAATTATCTGTGAACTCATTAGCCATGTACTGGACTAGATTGAGCAGAATAACGATACGCTTCATGTTTATCACGGGATGACCACCCTCACCTACTCTGCCGACGAGAAAGCTACGGAATTGGTTTGTAAGGTGAAGAATCAGGATGGCTTCACTTAGGTTGGATATGTTAGGAAGGTGTTCGGAGGATACAGTAAGCGCTAGGCATTTCAGGTTAGGTTGTAGGGAGAAGGATCGGGATCGGTTGTAGGATATTATTATATTTGTTTGATATTTTCTTAGGTGTGGTTACGAGTATTATTGGGTTATTCTTTGGGATTTATATTCGAAGCTTTGTTCTTACTATTTGTACTTTTCTTCTTTCTTCTTTACGCAACGTTTTCATTCTATTTGTTAGTAAAATTCTATTCTGTTTCGATCAGTATTCAGCCCAGTCCCCTGTCCTCGTCCTAGCACATATCCAAGTCAATCCTTGTCTCGGTACCTCTCTACGACTTTGTTATAGAACCCCGCCCCATTAGAATGTTAATGATGAAAGACTTATCAGTCAGATATCCAAATCGGTAGATGAGTAATTCCAAATGCATAATACTATTCTTCAGGTCTCCAAATCTCACAACCAACTGCAGCCCCCACAATCCATAGTTCCGGCTCCCACAATAGTTCCGGGCGAAAATAAACGGAAGGAAAAGGAGACACGCCCTAATCCCCGAAATCCCCTCACCTAACAATGAAAAATATCATGCACTAAGGACGCGAAGAAAACGTCCCTGCCCAGTCAAACTGTAAAATACTTGAAAGGAAGAAACCAACCAAATAGAAAGTTGAAACTCTCTATAAACCGGGATATACAAAAATCAACCAGGAGATTATTATTGAATATGACTAACCAACCAATACCAACCCCACTAAAATGAGGCAAAGAATCAATTCCAAAATTGAACATGCTAGCTGCCACTTCATTACTCCTCAGAAAACCAGCAGGAACAATTTCGTACGTGAGACCAAATTTGATAACATGAAGTCTACGGTAATCACATTTAGGGATAAGATCCAAGATTCTCTTCTGAAAATCCAAAACCCTGTCGTTAATATCTGAGTTAACTCTAAATAGTTCAAATTTAATCTTCACAGCATCCCAATCACCACTGGAGATGGACAGGAAGCAGGTTATCCCCTCGAATCCGAAATCCGATGCAACCACGGAAGCACATTTGAACTTACTCAAATCTCTAGATTCCTGTCCAAACCATAGTCTAGGATCAATAAAACTCACTCCTCTACAGTCATTGCCCTATTTCATGGATCGACTAGTGAATACACTGGGTTATGAAGAGTTGGATTAGTCAGAAGGGTTCTATTTGGTTCTATCGGGTTCTGTGGGTCGTAAGTGTGTGAGTCACTTTGGATTTGTCATCGCTAGGATTTTCTTGGGTATATTAAGGGGTTTTCGGTTTCGTTTCTTGTTCTTTTCCTTTTCTTCTTTTCACTACGCAACGTCTTCTGTATCTACGCTGTCTATTGCTATACAATATTATCATCCTCTTCTTTATTCAAGAAGACCACCGCTTCACTTCCCCTTGCCCCGTTCACTCTTACCAACGCTAGAGTCCCTTAGGACCCCTATTGCGAGTTCCCATACCGTCCCCTACTACACTCCTCGTACCCTGCGGAATATTCGCTACTTGCCCCCTTGAGACCCTACCAAGGTTGTTCACAACTGAAATCCTGAGACTGAAACCCCGAATGTTAATTAACTGCCGGTATTAACTCGAAGTATACCTAAATATTGGCCCGGAACAAGCAAAAGTGAAACTAAGAGCCAATGCAAGGCTCTGGAAAGTCACCAAACCAGCCGTAGCCCTGGAGGTTGTAGTCATGGCTCAAGAAGACCAGGAAATGAAGTCATGAATACAAACAACACATGCTCACTCACTCTAGCACAACAGCTGAACTGTGCCAAAAACGAGCTTACAACAAAGTCAGCATTAGAGGAAGCAGAACTCTGTTGCTCCCGTCAGCCATTGAGAACCCTCTGCAAAACACCTTGTCTCCCTGGGCCACAGGAAATCACTAGCCCTAGATAATCCTAGCCAGTCACCGAATCTCACCCGGACTCGCGGTCACAGTGTATCACTCGCCTTCTGCGGCGGTGCTGCTGGCGGCGCTGGCGCTGGCGTTGAAGGAGGTCGACTGTGTGGGTCGACTGTTTGGGTCGAGTGTGTGGGTCGAACGGTATGGGTCGAACGGCTGCAAAACTAAAAGGGATCTGCGGGGCGGAAATCCTTCGGCCATTATGTCAGTCTTTGGTTTCTTGTACTCACAGTTGGGCTATGCCCAGTGCCCTTGTGGGCCGTGGGGGGATGTACTTCTGACCTTCGCCCTCGTTTATATCTGTTGTTTGATGTATTTGTCTTTGTCTTTTCAATTCCCCATCTGCGAGCGATGCTGGGACCGGGCTTGTACATAGATGGATACCTAACTTGAGTCGTTTGTGTGTATCTATGGACGCACTAGAAAAATACTTAATCACTAACTCGAATCCTAACTATAGTAGAGCTAGCGAGGTGTAGGGGGACTGTTTGATGATATAGGATATCTGAAGGAGTAGTGTGAGGTAGAGAGGAGGGTGGGGAGGGGGGTTCGCGGGGAATGGCAATGTAATCATACGATGGTCATTCATTCTTCGTAGGCGACTACGGTCACTACGGAACAGAGATGAGACTGTCGTAATATTCGTTGCCCTTGAGAATGGTCAACGATAGTGCATAGGACTACTCTTCCGATAGACACACGTGTCTTAAATGGGTATATAAGGCATCTCCCTTGTATTCTAATCCGTTATGTCAACCAAGTCTCGCATTGTCTACCTTGTCCTATTTACAGCCAACTACAACAGAGACAACCTGCCATAACCTGCGGGTTGTATATATGCATGAAACATAAATAAATAAATATGTAACGATAGAGGCGGCTGTGGGTGAGTCGAGTGATCGCATATAAAGCTGTCTTGTGCTACCATCGGCTATTTACGGGACGAACACATATAAAAAAGCAAATATACCAGAGAACGAACCCCTCAGCTTTCCCTCCATTAATTCCACCACCACCCTTGAATACGAAACGAACTTCAACAGTCTCAACCGCATGTCCGAACGTCCTCTCCGCTCCACTTCGCCTCCCCCTAACCCGGCTAGATATCCGAGTCGTTCAAATATGTCCGGTCTGTTCGGTGGTGGTACTGGTACTGGTAGTGTTGCTGCCGGTAGTGGTAATGGTAGTAGTAACGTCCCGGGGGGTTCCGGGAACTTGGGATTATCCTTCGTCAGTAAGTCCGAGCCCTTGCCTTTCGTTTCTCAAAACTAGACCCGCTTTAACCCCGCCTGCAGATAAGAAAGACACCGTCGGCGCGCCCGAACCAGTGAAGCCGAGAGGGCTCTTTTCCACGCACCCCAACCCCCCACAGGCCACCACAACGACCGGTTCATCCCTCCCCACCGACGTCGCCGCCCTCCAGTCCACAATCAACACTCTCCAGGCCGAGCTGAAAGTTACTACTATCATAAATACCCACCTCGCCGCCTCCGTCGCCCGGTTCCAAGTCGAGCAGGCGACCTCCGCTGCTATAGCTACCACCACCACCACCTCCACCACCGCCCCCGTCCCATGCTTGCATCCAGATCACCCACATACCATTGCCTCTGGGCGCGGCGCCGCCTCACCTGAGGTGTTCAAGCAGATGAGCAAGACCAACTGGCATGGCCGTCTTGGGCGCGCGCACATGGCAGACGTCGATGCCTTGACCCCCCCCACGCTAATGGAACTCGACAGCCTCGTGAGGCGGAAGCTGCAATCCTTCTTCCCTCACGGCGCAATGCACAGTACTAACATTGAACCGGACCATATCTTTGCGTGTCTCGCTGCTCTGGGGCTTCGGCTGGAAGATAGACCCCGGTATGTCGGTTTCCCGATAGTGGGCGGTGATACGATCGTGAATGATAGCACGGACAAGAGAGCGAGGCAACTTACGGCGTTTTTCTATGCGAATCAAACTCTGGCAGACTCGGGGTACTGGCGTGGGGCTTTGTTGGAGACGTTACTAGAGATAGCGAGGTATAGGGGGCTGTTTGATAATGAGGGATTTCTGAAGGAGGAGTAGTGGAGGACCCGGGTGTACGTGGGTGGGTGGGGGGGGATGTGCAAGTAATTATAGTACCAAATACTACAGTATTCCCGTCAATCACAATCATCTAGTAACAGAGAGTTTTAGCTGCAGAAACTCGGGCAGTTTGGACAATAGCTCATGCAAGAAATAGGAAGCGCAGGCGTTTCTGTCTAAATGACCAATTTCCTGTCTAGATTTTGTAGCTAAAACTCCCCTAAGGCGGTAAGAATACGGTACTGGCTCAATATTCTTTCTAGAATGCCGTTTTAATTCGGTATTCGTAACTAAATTAGTTATTTCACACCGTTTTCTTTTCTCATATAGCATACTCGGTCGTTAATTAAGAAGTCGGAAATTTTAGTGGGAACTTGGTTGCAACGATATCCGACTACTTAATTGAAGCGCGAGTATAATGTGTCATTTGTAGGCACCAGCGCGCAGTAGAGCAATGACGTAACTGTACTCTACTGTGGTCTCATGAGTCGAGTGATTTCCCATGTGCGGTACTCAGATGAAATAAGGAAAAAAATCAGGTATCGAATTTAAGTAAACCCTAACCCCTGAGGATAATGCGATCTCTCTTCTTTCACAGGCGGGATTAAAGGAGAAACTCCCCTCCACTCTCCCTCACGGTTCACTCTCTACAGTGTTATCCTTCTGTCTCTGTATACAAACATCACTTCTTCAATAATAGTCTCAGCTACATGCCCATCTCGAATTTTGTATTTCCGATTATCGATGATACTGACCGTAAATCCACACTCTAACTTCACAGTTCTCCCCATGCCACTACTCGCTGATCTAGCTTCTTCATTAGCTCCAGATAAGGGTGACCCCAGATATGTCCACCTCCCCACTGTGAATTGGAGTGTGGGAGAATAGACGACTTGAGGAGGGTTTGAACACGTGACCTTTGTGAGGAATATGTTTATAGTGCAAAGAAGATACTATTGCGCCGCTAAGTTCCAGCAACAACTATGGGAGTTTGTTGCTCCTTATATACAGATAGTTCTTAGTACCACGTGATCCCCTGATTACATAATCCTAGCACTAAGCCTCCTTGTTCCAACTATGAGTCATCCCTTATACATGAGTAATTACCATACATAACCGATGTCGCAATGCCATATTTTTACACTTCCCCTCACTTGCCACATCGTATCAATTCTGACAATTTTTGGTGAGCTGGTTTTGGTAGTCCTTTGGTCATTATGTCTGCGACATTGTCTTCGGTAGGGACGTAGAGGATTTCGAAAGTTCCGGCCTCGAGTTGTTCACGTGTGTAGTGGTAGTGAACGTCGATATGCTTGGACCGGTCGTGGATACGTGGGTTCCGACAGAGTTCAATAGAACCTGTGTTGTCGGCGTGTATGAAGTACTGGTATTGTTGTTGGAGTTCGTGCAAGGCATTACGAATCCATACCAGTTGTCGAGCTGCGAGGGACAGGGCCATGTATTCGGCTTCTGTTGTTGAGACTGCGACTGATTTCTGCTTCCGGCTTCTCCAGCTGATGGCTGACTTCCCTAGTCTGAACACGTATCCTGAGAACGATTTTCTGTCATCTAGGTCTGAAGCATAGGAACTGTCTGAGAATCCGTCGAGTGTTCTAGTATTCCCCTTCGGGTAGAACAGGTTCCAGTCTTTGGTTCCGTTGAGGTATCGGAGAGTTCGCTTGGCTGCTCGTAGGTGGTCCTCGGTTGGACATGAGGAGTACTGGGAGAGAGCGGTAACGGCATGGGTGATATCAGGTCTGGTAGCTATACTTGCGTACATCAGTGATCCTATTATGGATTGGTACTCAGTTGGTTTCTCGATTTGGTCTTCCGGTTCGCCTTTGTGAAGGTTAAGGTTCGGTTCGAGTGGTGTACCAACTGGTTTGCAGTTACTCATTCCAAATTTATCCAGGATCTTATTGATGTATGCGCGTTGTGATAGTGTGATACCGTTGTTGGTTACCGTTATTTCTATTCCCAATATGAACTTCGAGTTACCGAGATCCGTACATTCGAAATCTGCCTTGAGTAGTTGTCTGATTTCTTTTCTGAATGGGGAGTCGGGTCCGAATATCATGATGTCATCTACATACACCGATATGTATAGATGGTGGTTCTTATGTATGAAGACACATGGGTCGAATTTGGCTGGGACGAATCCTTTCCGTTGAAGGGAGTCTGCTAGGCAAGCATACCATTCACGGGGTGATTGCTTTAGTCCGTATATGCATTTTCGAAGTTTACAAACCTTGTTGTCCTGCCTGTAGCCTTCAGGCAGTTCCATGTAGATTTCCTCCTTGAGTACACCATACAGGAAGGCTGACCTGACGTCCATTTGTTGTGGTATCCAACCGTTGTGTGCAGCTAGTGCCAGTAGGAGCCGTAGAGAATCATATCGTGCAACGGGGGCGAAGGTCTCATCGTAGTCTTGGTACTGTACTTGGGTGAAGCCTTTAGCAACGTACCTTGCTTTGTACCGCTCGATTGTTCCGTCCGCGTTGTGTTTCACTTTGAATACCCATTTTCCTTTGACTACTGCTCGGTTGGATGGTCTGTTGACAATATCCCAGGTATGGGCTTTGTCAAGGGCGTCTTTCTCAGTTTGTATCGCCTTTTTCCATAGGTGTTGATCGTCGCTCTGCATAGCTTGATTGAAGGTAGAAGGTTCTGTTACGAGGTGTATATGGTAGTTCGGGGGGAGTTTGGATACGTCTTGATATTCCGTGTCTAACTCAGCCCTATAACGTCTGAAGTCTTCTTTGTATTGATCGATTAATTCTTGTTCAGTGGCTTTGTTTCCTGGACCATTTTCTTTCACATCTTCGATATAACTTGTAAGTAACTTCTGTTGTTCTACTACCTTTTCGTCATACTCCTTCCTTCGTACTTCTATTTCAATTTCTCTATTTTTTCGCTGGCGTATTCGATCTGATCGTTTTGGAGGTTGTGGTGGTGTACCTTTGGGTGTCGTTGACACAAGTGGTTTTCCTTTGAAGCCTTTGAATGGTACGACTGGTGCTGGAATTTTCTCCCAGTTGTCTCTTGGGTCTCGCGGTTGTCCCATAGGTACGGCAGGTTGTTTTCCCTTGTCTGGTGTAGCCGGTGGTGGTTTTCTAACCAGTTCCGGTGATTCCGGGAACAATCCTGGCATTTCTGTACGGTCCTCTTCGATTGCATTTGACTCGGGTTCTGGATCAGACCTGTCTTCTGATTCGTATCCGTCGTCTGATGGTGCATTTGCCGTTTCTGGTTTCAGGCTGGGGATGAAGTCGAGTTCCACTGAGACTTCCCCTGATTCAGGAGGGGGGAATGTGACGTCCCGACTTTCAATTACCCTATGTTGTGTTCCTATCCAGATACGGTATATTTTATCACTGTCTGAGTATCCAACTATGATTCCTTCATACGCTCGGGGTGCTAGTTTGCTTCCTGCTGTCCTAGAGTTTTCTGGGATGTGGACGTAGCATTTTTTGCCGAATGGTTGAAGGTGTTGTATACTTGGCTTGGTTCCTTTCAGGGCTTCAAAGGGGGTCTTTCCCTTAAGCGTACTGTGAGGTAGCCTGTTTTTGAGGTAGACAGCTGTTGCGTATGCTTCTCCCCATAACGACTTAGGATGGTCCATGATCATGCACCTGACCATTGTGGTTACCGTCCTGTTGAATCGTTCTGCAACTCCATTAGATTCAGGAGTGTATGGGGGAGTCTGTTCATGAACTATTCCTTGTGAATCGAAGTAGTTCGTTATGTCCTTGTTGATGTATTCACCACCACCATCCGTTCTGAATCTCAGTATTGTTGTGCTATACTGTTTTTCGATCCTTGTAACGTAGTCCTTGATGGCCTTCTTTGCGTCTTCTTTCTGTTTCAGGAGATATATCCATGCGAAGCGGGTGTAATCATCGATGAAGGACATATAGTACTGAGCTTTCCCTTGTGACTGTATACTGAACTTTCCAGATAGATCTGAGTGGATTAGTTCGAATGGTCGTTTGGATCTAGTACTAATTGGTGCAGGTTTCTTATGTACGCTTTTTGATAGTGCACATTGACTGCAGTGGAAACTTTCTGGTTTAGGAGGCAGCCTTTGAATGTCGTGATACAAGTTTTCTAGTGTCGCAGGGTGGCCTAACGCTTGATGCCATTCATCGTAAGAGGTCAAACGAACTGTATTGCAAACTACTTGTACATTCCAAAGTCCCTTTTCCAATTTTGCCCAAATTATTCCTTTCTTTTCTTTTGTAACCAACTTGCTTCCTCCTCCTGACTCCGTTCTAAATCCCTTTTTGTCGAGCACGGTTTCGGAGACCAATCCCACATTTCCCAAGGTTGGGACCAACAGCACATCGGTGAGGAGTATGGAAGATCTACTTCCATCGGGAAGGTGGCAGCTGAAACTAGCGCTTCCCATTCCGGTGACAGCGTGGTTGGTTCCATCAGCTGTTCGGACGTTGCCGGTGTGAGGTCGGATGTCGATGAGTTGGTCTTGGAAGGGTGTGACGTGAGAGGTCGCTCCAGAATCAAGGATCCAAGTAAGGGGTTGGGAGTTGTTGTGGCGTACCATACAGATAGTGGTTGTAGAGTCATTTACTACAACCGATGCCGAGTTGTCCTTTCTCCTTCCCTTTCTGTTCTTGTTCTGTTCTTTGAGCTTTCTGCATTCCGTATACTCGTGGCCTTTGTAAGGCTGTCCCCTTTTCTTGCACCAGGTGCATTCCTTGTCGCTTGTGGTACTCCTGGTATGGAGTACCTTGTTCCCTGTTTGAGGGGCTACCTCATCCAGGTTCTGTAGTCGTTGGCGTACGTCTTCGTAGGTAACATCCTGTTTGGTTTGGATGTTGTCGACGACGTTGCTCATCGATTTGGGTAGCGAACTTAGGAGGAATGCCGCCATGGCTTCGTTGGATTTGGTGAGGGGTAGGAGAGCCTGAGCGAGTTTGTGGTCTGCGCTTTGGCATCTGGACTTGAGAGTATTCCAGTTCGCATCGAAGGTCGCGAGATGCTCGGTCAGTGATCCGCCTTCTTGCATCTTCGTGTCTAGGACGCGGCTGAGGAGGGTGATCGTGGTGTTGGGTGAGACACGATCGTAGAGGTCTTTGAGCGCCTTCCATGCGTAGAATGCATTTTCGGCGGAGACGACTGTTGGTTGTATTTCTTCGCATACAGCAGAGATGAGAAGGCTGTGCATTTGTTTACGAGCCTTCTTTATCTCGGTTTTGCTGAGTTCGGTGTCATTCTCGTCAGGGTTCTCGATGCTCAACGCTTCCCACCAGTCTACAGCGTCGAACGTTATCCTCCAGGCACTCGCCCAAGTTTGGTAGTTGGATTGCCCTTGTAGTTTAGGGAGTCCATCAAACTTGAGACGAATGTTACTGGTAGCTGTTGTCTCTGAGGGTTTAATCTCAGCAGCCTTGGATGACGATTCTCCTTCTGAAGGCATGATGTTGTTGGAAGTGTTGTTGAGTTAAGCGAGGTGGCGATGGTGTAGTGCGGATTCTATTTGGCAGAACCCGGGCTCATAACCTGTGAATTGGAGTGTGGGAGAATAGACGACTTGAGGAGGGTTTGAACACGTGACCTTTGTGAGGAATATGTTTATAGTGCAAAGAAGATACTATTGCGCCGCTAAGTTCCAGCAACAACTATGGGAGTTTGTTGCTCCTTATATACAGATAGTTCTTAGTACCACGTGATCCCCTGATTACATAATCCTAGCACTAAGCCTCCTTGTTCCAACTATGAGTCATCCCTTATACATGAGTAATTACCATACATAACCGATGTCGCAATGCCATATTTTTACACCCACCAACGTCCACTCTATAATCAACAGTCTCCAGGCCGCGCTCAAAGCCACCACCACCGTAAACACCTATCTCGCCGCCTCAGTCACCCGTTTCCAAGCCGAGGCGCAGGTACCCCTCACTCCTACCACCACCACTACCACCACTACCACCACCACTACCACCACCACTACCACCACTACTACTCCTACCACCCCCACCTGAACCTCTACTACCACCACCACTACTCCTACCACCCCCACCTGAACCTCTACTACCACCCTTAGCACTGCCGCTGCCACCGATGCTCCCATTCCATGCTCTGATCCAGAGCACCCACGTACCATTGCTTCCGGGCGCGGCGCGGCGTCTCCGGAGGTGTTCCAGCATATGATAAAGACACACCGGCATGGCCGTCTTGGCCGCGCCCACATGGTGGACGTTGACGGCCTCCCTGCCACAGCCCTCACCGAGCTGCAGGTATGGCACGTTTGGATGCGCTTACATTCCCCGACTCTTTAAAGATAGATAAAGAAAAGTAAAGTCCAAAATACCTTAGAGGAATATCAGTGGTGAGGTGGTGAATGATCTAGTATGCGGTTTAGTCTGGTAGGACAACAACTTATTCTTCTTTATGACAATATTTCATGACGTGATACAATCGACTATCAGACGCTGACGTCTCTGCAAGATCAACAGTATAAATGGCAGTAATATTAGAGCTGTTTTTGATAATCATGTTCGCCTGTCTCTATCAATTCGCTCATTCATTAATAATTATAACTATAATAGGGGTGGAGTAGATATTGCGGATGAATTGCGCAGCTACAATTCTACCCAGAAAAGAACCCGGAGGAACTGGTACCCATATTTCTTCTGGTTGCTTGATACTGCGATTGTTCATAGATACAAAATGCATCGGCTTTTACATCCTTCTAACCGCCTCGAAAGCCACAAATGTTTCAGAACACAAATAGCAGAAGGGCTTATTCAACCCCTTTATTTCTACCATCCTCCACCACTCCACCTCTATGGCGGATCTACACATAGAGGGTGAGCTGGAATACCCGGGTACGACGCGAAGTGATCAGAATGTGATAAGAAAAAACACGTATTAGAAAGTTTTGGCCAAGCATTAATTTTTGAGAAATGCTGTTTGCGCCCAGCACAGCGGCACCCAAAACTAGCAACTTTGGCCGGGGGTGGTCGCCGGCCTGGGGTTTCTGTTCACCGCAACTTTCACTTATCGGATTCTGACCGCTTACCCTCAGCATCTGGTATTACTAAACACTGAGATTGCATCGTTTTACAGCTCTTGATCTAATATTTTGGTTTGGCGTGAAGTAGTACTTTTGTTTATTATTATAGGATAGCTGAGAGTTAAACACAAAGTGTCAATAATGCTTGGAAAACGAGTGAGGCTCGGTGATCCAAGGACATTTGGGTAACTGGGAGTGTGCATGCAAAATAAATGGTGTATCACGGCCCAAATGCCCCCACCTCGCCTATCACCAAGACAGCTTCGGAACAGGGTTATTGGATAAGCATCGGAGGATGTCGAATATGGGTTACTGGTTTCAGTTAAGTGTCTGCGTCATATCAGGATATCCCGGAAGCACTAGGATATTTCGGTTATGGTGGGGGGGAAGACGTATCGTGTTTAGGAATGGTGTTATCTCTCGGGTTTCTCTCATGTTCTTCGGATTTCAGTTCGAATGTTTGGGTTTTGTAACGTGCATTATTAATGGGGGATTTCCTTTGTGTATTAATAGGGAGCTCGCTCTCTTGCTCTTGTACTTTCTTTTTCTTTCTTCTTTAGGCAACCTCTCCTTCCTGTGCCTTAGATGATACTATTATCTTCCTCGTTATGTGGACTGGTCCACCTGGATCTACAGACCCGCCTGGGCCAATACCCTGAACCTGTTCCCATCACGTCTCTTGCTCCGTTCTAAGTCTACGTCCCGTCCCGTTCGACCCGAACCCGTACTTTCTCAACCCCGAGGCGTATCCCTCGAGTCGACCCTAGTCCCGAGTATAATCCTGACCACGCCCCGTTAAATGGTAGATGTGATTGCCAGTAGGGCAACTACAATAGTATTGCTTCGTTGCAATGACACGCTTACTATCAGGTAGCTCAAACAGAAAGGAATAAAAGTAAAGGATTAGTAAAGACTTTTGGCATTACATACTCCTCAAAAGCACGACCCCGCCTCCTCCACCGCTCCACCTCCATCGGCCACACCGCCCCACAAATGTCCAGTTACTTTTATTAATCAGGTGACTTATACACACCAGAAAGACGCCTACGTCTACCTCCGAATCGAGTTCGCACATGCCTCCGCACCTGTATCCATCTCCACCTCCAACTTGCTAAGTTTTTTCAGGCTTGCAAAGGTTTGATGGTATTTTGGTCAAAATAAGACTGAATCATATTGATTTGGGGTATGCGCATCATTACCGGTTATATAGGTCCAGAGCCGGGGGAAATGTATACATACCTCGAACTAAAATTGGACGATTTTACATATGATTTATTTATATATGTACCCGACGGCTTGAAGACACACACAACAATACTCGCGGTGTTATTAGCAAGGGCGCATTGAATAAGTTGGCTCAAGTTGGTTTTTTGGCCTGCAAAGATTGCGTATAAAACCTTTATAAGCACACAGCTCGTCGCCACATCGATCTCTAAATCTTTATCAGAACACCCATCAGGAGTAGTGCACTTTTATTGATTTCTCAACCCATTATATCATGAACCGACGTGCAGATATCACTCGTCTTCTTCGATACATCATATATAGCATCTCCTTATATGTCTGCCCTGCGTTCCACGAGTGTGTAGCAATCAACCTACCCGACAACATACTGCAACACGCATATATTCCCACCTACCGATTTACTCACACCAATATGAGGTGGTCTAGCCTTTCAGCTTCTGAAACTGCTGTAGACTCTTCACATCCCCCTGGCTATCCCACGCATCCCACCACGTATCTCTCGTCGTCACAATTAGCCTCTCATCCGCGTGCCGCCCCAGCAGTATTATCCCCGCATTCTTCTTCTCCGCATTTCCCTCCATCCGATGCTTCAAGATGTAGCACTTATAACTGTATCTCCCATGTACCAGATCGGGATTCCCAGGCCGTCGGCCCCCCGACAGCAGGATATTCAGGTTCGACGGCCTCCCAGTATTATCACCCTCCCCCGTCCTGATATTCCACAAGCTATCAGGAATGGAGAAGAAGATGCGCGCCATGCGCCCGTTCTCGAGCAATTTCGCCTGGTCCACGATCGCCTCCAAGATCTCCACGTTCGGCAACCCGTTACTATTCTGCTTCGTGCACACCAGATAGACCGTCGCCGTGATGCGGTGGTAGAACTCGATCGAGGTGGATGAGATCGACCCGTGGTGGGGGATCTTGAGGACGTCCACGTGTCTCGGTGGCATGGGGCCCGCAATGCTGATGACCGTGTCGCGGATGTGGCACTCGCCGTCGTGGGCGTCGCCGGTGTAGAGCATGGTGAAGAAGGGGGTGCCGGATGCATTGGGGTCGGTGGAGGGGAAGCGGCGGAAGAGGGTGACGATGCTGGCCATGTTGTGGAGCTCGGTGTCCTTGTCCGTGGTGGTGGGATCGTATTCAAGGCGGATGCAGTTGCTGATGAACTCGTTGTGGATGATGGGGGTAGGGCCGACGATGTTGGCCCTGCCATGTACTTGTGGGATGGGTGTGGTGGGGTAGGTTTCGCCTGTGGTGAGGGGAGGGGCTGGATGTTAGCTATCGCGGAAGCCTTTTCGGACGCGAGAGTTGGACCGCCAGGTATACAACTTGAAAAGAAAAAAGAAAGAAAGAAAGACAAGAGGGGGGAGTTACGAACTCTGCGTTGGACTACTGATACTGGCATGTATGAGCTCCTTCATAGTCTGTTCTTCCCTAAGAGCCATCACCGCCTCGTCGATATCATGATACAGCTGTTGAATCCGCTCGTCTTCAATCCCCCCCCCCCTGAATTTCCCGCTCCTTTTTGCAAACGGCTCGCTGAGGATCGAAAGCCACGGCTTCCCGAAGAAATCTTTATGTATCTTGTACGTGTTCGTTTTCACAAACTTGCCCTTGTGATCGTCACGCATTTCAAACTCCACGTTTCTCACTGTTGCCGCATGCGGGTTGAGTTTGCGGCGTTGTGAGATTATCACGCGGCATCGGATCTTGAGTTTGTCCGTTGTGCTAACGTCCAGATCGTTTAAACTAAAGTCGAGATAGTTCCTGGTGGAGATGTCAATCTTACTGCCGTTGAGGGAAAATTTGAATAGGAATTATCTAGAGCCGGCAGGTTATACGGCCTAGCGGAGACTAAAAGAACTGAAAGAATATTTTGGATATAACGAAAAGTAAAAGTTGAAAACTTAATATTAGCAAGATGAACCCCGAAAGGCCATACATACCACGACTGAACTCTCTTCCTCAAATATGTGAGAGCTTACACGGCTGGTTTGTAAATTCTGGCTTCGAGAGCTCCTGCCCATAACCCATAGAAATTGAATACTCCTAGGGCAACTGTTACTTCGATTTATCTACTCTCATAGTTCATAGACTGTCGGTATTCTGGCTGCAGATGCCATTTGTTAAGTTGCATCACTGTCATAACACGGACAAGAAATAGGATCTCGCCAACTATGTGTATAGCCATTCATATTCCCTAGTTTACTCTACTAAACTAAACTAATCCCCCGCATCCTTCAGCCCCGAATCTAGTACCTCTACGGATACAAGACCCCATCAGGATCTAGGAATAAAACGTGAACTCCCACTGCTTTGCCTTATCCGGTGCAGCCCCTGCCTCTGCATTCACTTTGATTATGACATCATTACCGCAACCCCCACATGCACACCCCATAGCACCGATCTTCAACGACGGGTCCAACACATTCTTAATCTCGAATCTCCTGTTCCTTTCATCAGCCACCGCCCAAGCGCACCCTCAACGCACGAGAAGATACATACCCAGGTCTCACCTCCTCCAGGGTCCACCTCTGGTTGGGCCCGCCATGCCTTTGCCAGAGGAGTACCTGATTGCTCCTTCTCTCGAGATCAACAACAAAGCCGCTGTTGGCGTGCGTGATTATGTATGAGTCATTACTGAACTCTAAAACCCAGCGGCAGTGCGCGCCGAACATGATGGCGGCGTTGCCATCGACGGAGACGAGCTCGTGGTTGCCGTGGAGGACGTTGTTGATAAGGTACGTTGCTGGTCGAACGGGTGGGTTGTCCATCATGACTAGGATTGGGACGGAGGTTAGTGGGGATTTTGACAATAGGGTAGTTGGGGGGGGGGGGGTGCCTTACTTTGGTTTGGTAATTGTTTATTGTTGGCTGTGGTGTTGAAGTGTTTCTGATATTCTTGTTGCGCGTTGAGTGCTTGGTGATTGTAGATATGGGGGATAAAGGGGATACTTTATAGTATTCTTTAAGCACACTTCCTAGGCCATTAGAATACAAACCCTCTACATCACCTACACGGAAGGATTTCCCGCCTGCGGGATCAGACACCGGGAAGCAAAAGCCATCAGCTAGACGTATGTAGCACGGCCCTCCAGTGACCTGTTTCAACACAGTAATATCAACACCAGCACCTTCCAATGGAATATCTGAAACCGTTTGTGTCAACTGGAACTCCTAGAGCGGTTTCAACTATCAGTGCTGACTCCTAGCTGCCAATGAAGCGGGGGTCATGGATAGGGAGGCGTTCAAGTAAGAGGTTTTGGATGAGCTTCCAGCATGACAGGCATTCACGAGAGATGAGAACCACCGCAGATGGAGTGCATTGTCCAGGTGGTCCTCTGGGTCTAGAACACCTTCACCACCTCCCTCCACCCAAGTAGCAAAGGATAGGTGACTTTGTAACTTCGTGCAAGAAGTGATAAAGTAATTTTAAACTAAATGAGCAGTCTTTAATAAATGACCAGTCGTTTAGTAAGTGATAAACGACTTTTAGACTATATATACTATTTACTACAGCTACAGAACACTTCTCCCCGTAATTACCACTAGTACCTATACCAACCTTTATCTCTTCTACGTATACTGCTGGTAGTAGTAGCTATATTGACCAGTACAATAGTGAGCCTGGCGGTGACGACCGTGGTGATGATGATATTATTGTTGTTGATATGTGGTATGTAAAGGAAGAGAAGAGAGGGCGTACATGGTACTGACTTGATAGGAGGAGGGTCAGCGAGTAGTGTTTCCAGCGTGAGGTTTCAAACGTTGCACCCAGGAGCCAAATAAATACTGTCCATTTAGCTAAACGACTCCCTAAATGACGGAGCTACCTATCGTTGTCTTCTAGAGCTTTCCACTTACTATCGCGCAGATGGTTGGCGAGCTGACAATGATCCCGCAGAAAAGATGCTTGGTGGTATCATTTACTGACAGAGCGTTCGATGTTTACCTCCAGCTATTCAAAAGAGTGCACGCGATCAGAGAATCATTCATGTCTCGCAACGGTCATACCAGCGTTTGAGCCCTAATTCGGCATATGGTAGGAAAGGCTACTTATGGCTACCCGAAAATGACTCAAAATTACAGCAGGCCTCATAATACTTGCCTGAGGGGGAAGATTTATATATATAATTGTTACATCGTGGGACCTTGCGAAACGATAAATCTATAGCCTCGTTAGGCTATTCAACTGGTCCGCTTGCCTAATCAAACTTGATATCAGTACTGCTCAATGGGGCAATCTGTTATACTATTTTACTATGTCTCGTGCCGGCTAGCTCAGACAGGTATTTTGAGACCTGCTGTAATGATTTAAATAAAAAAAAGAAAAAAAAGAGTATCCGAAAATGACGTAAGCCGCCACTACTGAAAAGTAAATAACGTAAGCCGCCACCACTGAAACGTAAATGTCGCTGGTACTGTACACGGCCGGGAAAGGGAGTACGTGGGGTGTGATTTTAGATGTGCCGATTTAAAAATTGGGTAATCCGGGGGTCACGGGGAATCGCATCGGCCGGCAGTACCCGAACCTTAAGACGGATTCAATCTGTGGGACTCTCCACATTCTGCCGTATCTGTTACCATCCAATGAAATCACGCACTAATTATGATTTTGAAATTCGGATTTACTAAATATACCAAGGTACGTGTAACGCATAGAAGTAAATAGTTACACCTTTCGAAGTTCTCTGGAAAATCAGGTGAGAGGTTGTAGGAGACCTAACAAGTTACCATCCCTGGATGAAACAATCTCACTGTACTTCACTGAGTTTATTTAGTGTTAGTCATGTCCTATTATAGCTTGCTACTTGGATACACAAAATTGTTGACGATTTATGAGATAATATAGAAGGACCGCTGATGGCCGTGCAAGACACGAAACAGAGTGCTGAACTATTCACTCAATCTTCTTAAAGGGATCTAGATCCTCTATTATCTTCTTTAATAGCGCCTGAGATGCTGGTGTAGCGTACGGCTGGTGAAATAATCTGCAAAGTCCTGATACCGAGACTGAATCCTGGACACCATGCTGAAGTAGGCGGGACAAATAAAGCCTCTACAATTTAAAGTATTCGCTGAGAACACCGATGTAATTCTTCTTATATCTAGGATTCCATCTATGCGCCTCCAGTTTATTCGCATCGTGCAGGTCTGGTGATTCTGTATGGGTGTAGAGGGCAGGAACAGTTGAGATGGCTGTAACCCCAGGGGGTCTCCTGACAATACTAGGGCACCCTATGATCAGCGACTTCTCTCATCTGATTGTTTGTCCATGACATTCTGCTAAGAGTAATTTGAAGTATGAGCTGCTTTACCGCCGGGGAAGGAATTCTACAACCCGGTGACGAGAGCTCCCACGAGATAGTGTAACTCGCCATCGAACAAGCTTACCCTCTTAACTTTTAAAGACTTTTGATGAACCTATTAAAGAACCATCAACTAGAATATTTCGTTCTTAGAATGGCTGTCAAGACATACCTCCAACTAATGGACTGGTATCTTGGGTAGAGGGTTTGATTTAAATTCCCCCTCTGTTAAATATGCGATTGTTTTCACGCAGATGTGCAGAGCGCCTCAGGGGTACGTATGTTTCTCTTGAAGCGTCTAGTATGTAGTTATACAAGCCGAACTCATCACCTGTGAATGTTCACATATAGAGAAAATATTATCTTGTAATATTGTGCTGGTCATGATCAGGAAAGTATCATTACCCAGACCCCGCAATGATCTAACCCGTGTAAGCTTTAGGATTGACCCAACGTAACCAACCCACATTCTCGACTTTCTCACTCATACTCGATCCAACCCAACCTGCAATACTCAGCTAATACGTAATGGGTAAATTGGGAGATATTTTGTCTAATTTCAGTCAGTACTGAATCAATTGAACATTTTCGCACTCAGCAGGGATCTTCACTTTCCCCGAATTCCCTCATTTGTAGTGACCATAGATCATCACTCGACCTATGAGCAGCGGAATATATTTCTGTAATGTCTTCTAGTAGTACAGCGATAGGTAATAAGTGATGGAACAGTTATACCTAAAAACAGCGCATGTTGGTGGCGTTTTACCCAGAACGGGTATCACAGTGTCTCACGCCGTCCCACCACTTATTACCTACCGCTGTACAGGAGGGAATTTAATAGCCCTTATATAATAACAATTTCCGTGGCAGAGAGCTAGTAGTGACATAATACAGTGATGGTCTAAACCTCTGCCACAAATATTACAGCCAGGATATGTTTTCCCAGGCTCGTACATAATTCCAACACTATCATTACCCATATCGAAAGCAGTTGTACCCATCCCAACCCATGGTCTCATTTCTTCTCACCCAGCCGAAACAGAGATAAATAACCCGGGTTAACCCAATTAACCCATCACCAGCCAATTGCGGGGTCTGTCATTATATTACCTATTACCCCTCGCCATGCTAATTATATCTTACGAGGGTGGAATGGCGTAGGCCATTGGCTACGAAAAACCCAGAGAATGGAAGGACAGAGATGGATATGATATATGATGCGGTGATCCAATTTTCTGCGATCCGTCTGGTGGGATAGGGCTGCAGCGTCAGGGTCAGTGTGGTCAGTGGATGTCCCAGGGTTAGGGTTGAGATTGGCGTCAGTCGGATAAAACATCGATTGTGGGACCTACTGTAACTACGAATAGGCTCAAAGCACTTTTGGTTTGCTTGATATTGGCGCTCCTTTATTGACAAATAATACTTTGTCGCGACGTTCTAACCCTTAAGGAGGGGTGTTCTCGAGTGCCGACCGCCACACCAGCACGTTTTTGAAATATAGGCACAGTCTGTCCGTTGGCTAAAGTAAGTCTGTACTCACAAGAAAGAGCCTTCAATATTGAACCGGATCCCATTATGAAAAAAGTTCAACGAAAGATTATACAATAAACAACCCACAAAAACATGAATTGAGACGCCGTCTCCTCCGCGGGTCTCAAAAATCTATACCTAAATTCCCAGGACTACTTGAGATGCGGGGCTATATTAATAGATCAATTGAATACCTACAATATCAACTCCTTCCTCTCTATTCCAAGAAATCGTGATAACCCGCCGTAATAAATGAATAGTACTTGTTCAAAACCCACCTCAATCCATATATATCGTGGCTGGACCTAATCGTAAATCTTGTCGAATGCGGTGCTTTCTACGCAAAAACGTGAAATCGGGAACTCCCTGATTGAATCTAACGTTTCGTCTTTCAGGGGGACCCAGTTACTGAAGCAATACGTCCCTAGAGCCATCTCTCGAACAATTTGGCCTAGAACTGAAATGGTGCTCTTGATAGCGCGTTAACGTCCGGCGTCGTTCTTGAGCCTCCAATAAGACTTTCTCTAACTTCAAGTCTATCTCGACGCTCGATTTTGATTTTCCCCACATCCATTTCGTGGCGTACTGAATGGCGGTATCGCCGCCTCGATCTGCTTTCTCGAACGATGCTCCATGCTCAATCAACATCTCGCACACTGTGATATCAGTATCATGCGACGCGAAATATCTAATCAAGGCAATATGTAACGGTGTCCGGCCATAATCATCTATGGCCATGACGTCGGCCGATTTGTTGAGAAGCAACTTGACTGCCATAGGACTACTCCAACTAATTGCCTCATGCAGCGCTGTTCGACCAAAACGATTTCTAGTCTCTAAATTTGGGCCTTTCTCTAATACACGTTCTAATATGCTCAGATCGTACAGTTGCGCGGCAAACATAAGGGCGTTATTTCCGTCTGCATCCGTTTTCGAAATTGACGACCCAGAGTCGAGTAGAAAGCGAGCTATCACCAAGTCCGATTCTCTTTTTTCCGAGTTCTGAGGCTTGATGGTCTGTAGTAACACAGTTCCCCTTTGGGTGCTGGACCCAGGCAATGTCACCGTGATGGTGGTGAAATCAGTCGCGGTAGTCCCGTTGCCATGGGGTGTTCCGGAAACATTATAGAAATGTCAAAGATGGCAAAGATACGACCATCGCCAGCTGCAGTTCTCCAAACTAGTTTTATTTTGTTTTGTTTTTATTAAGTTTTTTTCAATTATTACTATCGCATTTTCGGTATACTACTATTCGCTGTGCTATTTTTTTATGTAGTACGGAGGTCTCCTAAGCTTAAGCTGCAGGTTTGCAATTTGGTGTGTCGCGGCGTTGCCAAATCGCCAAATCGCCAAATCGCTAAATCGCCAAACCCATGCCAGTCATTGCACTTTTGTAGGTATGAGCCGCCGTAGTTGACGGTGTTGAAGACAAAATTTGGCTAGAACATAGCGCCCGGGTGATTTTGCAAACTCAGATTTCGGAAGTTACCCAGTAGTACTAGGCACAGACCAACAGTATCCGCCGATTAGTTAGGCAATCATTCTACCGAAGGTGCGTTAGCTGCCACGCGCGACGCTATCTTCCCGTTGTCCAACGATATTAGAGACTTTTAGCCAGCACCTTAAAGCAACGAACAAAAAATTATTTATTCCCAAGACTTCCAAGGCATGCAAGTTGGATGTGATATAATATTTTCGACTGCAAGACTCAAGGATACGCCTAAAGATATTTTCAATCCCAATGCCTAAGATTCCCCTCTCGGAGTAATTTTGAGACTATGCGGGCCAAGGAACTAACGCATGCAGAATGGTCTTGAGAATTAATAATTTTTCGTTTGTGGATTTTTTGTTGCTGGTGGCTAAAAGTCTCTATTCCTTTCCCCAGGCAATTTAACCCTCCCTGCAGTTATGCAGGTACAAACCAGCCACTTACTGGTTATTCTTGAAGATAAATGAAACTCGATCCAGCTATGTCTCGTCGCTCGTCCCGTGCCTCCCTGGCGCCATTTCGGGGAAGGCTGTTCATGTCGGCTGTCAACCCTGTCTGAGCCCTATATCCTAGGTTCCTCCCAAGCTCAGGCGGATCATGCAGCAGCCTAGGACGGAAAAGCGCCCATCTGAATTAAGCTCTTCCTTACTGACCTTGAGGTAAGTAGACGTTGAAGAACCCCCTCCGGCATAGCTTCTTGTAGGACTGCCTAACTAGTTTCTGGCCCGCCACCCCCCAGAGCCCCGGGAGCCACCGCGGGACCAATCTCATTGCATTTTCAACCTCCGCGTGATCCGCCCGAAATTATCATTAAGCCTACCCCATATTCATGACCACATGTAGCTATATATTTTACTGTAAATATTTGCTGCGCCCCTCACTCTTTTTCAAGTGGGTTTATGATTACAATAAGGTTATCCTTATCAGATCGAGGTTTATTGATCTCCATTGTTATCATAGCCATGAAGTACCACCTTCACGCCTTTTTCTTTTGACCAGAATGCTAGCTTATGTTTGGATGGTCTACGCAGGGCGAATCCTTCCCCACATAGTAAACACATAACCTCAATGACTCACTCACCAAGTCCAATTACTATCTATCCAAACGCCGTCCTGATCTCTACGACATCATTTCATTAGCACATCAGTCCTGCTACCCTATCTCTTATATATCTTGAAATCTTCAGACTACGGAAACAGGGGCCAGCTCATGGGTGCCTATTCAATCACCGTTTTATCCATATTCCCAATGAAAGAGGCGACCGGCTATCCGAGGCTGGTCTGGTCTTCCATAGTCCCGGCCGTTGTCTCTGTCCTATGGTTAACCAAGCTTATTGGTGTGTCACGTGACTAACAGTAGATGACTGGATGCTGTTCGCGTATAACTTGCTTGCCTATTTGTAGATACAAACATAGAGTCTGGATATACTAGGATAAAGAGGCCGTGGGTGCGTGGGCGACCGCTTTTCCTAGTGGTTTTCCAACCCTGACCCTGACCCTGACCCTGACCCTGAATCCGTAGTTCCTACCACAACTGCAACTGTACGTCCATAGTATGCACGATTTATCCCTTTGTCTGTCAATTGCTGACCCCTATAACAGAGGGCGGAGGTTTGTATTGGAGATCTATTATCTGATAAGAAAGATAACGAGATCTGTTAGCAAAAACCACTAGCTAGCCTTTTCTTTTTCCTGGGCGTCAGCATTTTGGTGGCAGACGGAGGGATAACCCTTCCTTACAAGCACTTATGTCCACCAAATGAGACATCAGAGGCATATATACAGAACACGGCAAATGAGTCTTGATAGCCCTTTCCACACGATGGGGATGTACAACCAAGTTTGCAAAACATGTACAAAGAACAGTACAAAGAAGACGCAGTGCATTAGGATGACTACCCCATATCCCACGCCGCTCCACACCTCACCCGAACTACGGTGAAAGACCTCACCATCCCCCCAATCGAGAATATCTGGCCCTCAAACTACGGCCAACACGGATCCGCCGCGTTATTACAGCTATTCCTCGGCCCATAAGTACAGCAACGCCCAGTCGGTGCTACACATCGTCGTTCCCGTTAGCGCCCTCCCACAAAACTCGATCAAGGGGACGACTTACCGCACTCATATATCCATCCCCTGTAGTCAACACTAGGGTCACTACCCCCCTTGGTGACATACTTGCACCCCCAGCAGTACTGGCTCGGGTGGATGCCGGGAACGCACTCGCAGCCGTTTATGCTGCATTGCCGCTTCTCGAGGGGGCCCCCGAGGGGGGCGGGGGTAGCAACTGTAAGTTGCGCGAGCATGCAGAGGAAGTCAATGAGGAGGAGGTTTAGGAAGTGCATTGTTGGTCTTGGTGTGTATCTGTGTATTGTATGTCGCTGATTTTGAGATGAGAGCTCTCCTGATGGTAATGGTGGGAGAGAGCGGTGGGCGGACATTAAAGGTTTTAATATCCTTTGAGAGGAGCCGCAGAGGAGCCTTTGCTAAGACACGTGAAAGGGAGCCAACCATGGATCTCTGCTAGATGTGCTTTTTCTGCACCTTTTGATCGCCTATCATTTTTGCACATTTATGCACAAATGCACTGACACCTCGTATTGCACGTCAATTACCACTTACAAGAGCAATAGCAGGCTTTCAAGTCGGTGAAAGAGCAAAGCTAGCATGTGTTTCCAGAGGATCCAAAGCGCCACCTTTTCTAGCAAATAGCCACTAACGTCACGACGGAGATAATCTGGCGCTCGAGTACATACAAGCCTCCACCGGCGCGGAGAGCGCGCTGCTCCAGGGGCTATGGGGAGTGGAGGCGCTGCGCGGTGGCGTCGGCGCAAACACAGACGAGGCTTCGCGCCTGGGGATGTCACAGCCAGAGGCCGACGCAACGTGGACGGCGTACCGCTGCTGGGGGAAGGGAGGTGTGGCGGCGGGGGCGGCGGACGGATGTGGAGTCGGTGTTTTTGCTCGCGGAGGTACGGGTGAAGTTGTTTCGCGGAGTGAGTTATGGGCACTACATGCGGGATGCCGGGCAAAGGGGGGAGGAGACGGATGGTGCACGTGTGTTGCGCGCCGCGCCGGAGATGGTGTATGCGCTGACGCTTGGGGGGATGGGGGAGTATGTGGCGTTTCCCGGCGGTGGAGGTGAGGGCGGTGAGGGCGGTGCGAGCGGGCTGGGGGGCGGCGGGTTGGGGGCATTGGCGGCGGGGGAGCTGGGTGTACGAGGCCGGGGGGACGGTGGAGTGGGAACTGGGAGATAGTGAGGACGTGGGCGCATCGATATGTTCAGGTGCTGGTGGCGGTAATATGGTCTCCCTGATTCAATATTTCATTTCGAATGAAACAAACGTCTCTTCGCGAATTAACTCTGATCATGATACGAGAAACACTTGTAATTAGTGGGAGTGTATACAGGTTGCGGACTACGTTTTGAGGATCTATATATCGTTGTCGATCGAGTGCGTCCGGAGTGGAATGGAGACATTGGCTAATTATAATGGACTGTATGGGGGCTTGCGTTTTTCTTTTTCTTTTTGTGATGCGGATTATTTAACTAATTTGGTGACTTTGGGTTCAACGATCGATATCTGGGCTTTTAATTGCTCTGAGTACTTTTTCCATGTACTGCACTACGGTCTTCTCTCGCTTTGTCGTCTGGGCCAGGACAGGTCCATAGTATTCCTCTTCTTCTGTGATGTATGAAACCCCAGAAAACGCTCCTTCCAACGACCAACTCCGCTCTACAGACGTCAGGGCTCGGATTGTGTCTCGAGGTGCGTCATGTGTTATCACTCGGTGTACCGGTGTCACGTGCTTTCATAGGATATCACTCGATTCGTGAGAGAGTTATCTTTAGATATTGTTGTTCTCACCAGGGGTAGGGTTATTTAGCGCGAAAACATTAGGTAAAGCCGTTGGGCAATAAAGTGGTCGGTAAAGTCGTACAATTTCCCTGAGTTCGACATTACTGATAAGTTTCCCTACACTAAGTTAGTATACATAGAGAAACTACCTGTACTTTGCAAATGGCCTTCCATTCACAAGTATAATACACATTTGTGTGGTCGGGTGATGACGATTGTACTCATGATTCATTTACGTAGGCACTAGAGAATAGAGACAGCGATATGAGAGTAAGATAAATAAGGAAACAGAAACGAGTGCCATTTTTCTCCCCGCTAACTTGACCTTTTGACAGACAAAGCTCCCTGACAGACAACAGCTCCCTGACAGACAACAGCTCCCTGACAGACAACAGCTCCCTGACAGACAGGAATAAATCTGCTACAAAAGAAAGATATAAACCCCCATCCACATCAAAACCCCAGTACTGTGGCTAAAAGGCCGCATATCCTTAATAAACCCAACAATCAATCAATCGGTCACTGAGTCTCCTAGCCCACCGCTTCCCACTACCCACTAGGTACCAGGTCCACATGGACTCGCCCGGCCCCCCGCGCAACTATCCCTCGGGCCATAACTACAGCAGCCCCCACCCGAATCTTCCTTCCTGTTAGCACGCACCTACAAAACGCAAGCAAGGGGAGAACTTACTGCACTCGAATACCCAACCCGTGTAGTCACCTGAACCACTACCTGGGCTTAAAACCTGGCTGCAGGCCCAGCAGTACTGGCCTTGCCGCGTGCCCTCTGCGCATCTGCAGCCGTTTGAGCTCGGGCAACGGACAGATTGGGCACTGATTAGGTGCGCGAAGATGAGAATGAGAGCGATGGGGAGGAGGGTCACGAGACGCATGGTATAAGTTGTGTATTGTTTATGAGTATGTTGCTACTGCTGGGAATGGGTTGAGAGAGAGGGTGGGAGGAATGATAAGCAGGCGATGGCAGGTTTTATACGTGTAGAGGTGGGGGATCTTTCCTTTGGGCGTGGAGGTTGGCTCTGGGAGGCAGGGGGGTGGGGGGTGGGGGGTGCGTCACTGGGCTCCTGTATGCGTGGTCCGGGCGGGCGAGTAAAAATCGTAACTGTTTTGACCAATTCGTATTAAGTTGTCCTATCCATCAGGACTGATGGGTCGGATGCCTTATCCAACAGGAATCTGATATATCGGATCAAGCCAAAATAACGCCCGATTCATACGGTATCCAGACTACCAATTATCACGACAAATGGTAAGCAATAGCATTGGCTATAGGAAAATGACAAGTACATTACCGCCCGCATAGATATATTGCTATAAACCAAATTTCAGCCCTAGTCAGAAGCTAGTTTAATAAAGGCCTTGTAGAATATCAAATCCCTCTCTTCTGGCCTTTTTAAGTATAATCTGTTGATTCAATAAGACTTAAAAGAGGAGTTTTATTTTTCTAAAATGTATATCAGACTAACCTTTGACTATGCCATTTTTACAGCTGAAATTGGGCTCATAGAAATATTCACTTGGGCGGTACACTGTTTATACAGAGTCTATAACTGCCAATTAAGGGTGCAGCAATTATGAACATGTGACATAGCGCTGAGTTCCTTTTTCACAACCCTTCATGATTAATATCATTAGAACTACAGCAACTTACTCAAACTTGGAAGTAATGAATCGATTCGCTATGCCTATGGGGCGGTGAAGCATGTTGGTCACTCAGTCGTGGTGGGGTCATGAGTGGGGTGGGGCAGTAAACCTCGACCAGCAATGATTTATGGTCGCTGCTGGCTGGAGGTCAAAGTACCTATGGGCGGGGTAATTATTTATGTCTAGTACGATACTACAGTTGTATTCCGCATAGGGCGCCCTATTGGTACCTCCTGATGGATAGGGCGCTCTGATGACTCGGTCACAACACCAGACCTGCTCCCATAAGTCGATATTTTGAAGTCGTTGGTAATGTCTTCGTATAGTGTAAGATCATCAGTCCATGTGTTCTGCAGAACAAGTGCATCAGTCAATGTGTTAGTGGTGGAATATTATCAGGAAATACAGATTAATATCACAGCCCGACGGCTTTACAATAAGCCTTACATATCATGATTTGATTGATGCATTTGCGTGCACCGTCACTACAGGAAACATTTTGCACTTGTGGAGTTCCGTTTCTCATATTCCGTCTCCTCACAGGGCAGCCGGCTGCTCCGCTTCTCTACGGGCAGTCGCAATGCGGCAATGACTGCCACATAGTATAGAAATTGCATCATAATACTGTACTAGGCAATTGGAAGGTAAAAATTTAGTTCCCATGATATTCAGCCCTTAGAGGCAAAGGGGGATCTGGTTCTTCTGCTTATGAAAGGGAATTTACAATGGGACATGTATCTTGACGATATACTCCACAGCTCTATTGCAACCCATAGTCTATTGGCGAGTGCAATCTCTGAATTTCAATTCTGAGCTCTTGGCAGTAAGGGGTGCGCAGGTGTAGTGTCTTAAGCACTGTTAATATTCACCCACCCGTTGAATTCCTTGTCGTACGCTGGAGTGCTGGATCGGCATATTAAACAGCGAGTGAACATGGGCAGCGCTCATCACAGCACATGCAGCCCCTTTCCACTGCCAAGAATCCAAAATTGCTGTTCGGGATTTGGTGGCCAAGGCCCTAATACGGCATTAATTCGCCTCAGCTTGCTCTTACACAGGACGCTGGAACTCCTCTATTTGGTGTTTTGCCTTGAAAACACCCCTCATGCTCGTTGAAAAGCGCAATTCCGACATCTTAGTGAGCGTCCGTAGCCGCAGACACGAATCAATGCGGTCGTTCATGATCACTTACCCCGCAAGAAAACAAGAAACAAGTCACTACTTGACATCCTCTTCTATTCCCCGGCTAGCTGATAATTTACATTTTAAAAAGGGCATTGTTCGTATTCACCGTCGATCACACACATAATGAATTAAGGGCCCGCTTGCTGCGAGTCGAAATGGAGTTACGGGAGGTAGATTTGTATGGCAACGACACAACTCCGTTTCATTTTCTTCGAAACTCCGTTTTCCCAAAAAAGCTTGCGTTCGGTCAACCAATTTTGTAACTCCGTTAGGGCCTTGAAACGGGGTTTTTGAAAAGTAGTTAAGACCTACTTTTCGCTGTTGCAGTTATCACAAGCCTAACCACACCAAAAAATCCAGCTTAACCAAAATCTGAAGCGGTGTTTGGCAGGCCAAACATACCCAAACTCCGTTTGGAAACATCTCCGTTTATACACCACTAACGGGAGCAGTTACGAAACGGAGTTTCGATTCCTCTTCAACAGCTAAAAATATTCACTGCGGATCCGTTGTCACACGCCGGTCCAAAGGCTTTTCCATTGACTAATGGGGAACGAATGGACGATTAAGGTCTGCGATCTTGATCTCATGGATCTAATTGCCTCTGGTGTCCAAAGCCACATTAAGACACAGAAACATGTCGCGGTCCAACAAAAAGCGTATGCGCCGGCAAGCATGGTTGCTATTGCATCCATACTAAATAATGGGCTTGGTGGGTTTGTGCATTTTATGCAATAGCAGTCCGTTTTACAAACGTCGTCATCACCAATCAGATATCAATGAATTGCCCTTCGAATTCCATGCAGGAGCGGATGGGTTGGTTGGTGATCGACAGTGGAGCTACATACCAGTAGAGCGTCGATTTTCAGGGGATTGGCGTGGAGTACCGTGTAGCGCTTTGCTGTTCGGGCTAGGGATCAGAGTAATGTGCACTATCCCCTAATTCGTCGTGTACCACTCGCTAAAATATTTTATAACCACAGTTCAGAGGATTTTCCGGGCCGCCGAGATCGAGACTTTGTGGCGAGTAATCTGGGGTATCCTTGAGTGAGGGCAGGGGTGAGTGGAGAGGCAGGAGTGACGTCGCAATTGTTTTATGTAGAAGCACATCAATGTGAAGGTTACACTGGGTCTAGCAAGTGATGTAGGCAAACCTTTGTACATAAGGCAAATGGGACGTACTAGAGCGCATATCCCAATCTGAGATGTGCGATTGGAAGGTTTAATAGTGCGGTAAGAGGATGTCGTCCGCCTTAGGAACCGCTCAGACTATCATTTGCATGACTAGATAAATGTACAAACCGTGAGGCTTGATTTGGACAAGGGTAGACTTTGGTGCTACCTCGTGTTTGTGTCTACCTAACATAAACCCCAACTGAGGTTCAGGGAAACTCTTGGAAGTAATATGTAGAACCCGGCCCTTTGGAAATCCTATAGCGATGCCGACATGTACAGCGACGCTCCTCTGCCACCGGAAAAGATGCGTCATTATAATTAATATCCATCATTAAAATACGTCATTAAAATGCATCATTAAATGCATCATAGGGTCTAACAGTGGTGATTTTATATAACCTAACGATGAATGTACAATGTATCTCGTAATTCATCAATAATACGTCACGACCCCCTTTTGCCAAGGCTCCACATATTTTGAGTGAGGATTGCTAAGACTATAAGTGACCTGACGAATTTGACTAATTTACTCGTATATCCTAGAAGAAGGAAGTGACCGAATGTCATGGGCTGTTATTATAGAAGGGAACACAGCTGAAAAGTAATTCGAAATTCTCCAGGTGTAGAATCACTAGGGATCATGATTGCTAGAATGAAAGGTATGAGTCGAACCTCCTAGTGACGACTTTCCTGACGATGATCCTGATGCTTTTCCTGATTTCTGACCCGTAACACGTTCCTATATTCCTTTCGCAGACTGTTAGCATCACCACTCGGCTTCTATGGCAGTCGTTAGTGTGTGCGGGGAATTATCTTGAGTAACGCAACCAGTAAAGTTGCCGGCAAGACAACGCTTTGAGAATCTCAGAGAGTCTCGGCAGCTAAATGAATCAAGTGATGCACATACATCCCCATTTTTGTAAGAGTAATGTATCGGGCGATTCATTTATTGCGCTGGTAGAATGCCATTTGGTGGGCAGTGAGAATTCGCGGGTAGATAATACGTAGACTGGAAACTCCAGCTTACTCCTGCGTATAGATGGCGGGTTAGGCTTTATTGCAGATCAGGTAAACTCCTGAATTCGTCGGACGTGCATCATGGGTTATCACTCGGGTTCTTAAAAGGTCACCCTGTGCAAAATATTGACCGTAGCAGCGGAATAAATTCTTATGATGTCTGATAATTGTACAGGAGGTAATTTAGTAGCCCTTATATAACAATAATTTCCTTGGCAAAAAAACTAGGTATTTTTGAGCCTTGGGTGTACAATACATGAACTGTTGAGATCGGTATTCTATTTGTCGACTTCTCTGACAATGGTTCCCTAGCGGGGTATGCACGCTACCTTAACATGAAAGTGGCTGACAAAGACAATATTTTACGCCGTCGGCTTAGTGATTCACTCCAACGCAACCGAACAACCCAAAGGATTACACGAACGAATAGTTTTAGCAAATACACGTGTAACACTTCTAAGGCCGGAAGATGCAGGTTCCGACCCAATAGGTAAATGCCTAGAATAGTATATACGGGGGTTGTAACGCTGAAGGCTTGGTTAAATTTCCTACTTTTAGCGTTAGATATATTTCTTCATATGCTTTCAAGAGTGAATATTTTTGTTCTCACGCTGAAAGAGCTTGACGTAGAATTCATATACACACAATAACTCACTGTTTTAAAAGAGCTATCATCGGCAGATTAAGGTATAATTTTCTGAATACCGTGACTGGGTATGTACCCCGAAAATGAGAAATAGATATATGACGACAATGAAGATGGCATCCCGCCCTGCACCTGGATAGTAATATAAGGATAAGGCAGGTATTGTGGCAATTTGTCGTCTGTTGAAACACCTGATAGCACTAATGGCACATCTGGCCACAAGCACTGTGGCCGAAGCAACATTTTATTCTGACACTTTTATTTGTGAGAAGAGGGACCTCCTGACGCTGATACAATCCTGGACAAGGCATAAGATCTCTGACAAAGAAAGGTTTTGAGACTAACCTTGCTGTGAGTTTTTGCTTTCTTTTCCCTGCTTCAAACCGAATTAGAGTGAACAACCGATCGAATCCTTACCTGATGTGTACTGAGGATGTACGAGAGAGAATGAAGGAGAAAGGCCTGGTCATGCACCCATAGATATAAAATACTAACAGTTTTCCCCCAATTCTGACTGCTGACAAAGGAACTATGGGACACGAGAAATATCGGATAGATCCCCACTGACACTGACAAAAGACCCGAAAGTGCAAGACAATTTGAGGTCGCTGACAACTGAGGTCTTGATCACAATACCCGTGACAGTATAAAAGGTTGCCTCTGGTTGTTAGTGAAGTCTGCGCGCCCCCCGCCTTCATTCTGCCCGTGCATCGAGGGAAAGACAATCCGTAACCTCGGTGAGAGATACCTGCTAACAACCAGACTTGATAATTTAAGCATGGCAGGCCACCTTGACTAGTCTGAGTGCAACGATGGTGTCTCAGCTGTACTAATCCTATATCCACAGTGAAATTTCGATCTGACAAAATAGGCGAGTGATATCTCATGTCTCGGGAGCCTCAGCTCATTGTGTTTTAGGCGAAGTAAGGCACGGTGCGATATGCTCCTACGGATAGATATATCATGCAATAGCTACCACATGAGGATATATCGATCCATAGTTCAATTGTGTAACGGGGGTCTCTTCTAAGAGAAATAGAATAGGATAGAATAGAGACGGCCGTGCAAGATAGACAATCAGGTTGCAGATTATTCAAAGATACTATCGCTAGAACTCAATAATCTTTAAGGGCTCTGCTATCGATAAGTTCTTGGTTTTTCTTTCTGATGAAGACTGGAGAGAATAGGACTGAAGGGCGAGAATGAACCTGAGTACTTATACTCCGAAGGCCTCTATTCTCTGCTCCTAGCTCCTTACTAAGTTCCGGTGAAGCCTTTCCTCGGTGCCGGAAACAATACCACCGCTACCCCACTTTTCTTTAAGCGTCAGCAGGTGTTTCCGATACCCAAGGCAACCACCCTTAGTCAAAGCCTTTGTAACACCTGCAGCCTTTGTTGCCACACAACTGGGGCCTGCATGAATGAGCTACCACTCAGGTGTAAGCTTAATCGTTGCTGTAGAGCCTTCGCTTATTGTAGACTTCCCTAGCATAGTCCTACCCCTTCGGTGGACATACAATGCTTAGAGGATACAGAGGATCACCGGGCAATCAGAGCTTCACTCTGGCCAGTCTTCTAGTCACTGGCGAGGCATAGACTCGTCAGTCATTGCTCCCATGAATAGATCCTCTTCCTAGCGCCCGGAATGTAGTTACTCTAATAGCTGGTAGCTAACCACACTGCCGGTACTTGCATATCACCGTGCAACTGGCTTCTAACAATAACTCTCAGCATGTAACCGGGCCATGTATGTACTCATACACCCGACAGTTGAAATGGCTCCGTTACAGACCCAAACAGACACTTTTTCACCAGAGGATTTCATTGTCTGAGTCTTGCTCAGGCTGAAAGACAAAATCTTCTGTAACCTCCGGGAGTACAACAAGTGGATCTTCTGCTACAACAGCAGCCACTTTAGCTTTCTTCTTAGAGTTGGACTTGCCATTCCCTCTTTTCCGCTTTTGTACTCTCACTGCTGCCACTCTGACAACAGTAGGTTCCTTGGACCAACAATCCGTCCATCTGTGTCTGGAATTGCCGCACTATTGCACAAGTCAGTCTATGTACTCTACCAATAGGGAGTACCGAAAGGTCATAGCTTCAAGCATACTTCTGCTTTCCTTCTTTCTTCTAGAATATCCCGCGGGATACTCTTCAGTTCCACCTCTTTGTCTTTAAGTCTGGAGGCCTTCTGAGGTCCGGAGGACCTTGCAGCTTCTCTCTTCCTCTTGGGCTGCCAGTCTTTCTCAGCTGGAGGATCCTTTTTGGTCCGAGGGGGCGCTTTTTCGGCTGCCAGCCCTTGATACCTCTCATGTGTATGCCCTAACTCTCTTAGAGCAGCTATCCGTTCCATCAAAGACTTTGGCTTGGGGGTAAAGAGAGCCCAACTCATGCCTAGGTCTGCAAGGAGGGAATTGTGGATCTTATCATCCACCAACTGACCCTCATAGCCAGTCTTCCACATTAGCTGAATAATAGTATTCAAGAAGAGGTCTATTCCTCCTCGAGCAGTGTGGGTAAGGGCATTCCATTGGGCTACAGCATCATCTCTATAGATGGCTTCACCGAAGGCTGCTCTAAAAGCATACACAAAGGAATCCCAGTGCTTCCATCTCTCATTTAACTTCACCGGCATCCCAGCAAGGCGATTGGCGGAGGTTTGATCAATTGAATTGTGGTATGCCTCATACCATCGGATCGCTGCTTCTCCTTCCATCAAGTTGCCTGCATAACGAATCTTAACCTCCTCAGAGGTAAAGGATAGGCTCTCAATGGAGAACACATTCTCACATTGCCGGATAAAGGTCTCCACTTGCTCCGCTTTGCCTTGGAACTTGGAGGGAGGTGGTGCTTTTGGTTCTCGGGCCCTGCTAGGTCCAGAAGGGGGAGAGGTAGCCGGAGGTCGGTACTGTTGGAACATCTTAGCCAACAGATCCTTCTGTTGCTTCTCCAACTTCTTCTTGAGGTATCTCTGCCAGCCTCTTCTATCACCATCTTCTGGTTCCGAGTCTGAACTGTCAGAACTGCCTGGATACCCTGGAGCGGGAGCGCGGGCCGTGGGAGGTGGAGGGTTCTGAATTCCACCGCTTCCACCCTGTGCATTAGCTGGAGAGGGAGCGGCGGGTGCAGCAGGAGGGACCACAGGTGCTACTGGTGCCAGGTTACTGGCCAATGGTGAGGTTGCTGCTGCATGAGCGGCTCCAAACATGGCGACCTTTTGTGGGTTTCTGGCTGATGGACTAGGAGGTCCTGAGCCTCCACCTGAGTAGAGTTCTCCCTCGTAAACAAATGATCGATGGACTCCTTCAAGGAGTGGGTGTACTCCACTAGGGTGGTTGGGTGGTAAGGAAGAGGCTCCCACCGCTGGCTGTACAATAGGGATAACTCTCCTAGTGGATCGGACCGGAAATGCCGCGAAGGGACTATTCCATGGCATCATCGTCCAGCTCATCCCTTTCTGCATACCTCCGGAGTTCTTCCTGGACAGAGTTCACTTCCATCTTCATGTACTCAAGTGCCTCTCTCATAAGGGCATTCTGTGCTTCCTGGCACTCTTGTACAATGAGGAGGGCCTGACTGCCCCGGGTCAACTGATTTTGCAGGCTGTGCTGGAGGTAGGTCTGGAGCTCTGTGAAGAACTGTTGAAGGGAAACCTCGTCTGTATCTTGCCAGACAGGCTCACAACCGGGGATGTAGGTCTGTAGAGTGGTCCTGGGCTTCTTGACAAGCTGTGTCTGCCCACTGGCATCAAGCTGGAGGGGCACCGGCTGCTATTCAATCTGGAGGGGCATATCTGGAGTCGGGAGGGTGGACATTTTGTGTAGAGGAAGAATAATCTGAAGGTGACTTGAGCCTTAAAGATTATCTGTAACGGGGGTCTCTTCTAAGAGAAATAGAATAGGATAGAATAGAGACGGCCGTGCAAGATAGACAATCAGGTTGCAGATTATTCAAAGATACTATCGCTAGAACTCAATAATCTTTAAGGGCTCTGCTACCGATAAGAACTTGATTTTCTTTCTGATCAAGACTCGAGAGAAAGGACTGAAGGGCGAGAATGAACCTGAGTACTTATACTCCGAAGGCGTCTATTCTCTGCTCCTAACTCCTTACTAAGTTCCGGTGAAGCCTTTCCTCGGTGCCGGAAACAATACCACCGCTACCCCGCTTTTTCTCTAAGCGTCAGCAGGTGTTTCCGATACCCAAGGCAACCACCCTTAGCCAAAGCCTTTGTAACACCTGCAGCCTTGGTTGCCACACAACTGGGGCCTGCATAAATGAGCTGCTGCTCAGGTGTAAGCTTAATTATTGCTGTAGAGCTTTCGCTTATTGTAGACTTCCCGGGCATAGTCCCTGCCACTATTGGCGGTCCTGTAATGCTCAGAGGATACAGAGGATCGCCGGGCAATCAGAGCTTCACTCTGGCCGGCCTTCTAGTCACTGGCGAGGCATAGACTCGTCAGTCATTGCTCCCATGAATAGATCCCCTTCCCAGTGCCCAGAATATAGTTACTCTAACAGCTGGTAGCTAACCACACTGCCGGTACTTGCATATCACTGTGCAACTGGCTTCTAACAATAACTCTCAGCATGTAACCGGGTCCTGTGTGTACTCATACACCAGACAGTTGAAATGGCTCCGTTACAAATAGCTCTGAATTCAAGATATGCGGGGAAGGTAGCAACATACTACAAACTTGTCACGGGATGCGGGAGGCATTAAGTTTTTAAAATGCACTTGCGTTACCATCCACCAAGACCTGCATTTGTATCCTGCTACACATGATTCCCCCACATTCCCGATTTGACTTTGTATAGTAACCGAGTGATGTCTCCTGATTCGGGTAAAATCATTGCACCACGGGGAACTACATTTGGACAGAGACAGATTACGAGATGGAAGGGCGGCCTTGTAACTCACGAGACTTTCATGTTTCGTGCCTAATATTTGGGCTTCGAGCGGATAATGAGCTAGGATGAGCAATCTCGCGTCAGATCAGGTGCATCTAGGTTAATATACTCGTGGGGATATAACCTCAGTAGAAAGATTACGATGTGATACTGCAATGAAATGAACTGATAGGTGCCTCAACGATCCCTACAGTCTATGATATATATTCTCGCTGCACGTCTTCGTATTAGTGGAGAATCACTGCATAACTACAGATATAATCTGATACTATGACTGAGTGAATGAGGAGTAGAAACTATGGAGAATAAGTGACTCCTTGCTTTGGCGGACCCATGTGTAGTACCCAGTTTCAAAAAGAATGGCTGCGGAGAAGTGCGTATGGCCAGGGGACTTCATGTTAGAATCATGATATAGCTTTACCACTGTATAACCACACATGACCTCGAGCTTAAAGACCATCGTAATGCTAGTATTCGAAGATATCATATGGATCATGGTACAATATTTTACTTTTCTTTTAATTCATTAATATAATTGTATGCAGACCGTAATCTATAACAATATCGCACTACCCCATGACTTCCCGATCACTTCCTCAGCCTATCATGGTACGTGATATATATATTATAGAAAATATCTTAAGTCCAAAAGGAAATCAGGTTAAGTTTTGCACTCGCTAGAAAGTCAAATGTGATAATTGAGGAATAACAATAACAATCGACTTTCTCTCCAGTAGCAGGGGTAGAATATCTTGAAATGTCATGGTTTAAGGAATATACAGTATAGCGCATTTCTCTCCGTCGCTTACAACTACTTATTCGAATCGGGATCCTTTTTTCATGTTGCAGTCAATCCCCAGTTAGTTCACTTCTAGGATACCTCGCCTTCCCTTTGATATCATCTTATTCTACATCGGATGGACTGGCAAAAGATTACAATGTGAGGGATGGTCAAGATTCAGAAATTGTTATGACCGCCAGCCATTGCAACTTGCAAATAATATATCTAAAGACTCCATAAAACTAATTCTTAGAATATGCAATGTTTCATTACCGATTACAAACTCCAATAGCCGTGTGACGACAACAAGGGTTGTTGCAGAACAGTACATCGGTTTGGTTCACCATATCGAGACACCTCCAAGCTAAATTTTCACTCTCAAAGTACACTTCCCTTATGACCTGACAGACAAGATCGGGGCTGTAAGACATTCTCTATTTGAGCCTCCATCATTTTAGTATATACATGTAGTTATCATCGTACACATATCAACAAAGCTTATATTTCGCATTACATATGGGTTCTAATATTCAGATCTCCATAAGAGGGGATGGAAATAGGTTCCCCGCATGGGTTTGACTTCAGGGAGCGGTAGATCTACCGAATGTATTGAGCGATCAACAGTTATGTATGTATATACAAATAGTAGTTCCTTTATGATAATGTCAGCTTTATACACCTCCGTATCTTTCCATTGAAAGTGAAAGTTTTAACATCACTTATTTAGTAGAACATCTCCGTAACTAGTCACACATCGTCCTTATATCAAGAGACATTGTATCTATAGAGCCTTACCTTTCCCAATTCGGCTATATTTCAGCTGAGAAACAGCCTCGAGGAAGAAAGGTGTACATGTGCGTGACGCGGGTACGGCTGAGGATTGATTATGGATCATCATCCACCTCATGCGTCCCGAATTCGTGTCTACGATCTGCCTAACTTTCACCAACCCCGATATATCCACAAAATTGGGCAAGCACCGCCGTCACTAAAGATTGAGCGTGATAGTTATTTGACCTGACCTGTCCCTCCCTCTTCTTCCTTTACTCCTACCCATCTTCATTTTCATCTAAGTCTTTGCCGTCATAGATTATCACTCGGCTTATATTATCTATCATGCTGCTGATAACTCTTAACCCCGACCTTCGGCCCAGGGTTGGATGCAATAAGGAGCTCCGGACCTCAGTAGCGCATCGCTCAGTTATGGACGTACATGGGCTAGCTTGTCCATTAAGTAAAGGCATTATGCACAGAATGAGATTGACCTATATATAACCCCTCGGGGTAATTAAACTCTCGTGATCAAATCGATGAAACGCACCAGCCTGTACGGCTTCCAATTATCGATTCCTTTTCGAAATTCCACCATGTTGTTGCTGCGCCGAATGAATCAATAGTCCCTACTTATTTTGTTCATGTCGACCGTGCACGTGACACGAGTGATCTATCGTGATTAGGCAAATACCAAAAGCCGACCGACACAAGCCCCAAGTCAGGATACAATAGCGCTGAACATCGAGGACGCAGGAGAAAAGATGTCAATCTAAGAATACCTAAGCTAGACTAGCACCCCCGATCGGAGGAGATGCATGTACCGGCCGGCCGCGGACGCAGTTATTGAAAGAATCCTCATGAGTTCTATTAACTCTCTGGAATACATCAGTCAAGCATACATATCTATAGCTCACATTCTCACCCATGACAAGTCCCCCAATTCGCGATATCCATCATCCCTAAATCCTTAGTGATCAATTTTGCCAGGGTTAGGGTTCATGTCCTTAGTGCTTATGATCTGTCAAACCTCCCTGGACAACCACTTTTGTAGCTCCACGGAGCTAGTTAGTATATATATATATATACGCTATCAGGTCTGCAGTGGCCGTAGCTATACGAGCTGTCCGGGCGTCCATAACCTACCCCTCTCCATTAGCTGGTGATCAATATCACCCGCAGGGCAATACCAGTTAACATCCCCGCCGCCGAGCTATCACAGGCCATTAAACATCAACGTCACCATAGTCTCAACTCCTTAATTCCAGTTACGATCTCTTTCTTACCCACCATGAATAAGCCTTCAGGCCGATGCGCGACATGTCGAAACCTCATTCGTTCCGCTGTAAATAATATCGACTCGACTCACCTCCACACCTGCGCAACTAGCTAGGGGGCAGACTTGTAAAAGCCCCGAGTATGCTCGCAAGACCGCTAGCTAGTCTAGTAGCCGCAGATAATATCTCCCAGAAAGGTCTTATCCTATGCCACTACGGATACTCAGTGTTATGGTTAAATCTTCCCACATTCTCGATATACAAATAATATTATAACATTTAAACTGAGGCTTTAAAAGTGGGAGCGAGAAGAAGCCTTCGAAGCTAAAAAGGTCGGTGTCCATATCGGAGCCCGGCGAGCTAGTGTGGGAGCGGAGAGTGGAGGCGGATGTTGGCGGGAGCTGGAGGCATCACAAACGTCAGTGAACAGATGTAGCAGACCATTGACAGTTATCGATTACCTCCGTGGCCGGGAGCTATGATATACCAGCTCCAATTGGTACCTCAATTATAATGAACTCAACCCACAATCCCAATATCCCACCCGGAAAGAAAACAGCACCATTTCCTATCGAGCCCGCTCCCGCTGTCCATACCCATTCCGGCAGAGCAGAACGCAAATACTAACTTGGAGGTCACTATCTCTTCCCTATCGACTCGACGTTGCGGGTATGGACAGCCACTCTGCAAAAGTGTTCGTGATTCCGATTTCGGAGTGAGACATTTCTCTATATATGTAACTCTGGCGGACCATTAAAAAAAACCCCATCCCAGTGACCAATGGAGCCCGGAATCAATGAACAATAAAATCAATGACCCATCTTCTTTTATATATAGTCACGAACTATATTATATTTTTCGTTGTTTTGAATCTCTACATGAATAACATTAACGTCATGGGCCATGCGCCACACTGCGCACTAACATTAAAACTAAACCACGAACACTTTTGCTGGGTGGCTGTATATACAAGATGACCACTAGCTGGCTGGGTGTCCTCCGCGCGCACAATATGTATATACATCCGACAAACTTAAACACCTCCGGCAATGCCACGCGCATACAATACCGCCGGAGGCATTTATATTGGCGCCTCACTGCGTGCCGAGATACTCGCCGTCGCTGGCGCGTACTCGGAGCGGAGAGTATGAGGGCCGGAGGGAAGCCCCGCGCCCGCAGCCGTGCACGTGCCGACCCCAGCAACCCCTCCGAAACCGCATCCTCCACCCCCGCCGAGCGAGTGGAGGCCGTCTATCAATAGCCCCTCAGCTCGTATCGCATCCTCAATCAACCGCACGGACACAGCACCGCGCCTACTCTACTCTGCACACAGGGAGACCCCGGCCACGCATCCGATCCGAAGCGATCCTCGCAACGTGGGTTGGCTGGTGCCTTAATATACCGATAGATACAGCAGCTCAAGCTTTTCAGCTCAGCTGGTAAAGTTCAGTGATCCCATCTGGTAAGCTATACACTGCTGTCGCATTTAATTTAGCCGGTGGGTTTATTGGATTGGGGGGCGCTGCTCGGTTTCCTGTTCCTGGGCTGTGCAGGGTTCAGTGATGCAGGTACGGGGTCCGTCTTGGTGGTTGTGCTGCGGGTTGTTTCTTTGGGATGGTTGAAGAGATTAGGTCTTTGTGCGACGCGACCGCTACCCTGACGAAGAGGCGGAGTTGTAGATGTGTGTTGAACGGTGGTGGTGTTTCTTGCGATTCTGCAGTGTGGAGACGGAGTGGGCAGGTGCTTGCTTGGTGGCGTTGCTTGAAGAGGAAGTGTGCAGGGCGGCGGCGGGGGCGGGGGCGGGGGCGGGGGCGGGGATGAGGTGGAGTGCACTGACTAGCTGAGACTGATATTGCGGATATCTACGACCCAAGGCTGCGAATACAAGATCGATGATGACGCTCGATCTATCTACAAATCTCGGAGATTTAGCTCCCACCGCACCCGCTACTTCACACCCCTAATAACCTCAAAGTAGAGCGGAACCACCAGTACTCTGCTACATATAGGCAATCAACTATAACTACATGTAGCTAGCCAGCTAGCAAAACCCAGCTGCCAGGAAAAGACCATCAATAATATCCCCTGATATTTTTTAAAGTCGCAAACACCAATTCCGCTTCTGCGGCTACCTGACATGTAAATCTTGAATATTAGGACTAGACACGCTTCAAGATTGCGGTTCCAGGTTTAGGGTCAGGGCTCACTGAGGACTGAACGTCACTCCGAGCCGTCACCCCCCCTCCCCACGCGCACAAGAATTACCTACAAACACTCATGCGCCTCTGTCCTGTATCTAAAACAAGCAGGCAAATTTTACACGATATCCAGGTTCGATTCCACAGGGTTAGGGTTCCAGATGATTACAGGGTTAGGGTCAGTTGTGTTTACTAGACATGTCGGGAATGCTTGTAGCTAAGCCCGTCAATCCGGTCGAATCGAAATCTTACCATTACATGCAGACGCGCTGGCTTTGAAAACAGAAGAGGGCGGCGAAAAGTGAAAAAACGAAGGGTGTGTGCATATCTCATTGTACATAAGTTCACCTTCGTCTATCCCGGCCTCCACTTGTATGGAAAAAAACCACCAATTAATGCTACGAACGGATGGCTATATATATATATATATATATACGGCCCATCAAATCAACGGGAATCGAATCAGCCGGACAGGAGCTATCATCACCCCCCATAAACACCCCCCCAAAACCAACAACCAAAAACCAAAAACCAAAAACCAGGTATGTAGGTACACCCAACCGCGTGTCATCCCCCCCCTCCCATCTCCCATCTCCCATCTCCCATCTCCCATCTCCCATCTCCCATCTCCCATCTCCCATCTCCCATCTCCCATCTCCCATCTCCCATCTCCCATCTCCCATCTCCCATCTCCCATCTCCCATCTCCCATCTAAACATGCCCACCTCAATCCGTACCTGACGATCCCACCCAAGCCTCCCTCCCCCAACGTGTTCGGCAGGTGCCCCGAAACCACCCCTGTCGATCATTGACCCACTCGCCCGCTACTTGGTGTGGGTGGTTATGTCAGCCACCCTTGTCGCGATCGGTATCATTGACCTTCTAGATCTTGGCGTTGCTACGTAGGGGGCTAGAGTCGTGTGTGGGTGGGAGAGGGGCGCGGTTCGTACCTGCGTTGGTGGGTCAGGAACGGGTTTGGTCTTGGCTGTGCTGGCTAGCTGTTTACATGTAGCTAGGGTGGTGTCTTTTGTTTACCCTAGGCCCTAGACCGGATAAGGCGACACGCATTCAAAGGCTTTGTTTGGTCCATGGGATGAAAAACGTAGCTTAGCTTTTCAAGAAAATCATATTTAAGGGGGAAAAAAAAAAAAAAAAGGAAAGAAACTAGCACATTGTCTTGAACAAAGCACCAATTGACGCTAGCAAAGAGGTTAAACAACAGATCGAATCCACCAGTGCCAAATCACAGCCCTTCGCCTAGGCTCGCGCTCGCTTTTCACATGGAAAAAAAAAAAGACAAACTTCCTTCCTTACGAGCGCCCCCCAAAAACACATTACCGAAACGGCGTAGAATCGTCTCCTATATTATGTCCCTAAAGTAAGAATTAACGACACCACCGATCGTGTATACATGCCTTCATCGATATACAACCGTTCTATCTAGCTACCCTGCAATTGAAACCCACGTTCTTTGCGGGGATGCACACACCCCTGTCCGATATACGAATACGAGCTGGCTATTGATATAGCCCCTTATCTGCTTGACCTGTCAAGTATTACTATTCCACCTGAGGATACATATATCGAATAAGATTATACTTCTATCGCCTGCAGGGTTGCATTGGGCGCATGGAAGCGGTATATAATGAAACCTAATCAAACAGTACTCGATCAGATCTACCACTGCCGGGTTTTAGGTTTTCAGTATTAATGACAAGCGGTACTTCTTCTACATTGCACTTGAGGCAGTGTTGACCCAATGATTAATACCTAGACGTGTGTAGCCAGCATCTGCCCATCCTCCATGTATCAATCTTCTTCAGACACTTCCCAACCCAGATCGCACTGATTGGGTACGTCTATCCACATACATGTATCTGCACCTATACGATATTTACCCCCCAATCACGGAAGAGCAGCCGCCTAGGCACTCAGCTGGGGCTATCGGCACCGATCACCCCAAATACCCTGGACAGAGAAGAATCTCAACGCGCTGTCTCATCATATGCACCCATCATCTCAGGGCAAATCCACGAGTGATATTGTGAAGTTTTGTTTTCGAATCTTGAAGGTATGGGAGAGGTAGTGACCAAGTATAATATTTTGGCCTTCCAGGTCTGATTGCTGTGTTTCTGAAGTGACCATAAGCTCTTGTAATGTTTATTGATGATCTCGAGAGGAGAAAGCCCCTCGCTAAACTACATGTAATATACTCTGCTGTGGCCACCTCACTAGCCTACATCATACATACGTGACTTCTCACCAGCAACTGCTTCTCAGCCTTATTCTCGGCATCATACTTGTATGTACATGCTCTGATGCCGATATACACATCCCGCAATTCCCGTAGATTACAGAGTGTCCACCACGAGCCAGCACGGTGTTGGCCGGCCATGTTGTGTACAGCTATCTCTTCTTCGTGGAACGATACGAATACGAGATGATCAACTTCGACTAGCAAACAGGAGCAGTATTGATGATAGTGTAGACAAAAACAGACAAGAGCTAGCTACAGAATATCCGTGATGCGGACACCTGTACATAGTATCCCTAACGCTACGTTTCCTTTGGGCGCCTAGTTCGGCTAACCCACGCGTCTAAGACCGTATTACAAATGCTATGCAACTAACCTGCGCTGCCCAACAACGAGTCCTAGCCACCACAATAAAAAAACACAAAGGCTGTAAAATGAATTGCTTGTGTCATTTACCAACGGCGTCCCCGGCAAATAAACCAACCGGTCCCTCCACACACCCCCCCAGTAGAGCCCGAGCGCTGAAATACCACACCTGAGGTCAGAGATATCCTCATTTATGTTGACAACCTTTGGATCAAGCTCAGCTCCACCCTGAGCTTAATTGTTCCTTGTGGTTCTCCCACACAACGCCCAGCCCAACGCTGCAAGAGGTGACATTCTATGAGCAATAATCACGACGAAGAGATATATAAAAAGAAGTGTATATGGATATACCAGCTGCGGTGCTCGTCTCGCCGACGCCGACCCTCTAGCACCGCATCCCCACCACCTGTACGCACGCACGTAGAGCCGAACCACCCGCAAGACCCCCACCCTTCCACGCCTCCAATTAAAGCATAGTGCTGTGCTCCCTCACGGGAGCCCCGAGCCGCCTCACGATTTCCCCGACGCAACCGTAGGTCTGATGAAGCTTGTCGAGTTTCGCCCTCAAGCTATAGTCGATGCGTGAGATGTAGTACTGGTGGAGATGGAGGCCATGCCAGGTGTATACATGTACGTATACGTATGCGTGGGAAACCTCTAGTCCTAGTGTCACGGTGCATGCACAGACAGAGTCGCCGAATATGTGAGGATAGTCCATCAGCTGCAGCTGTTGAGCCCCTCGCGCGCTCGTGTCACGGTTTCTAGATCGACACATGGCATTCTGATATCTACACGCAGCCCCGGAAACATAACCGCCAGAAGATATATATATGTACGTTGCAGTTACCTGCATGACCCGACACTGCATCCCTCCTTATCGCTATCGACACCGGTGGGTATCCCGCTGCACGGACCAACCAACCCAAACATGAGACATCACTCGGCTCTGCGCTCGGCCCAGCCCTGTCACGGCTCTGTCTCGGCTCTGTTTTGGCTCGGCCCTGTCTCGGCTGCGCGATAAGCCGATTGCCTGACGTTTCGTAGCTAGCTGTCCAACAAAGTAAACTCCCAATTGTGCTTATTGTTTCTTCTGCGCTCGCTCGCTCGCGAGGAGAGGTGGATTGTCAACCTTCGATTGTTGACAATATGGCTGTCGCAATGCACCACACACACACACACCCAAACACCGAGCGAGTGATACCCCATGCCCCGGAACCTCCCGCCCATGACTCAGTCGTACGATTAATTAATCCCCCGATTAACCCACAACTGCAACTGCACAAGCAGAAAGTGCTGACCACCCACCCACTCACGTGTTTTGCGAATTTTTCGGATGGCGTGCTCGCTTCTTGCTGTTGGGTTGTGATATGATTCGCTGGCTCGAGTATCCAATTGGCAGCACCGGGCAAGTGATGTCACCACAGATGGCTCGTACGGGACAATGTTGTATGAAAGAGAAAGAGAGAAAAAGAGAAAAAGAGATAAAGAGATGATTAAAGAATTAACATTTCATCGTCGCATCTAGATCGAGTAGCTAGCTACATAGCTATACACATGCACATGCACATGCGCCCCCCAGGCCTCATTACTCCCCAAACCTAAACCAAAACCAAATCCAAATCCAAATCAATATACATCCGTTTCACCCAGCAAAACGCTCATTACCACCACCCCGCCCTCTCTCCCCCGCTCCGCCATGCGTCTTGTTACGTCTGCACCATCTGTTTCTGCCCCCCAGCACCTGCTGCTCCTCCCATGTCCATTTCCCGCCCGCCGTCGGCAGGTCCCATATACCCCATGCCCGTCCCTCCACCCATTTCCCTCCCAGCACCGGCGCCGGGAGCCATGTACCCCATCCCTCCACCCATCTCCCTCCCGGCGGCGGGACCCATATAGCCCATCCCCGCACTCATCCGACCTTCGCTCCCACCGCTCATCCGGCTTTCCCTCCCCCCCATTCCCATTTCCCTTCCACCCATTCCCCCACCCCCTCTCCCAGGCCCCAACCCCCTCTCGACGTCCCCGGGCGGAACATACACCCTCTCCGGCGTCGTGACCACGCTCATACTAGCTATACTGCGGTCGGGGACGGTCTCGTAGTTGCTGCTGTACATGTAGTACGCCGAGTACGGCTGGGGCTCGGGGGTCGTTGCGATCTTGGCGAAGGCGATGACGCCGCCGACGACGAGGAAGGCCATGAGGATGAGGGGGATGAGGGCGGCGAGGGGGATGCCCATCTGTGAAGGGGTGGTTAGTGGGTGATGGGGAGGGAGGGAGGGAGGGAGGGGGAAGGTACTTTTTATGGTTGTTTAGTTGGGATGAGGTGAGATGGGGTGAGCTTGTTTAGTTATTGAGGATGTGCGGATGCAGGAATTGCTTATGTAGCTTTAACGATTGACGATGCAGTACTCAGATGGCAGCGGAAGTATAAGTGAACGTAGAGTTAAAAGTAACGATCGAGGTAGCGGCGGAGGAAGAGGTGTGCATATATCAACCCACAAAAAACAAACAGAAAAAAACTCTTCACCCACCACCAGATATATTCCCAGACGGTTCTATATATCCCCGGGCACCCGGATCATCCCACGCCCTCCACCACCCACCCACCCACCCTGCCCGCCATATTGTCACCACCCCATTGGACACCGTCGTGCAGGTGGTGGGCATGCTCGGATGGCACGCAACCGTTCCGTGAGGCTGTGTTTCGTAATCCATGGATGGATGGAGGGTGCGAAAGCTTGGCTCTGTAGTGTAGGGTGGGCAGGCAGGGATTGCTTCTGCGAATTATCCGGGAGAGACGACAGGAGATGGACGTGGCAGTGCTGGCTGGATGGAGGGAGGGAAGATGTGTCTAACGGCTGTCAACCGGTGTTCAGGGGCCGTATGGCTTTTTCGCCTGGGCTGGTACATACATATGGGTGTTCTTCTCTACTCTAGAGAATGAGCCCTATATATCCCAGTGCACTGCTAGAGATGTATTGCAGGCTGGACTTATCGATAGCCAGAGCGTGGACACAGTCATGTCTGCGGTATAGAGTACAGTACAGTGGTGATGATGTAGCGATAGCGATAGCGATAGATAGATAGATACAGCAGTGCACTCCAATCTTCTGCTCGAGCGCCGAATACGAGTGATCTGCCCTCCATTGCGTACTCGCTGGCCGGAATAGTTAATTGCGCGTCGCCCAGGGAGCGAATGCTTGGTATGGCCCGATTCGGGTGGGCATCCCTGCTTGTTACTATTGCTGGATGCAACGAGTGTGGATTAGCTGGGTATATGTAAATACGAGTGCAGAGAAGTAATCGGAAATGTCCATATGCGGTGCACGTGTCCTGGAAATACTCTTTTCTTCATATGCTCGAATTGTCAGGATCGATACTGCGGACTACCAGCTCCCTGGTGCAATACATCTCTCACGATCCAAAGCATCACCATCCCTCCATCCTCCCATGGCCAGCCCTACCACACCAACCGCATCCCGGATCCCTCACCCCCGAAGGTCAATGATCCGACAAGCCGCTAGCAGCATCCAAGGCTCGCTGACGTAACGCCGCTAACCCACCACGCCAACGATCAGCAGGGATGCCACCGACACAGCGAATCAGCGCCCGCGCACACAACACATGGGCCAGACTGCTGGGTCTTCTGCCTTTGTTTTTAGAGTCTAGAATAACATTAGTAGACATAGCTGCAGTACCAAGGCAGCCCGCTCGCTGTGTAGGTTAGAGTGATGCGGGGGTGCGGTGAAGTCGATCGAGTTGCGTGCGTGTGGTGATGCTTGGCATGCCCGCCGTGGAGTTGTGTGGTGGGAGATTCGATGGCGTTGTGTGCGTACGCGTGTAGACGAGCGCGTGTTTTCTGTCTTCTAGAGCCGCATGCGCTGCATTGCGGGAACCCGAGGCGTTTTTTTGCGTCCCGTTCGTGGGTCATTATGCATCACTCGCTTAACCGCCCGCGACGAGTGAGCAGCCATGACTGCGCCGCGGTCGCGTTAGCAGACTAGCGATACTGGTGCGGGCAATTAATAGGGAATGATGTACGATAGGGGGATCTTAAACCGTGATTTTTATGATATGGGGGCGGAGTGGTGGGGCAGTTGGACTTGTGATGGTATGTGGGGAGACGTACGTACTTTCTGCTGGGCCAGGAGGTGTGTGACGGCGGCTCATGGGGCGAGTGAGAGCTTGTGATGATGCGACGGATGGGACCAGGGATTGGAATTCGGGGTGTTGGTTGGAGTAAACGTACTGTCAGATGGTTGGGGAAGTGGGTAGATTGAAGTAATTCGATAGATGATGGTTCTGTTAACAGGTTTGGAAGTGGGCTCCTTAAATACTCTACTAACCTCCCCTTAATGTTACGCTGTTATCACGTTTTCGCCACGACGTCCTGAACCTCTACTGTATACGGCATCGATATCGCATCATGAACCTCTACTGTAAGTATACAGATAACCGTATACGTAAATACGAACGGCTCCCTATACCAGGGGTTTTGACAGGTGTATAGTACTACGGGGAATTGGAATAAAATGACATTTTGTGTTCTCACTATTTTAACTCGATGGTGTTTTCAGCAGAAGGCTTTGATGTTGATAACTAGGTCACTGTCGATCACTCGGATATTTCGAAATGTCTCTATTGGAAATATAGACGGGTATTGGCTGCTTTCTTGACTGCTTGATTGATGTTGCTTGTCTATATATCTTGTATGCTCGACTACGGTACAAATCAGTGTTCTTATATACCCGTATAACCCTTGATATACCGCACTATATAGCTGTTGGCATCACTATTCCCTACCGGACGCTTGATACCGACTTCAAAGTTTCGAGAGCTTACACTAGGGTTAACTACTGTTACTATCATGAAAGAAGAAATAGCATCCATGTCCAGCCCCAGCACTACCGGCCAACGCCGTGCAAAATGTCAAGCCCGCGGCCTTTTATTAGCAAATCACTGTTCTTGGAGAGTAATTACGTGAACTGCTATGAAGGATCACCCACATAACCCTAACCCTAGTCAATACCGGAAATTGGAAATGCCTGTGACCTTCAATTCCCGCCTCCAGACTTTGCACAATATATGGCTTAAGTGTTGGCAATTCCGAGGCCCCCCCTCTCTCTAGTTTACGAGAATAGACGAAATATCAGCAAGCATCGTCTTGTTTTGTATTGTGCCCATCGCTGGTAGAGGATCATGGATAAACAGGGGGCCATCTGCTCCGTCCCCCTCCAATGCCACAACGGCCTCCACGTCGTACTCGCCGCCAACCTACTGCTCTCTACCTCCCTACTCCTCAACCACCCCACCCTCACCTTCCAATACCACACGCCAAACACGCTCCTCCCCGGCGCCTCAAACTCCCCCTCCACACTCTTGCTCACCCGCTTCACCAGCGACGCGCCCCCTACCGGCCCCACCCCCGCCCACGCCAACGCAAACCCCGCCGGAAACGACATCTGCGCCTGCCGCAGCCCGTCCGTCGTCACGCCGCTCTGCACGACGAGCTTGGCGTTGTTGAGCACCAGCAGCCCGACGATGAGGTAGATGTCGCTGCTGCCGGCCCACTGCTCCTGGATCCACCTGCGGGTGTCGTTGCTGCGGCACTGCGCGGCGAGCCATGCGGAGTGGTTGAGGATCGTGTGGAGCTCGCTCTCGGGGGCGGAGAGCTCGCTGGCGGAGGTGTTGGAGGAGGTGGCGGCGAGGGCGAGGATGTCGGTGAGGGCGGAGCGGAGCTTGGAGGTCTTGGTGAGCGTGGAGGAGGTCTTGTAGATGCCGAAGGGCTTGATGACGATGGGGGTGGGCAGGTCGGTGCGCGTGGGGAAGGAGTCGTGCAGGTTTTGGTGGAGGTTTTGGGGGTTGGTGAAGAGGGAGCCGAGGGTGATGGTGTCGGGGGTAGCGATGTAGGAGAGCGGGGGAGCGGACGGGGGGGCAGACATTAGGTAGGGTTATAAATATTGCGGTGAAAGAGCTAGGGAGTAATAGAGATCTGGTATTAGTTGAGAGGTCTGGTGGGGTGGTGTTTCAAAAGGCGCATGTACTTGGAAGTTATATATATGTGAGGACTTCCGGAATGTTGGCCTTATGAGTTCTTGAGGCCTAGGCGGGCGAAGTTTGGTTAATCCAAAACGATATCTAGCTACGCAATCCACGTGCGTTCACATGGAGGTGTTCTTGAGTCCTAGGCAGCCAAAGATTATTACATGTATAAATCCTCAAGGCATGCAATCCGAATCACAAGGGAATCATGCAAGCTGCTCAACTGGCTAGAGGGTAGGCTCAGCCTTGCGGGTTTTTGGAAAGAACTGCTAGTATTGCATACTGTATATACTTGCAGAGCACATCTACCTAACTGGACTCTCTATAGGGTGCGGCAGCTAGCTAACAGCCAGCTGGCCTGCTTTAATTTGAAAACGTCAACTTCGCCCCAATTCAGGTACAGCTTGCGGTAAGATTATTGTAGAAGTATGGGAGGAGTTCTATTGGCTTGCCCAGCCATAGAAACCCTGTTTTTAGACCCCTGTTTCTACAATAATTCTACCTCTCGCTGTACTTGCAACTAGCACAGGAATCCGGAAGAGATAACGTATAACATACCTAGTACATGCACCTATAAATGATGTAGGTACGGGGTTCATGTCGATACATGTACATTCGGGGTACAGAGGTTTTGGTAAATTTTGGTTGCCGTTAATTGCAACGCAAAGTTTGTATGGGAACACCATACTTAAAATCAGAAACACTCAAATCATGACTTTAAAACTCAGATTTCACATGCCTGAAGAATGGGCTCAAAATTCTAGAATTCTCTGAACTCCGTCGTGAGATAATTTCCAAGTGCCCTTGAAGAGTTGCAATTTTTTTGATGAGGTTAATGGGTGGTTGTTTCGGGTAGCTAAACATGGCTACTTTGGCTGTAAAAAGGGTATAGTACCAAAACTTCTGTCCTGGTACTATATGTAACGGGTATGTATGTAGTTGTGTCGGCTTATATAGGTTTTAAGAGGTGGGAACGGGCAGCCAGTCGAACGAAGCTCTCCCATGCACCTAAATCTTATCAATTGCGGCTCAACTACGTATATGTATCTACATGTAGTATGTACCTTAAGACAAGGGGCCGAATCACATGCCCTATAAGAGGACAACCACAGACCACCCTATATAGACCTGGTCTATATACCTTGGCAGCCTGGCCGGTCCTGCCCGTTCAATTGCAATCTTGTCGAGTTTTAGGCCGCCCTCACTCTCTCTCACCAGTTACTCGCGTGGCCTATATTTGGGCAGTGACTCCATGATGTGCAGAACATCTTACCATTCCTGTGTTCTGGTAGGGTCATTGAGAAGGAGCAAGTTCTGAGTTTCTTTCTAGCCTAACCTTAATTATTTCCGTTGACCACATACACCGTGATCTACATAGATCATGATCAGTGCCTCTAGGCAGAACCCGATACGCCACTACATACATATCTATTGGAATATGGGTTAATGATAATCGCCACCTCTTTTTTTTCTTTCTTTTTTTTATAAATCATATAATTTTTAATTCTAGGTACAAAATTGCGCATGCAGTCGTGGGCTATGGCGTAAAAATAGCTTTCCCCGTCCTAAAAATAAAAAGCTCATCTCCGGATGCTGATCTTGAGTGCATGGTAAGGTCTAAGCCTACTATGCCTAGCTAGAGGCCGTCACCAAAAGGAAAATAAGGCTTTGCGCGGGATACATAAAATACCACGGATCATTATAAGGTCCCCCTCCCCCCAGTGCACCAGACTAGTCGTGACGCCAACACTAATGGCACAGAACCCGTCAATGAGGAGATCCGAAGTCGAAAGGAGAATCAAAAACAAACGCATCCTGCACGCTCGGGTTTTTTTTCTTATTTTTTGCAAGGTTCTAGAAGGTTTAGAGTCCCCTTCTGCGCGTGTCGAATAAGCTAACCAGAGGAGACCAATAAACTTCTGCTAGCTCAACCACCATGAAACTCGACGACCGTGGAACCCCGACAGCGGGATCCCCGCTAGGTCTGATAACCGGTGGGACTGTGGACTTCGCACTTGACGAGCAAGGTCCAATGGATGATTTGAACTTCATAGACCTCGTCTCTGATGTCTTCAGAGACGACCGTGCGTGAAAACGGAGTTCTAGAAGGACTGGTATGGTGCAGAGGATGGGGGATTACTTCTTCCAGAGGTTCCTTGTGGGTGGGGTATTGGCAGATGTTGAATGGGCTATAGACCTCATCGCGAAGGATGATAGCAGGGTCCCATCGTTGATATCCAATCTGATAAGGCTTGGTGAATACGGGCGTAAGAAGTTCAAAATCACTTCTAACCCAGTCGATATCGACCGCTCTGTTGAAGCTCTCCGGATAGCGCTGTCCGTGGCACCATTGGATCACCCACGCCGATCCCTGCTTCTTGTCGCCACAATGAGTAGCCTTTCCTGTGTCGACGAGTATAGTGAGGGGCAGTCCCAATATGAAGCGAGATTGGCGGAGATGTATGACGAAATATCCTTAAATTCGTTTGATCTGCCCCTACAGTCGGAGCAGTTAGCAGCCAAAGCATTTGCCAAGTCGTATAAATACATGAGGAGTCGCAACATGGATGATCTTGCGCAGGGCATCAGTCTCTTTCAGCAAGCGACTAAAGCTCTGCCACCAGATGACGAGGAATGGCGATCAAGGTGCTTGTACTCTCTGGGGCACCTTTTGGTTATCAAGTTCCAGAGATCCAAATCCGTTGCAGACATAGACGCTGCTATCGATGTGCTTCATGAGATGGCACAAATAGGATCAGTCTCCACAAAAAAACGGGCAAACAGCCTAGGAGCCCTGGGACGCGCATTTTGCACAAGGGGGGTTGTCTTATCCGAGATGTCAGACGTTGAGCAGGGTATAGAGCGACATGAGGAGCAGTTAAAGCTCCTCACACCAGATGACCCGGATCGGGCTCAGTGCCTGTATAGTTTGTCGGAAGTGATTAGCTGGCGCTACATCCGCTCTAAGAAACCATCCGACATCGCGAAATCTATCCGTTTATTCAAAGAAGCAATAGCTACCTCTCCAGAGGAGAATCAACGCCTAAAGTTACAATTCCAACTGGGACTTAGGCTTTGTCTCAGAAACCGGACTTAGGCTTTGTCTCAGAAACCAGACCCAGATTACCAAACGGTCGAGGGCCAGATCGCTGGACGATATCGATCCGTTAATTCGTACATTACGCACAATAGTGAAAAGGACTTCAATTGACGATCCCTCAAGGGGTTTTCATCTACGAACCTGTGCCCAATTGTTTTCTGTTCGCCGCGAATTTGAGGAAGACAAGAAGTGTCCTGATAGTCTATCACATGCAATTGAATTAGCTGAAGAGGCATTTATATTAATCCCACCAGACTCGGATGTAAAGCGTGTGGAAGAATCTGTTTATCTATCCACGCTTTGGCTTAAGCATGACGTTGAAATACATGGGCGTTTCGATTTAGAGAGGGCCAAGGAGGTTTACGAACTCAACAAGCAAGCTTTGAGGTGCGAGTTTGCGAGTACAAGTATCCGAATAAGCGCTGCTCAATACGCCAGCTTCGTTCTCTATGTCACCGGGCTTGGTCACCAGATACGGTCTCCTGCAAGCCCAGCGGAGGAATACTTGCCGCTGTTTGAGGAAGCCTTCGAGATCTTGGAGGAAGGCATCGCTCTTCTTCGCATACTCAGTCCGCAGCACTTGCGCCGCAACGAACGGCGAGAACTGATGCAGGTAGCTATAGGTGGTCTCGATGATCTTGGAGCGAATGCGGTGGGTGTAGGTATCTATGCAGGGAAAACAGCAGCTCGCTGCTTGTCTACACTTGAACTCGGTCGAGGAGTAATCCTAGGATTTTCCATTGACTGCAGAAGTACTGGAAACCTTCAAGAGCTGCAGAGGACAAATCCAGAGCTTTTGCTCAAATTCAACGACCTACGTAGTTGTATGGACTCTCCGATAGGCGCTGGCATATGCATGGGAGCCTTAGATATTTCGACTCTCGGGGGTATTTTCGAGCAGAGTGCTACCAGAGAACAGCTTAAACGCCAGAGAATGAACGACTCCAACGAGCTTACAAAGACATTACACAAGATCCGAAGTCTACCGGGATTTGAGAAGTTCCAGCTACCACCTTCATATGAGGATCTCATTGAAATTGCCAAAGATGGCCCTATCGTGGTTATGATATGTACGGGCCTTCGGAGCGACGCGATAATTGCTACAAGCTCATGTATAAAGTCTATACCGCTTCCAAAACTCCTCCACCCCGACGCAATAGATAGACTTCAAAGGCTCAACACAAACATCATTCCCGGGGGGGCCAGTACATATCGATGGAGAAACGAGAAGATGGAACACTTGCTTCTTTGGTTATGGGATGCAGCAGTAGAGTCAGTCATTGACGATTTGAAAGCCCAAGGTTTTGTTCCTCCTAGTCCTCCTAGTCATCCATCCAACCTTCCCATATATGGTGGATTGGCGTGGGGAGATTCGCCATTGCAACATTCAATGCCGCTGGCGACCACTCTCCTGGATCAACTAGGAACACATTATCTAATGCAATTAGCTCCTATATTCCAACGCTCAAAGCTCTTTCCTACGCCCGCGAGAAGGCCTTCACTTTCCAAGCCAGCGACTCCAGCCTGCTCATTATTGCCATGCCCAAGACTCCTGCTCACTCGTCTCTGGTTAGTGTTGATAGTGAGGCTGGGTCAGTCGCGGGTCTGGCGCCGGAGGGTGTTAGGACGGAGATACTGAACAGTCCAAGCGCCAAAGCCACACTCGAAAAACTTCCATCGTTCAATGCCATTCACTTTGCATGTCACGGAATTTCCGACACCAAAAATGCTTTAAATAGCCATTTTTTACTTCACAGGCCGAATGGGGACCGCACCCCCGATATTAATAAGTTAACAGCAGGGGCGGTTTCGAATATCAACATCGAACGAGCGCAGATAGCGTACTTGTCACCCTGTTCTACCGCCAAACTTGAGTGGAAGCAGCATGAAGATGAGGCACTTCACATTGCCAGTACTTTCCAACTCGCTGGGTTCAGCCATGTACTTGCAAACATGTGGCAATCGGACGACGGTGCCTGCCTAAAGGTCTCGACCGAGTTCTACCGTAACCTGTTCGACGATGAGCTTTCCGGCGGTGTTTGTGGGCATAGGAGGGTCAGCGCAGCCTTCCATTGTGCAGTCAAGAAACTGAGGGACGAGCAGCCAAAGCTACCCCTCCTGTGGTCACCGTTTATTCATACTGGCGCATGAGTGTGTGAGCTCAATGAGGGGACAGTTTTGGTTTTTGGTTTTTGGTTTTAACTCCTTTGATTATGGGGTTCCTGGACCGGGGGCGGGTGTGGCTTCTTTCTCTATTGGCGCGGGATGTTTTTGATGAATCTATTCCGATCGTTTTTCCTTATCAATTTCACATATTTCTCCCGCTTGCCCCACTATGTATACAGCCAGCGTACGCGTTGGTTTTACTTATTTCTGTGTTGACGCAATCGGATGTACCCGGGCAAGCTTAGGAGAATTGTTTTTCGTGGCGAACTTTATTTTACTTATTTCTCTATATCTCGAGGATCAGTAGCAAAAACTGCGATACCTAAAGTTTCAATGATGGAAAGACTGCCTTGTATGCCGGGGGAGAATGATGCCGAGCCAGCCTCAATTTTCGCCGACGGTGGTTTAAAGTAGGATCAGCCATATATGTAGTCAACAGGGTGTCCATGTGTTGTGTGGCTCTCTTATGGCTAGCATCACTAGGGCAGCTGAGGTGGATCAATGTCTGAGTCTCCTTCTTTAAAGCATCAAAGATGAGATGAAATAACTACCACCGTTAGTTAGGGTTGCTTGCTTAAACACGATATTCTTCCCATAATGTGTTTAGATAGCAATATCCGGCATGGTGGTATGGTAAGTAGAGGTAGTTTAATGCTGTACCACGGATCCCGCCTAGCTAAAAACTGTTGGACTCAGATTAAGATAGAATTTTATTTTACAGGAAAGACAAGCTAACTGATGGGACAACGAGAGTAGATAAGCTAAGGACCCCAGATATAGATGGTACATGTAGTATTTATATAGACATTTTAGGATAAGAGACGCATTAATGTTTTTGGATGGGGAGTGGCGTCATATCTCATCACTCGGCTTAACCAAGGCGAGTGAGAATCTATGATTCCGCTTGTTTGTCAACCGATAGGCTAACTTATTAAGTGTAGGCGGGCTTTGGAGAGTACAAGCGCTGCGTTGTGAATCTCTCCCATATTTTCAAATTCTGATAGAGTACTCATGCATGTCAAGCCAGTTCACTGAACTCATTATATCTTGTCTCAGGCTCATTGTATTACGACTTTTGTTATATAGAATAAGTGATAGTCCGTATTTCTATCGAGCAGGATTATGCACCAATTAAGGGTCAGTTTGGAGAAACTCCATGAGACCATACCTTTCTGTATAGATATAACCATGCCGGTTTCTAAGATTGCAAATAACCCTCGATATCTCTTTCGTTTTCCATTGGGTCCTTAAAGCTAGCGCCATAGCGCAGTTGGCTCTAGGACTGGGCTCAATTTGTATTATACGGCATTCGGGAGGAGCTTTTCTGAACTCAAAATTCAGGATCGGAAGCCGTTCAAGGAGTGACATTATTTTATTAAGTTAGGGTTGAGTAGAATGGCTGGCGCTAATCCATATTCTCGCATACTCCTCCGGCAGAGCTTCGTACTAGTATATGAGGCATTTTCTACCGTAGAAATGTGCCACTTTATATCAGTGATTATTCTGCAATCAAACGTACAGAAATGCTTCATTTCGGACCTTTTTCGTTCATTGTATTACAGACAACCGGTAAGCGCGTTATATAAATTCGGTGCAGCCAAGCTGAATATCCTTCCTCCACGAAAACTATCACCACACAACGAAACGTACGCAAGAAATCACACATAACACAACCCCAGCCATGCAAGAACTCTATTCACAGGGTACGACATTCAACATCATGAAAGCGTGCCTATCTCAGAGTCCTCACCCTTTCGATGAACAGGTGTTCAGGAACCTTCAAAGTGCCCTCATCCTCTCCGGACAGCTCAGCGCACTTCTTGACAAGTACATACCAGGAGTCAGCCCCCCCGAAGACGTCCCATACGACGAAAGTAAACTCCAAGAAGCCAAATATCTATGGACAACCGTCGAAAGCGCTTCCAAGGCCATTTTCGAGGGAATGACAGAGAGGAAAACAGGAAAACTTGGGTTAAATGATGTCTTCAAGATCTGGACGAGATTTGAGGAAGAAACCGGGATGCTCCGCCTTTCGCAGAGACTTCACAGGTTGAATCATCACCTGCTGGCCTGTGAGCAGATTCTCGGCCAATATGGGGGTATACCGTTGGATGCGGAAAGGCAGTCAAGACAAGACGCTCAGATATTGGAGAAGATTGTATTCCCGGCAAGTGAACAGCTCGTGAGACTACATGCACATCTTTTAGACGCAGCTGGCCCAAGTCGCGGCAGTCCACCCCAACAGAAATCAAACGAAGGCCTGCTATCACAGATCCGGAGCACGACCAGCAAAGATTACAAGGACTACCACCGCTTCGAGGATATCATGCTCCGTCTGACAACCGTAGGTCTAAAACTAACGGCGCTTCTATGTGTTCCGCAAAAGGTCATCATGGCCCAACATGAATTACAAGAGTTTTCCCGCCTGGTGCTGGAATATCCACGACTGGCCGGCGCCCCTGCATCCCACCAAAATCAGTTTATCGAAACTCACCTCATCCCTCTTAGAGAGACGGTCATAACCAGAGTGGATCATATTTCTAAGATCACGGCATGGGAAGATGGAAGGAGGGAACCAGCGGCGCAGGAACTCATCCTCAAGTCGCGCGACATGATCCAACGCTTACAGGTTAATAGATGATAGCTATAGATATATATTACCTAGCGTTCTACAAGGACTTGTTTGCCTCTACAAACTAGTCCCATTACCGGGCTTTTTCTTTGAGAAAGGGTCTTGAGTTTGCGCTTATGAATTCACCAATACATGTAGACGTTAGGTTCTGTACATGTATCCACATTTGTATTTGTATTTACTCTATATATTAGGAGTCTGAATGCGGTTAGAGCATGTAATTAGATAGAAATAGAGTGTACCATATTATATACATATTAAATCTAATTAACGAGTACTTCATAATCTTTCTATATTTCTTGATCTGTTTTGACCAGCTGCAGCTTGACTAGCGATCGTGGAGGATAGAATTCTGTGGACAGGAAGAGGGTTGTAAAAGCTGTAACATCTATCAAATGGGTCATGATATTCAATTCTCTTATAATGGTTGTAGCGGTAGGCACTGGGTACATTGAAAGCACGAAATCGCCTGGTAAGTAACACCGAGTGAGAACCTGTGACGCAGGTTCCGTTCTGTTTACGATTTTATCCTACACAGCCATAGATGACGAGGTGCAATCAAGAATTTACAAATGGCCACTAGCTACAGGTAGATTCGTAACAGCGATCAAAACATTTTTTAGTACTCCGGGTCTCCATATGAACCCTCGCTCTATCTACATGCCCTCCCTTAGTGACAAGCCGTCACCAATATCTTCCTCCACGTTACAACGACAGTGGACTGCATCCGATGTACGTTCACCGCATGTATTGGGACCTCGAAGTACCTCCAAATCACCTGGTGCCTCATTAATCTTTGGTATAGGGCGACACCTGCCATTTCAGAAGCGGGAATCGGTAAAGAGTGCCGTATACCCTATTTTCCTTTCCTTTTTCCAAGGAGATGCTGACTCAAAAGAATGCTAGTTTCATAGACATATGTAGGTATGAAAGATCAGTCTCTCCTCTACTTCTTTATACATGTCTTCATCTGTACTGGCCATATTCTCGTCTTGCGAGGAGGCAGAGTCCTCCCTGTCTGTCTGTGATAGGGAAATCTCCCCACCTCTATCGGGGGTATAGTTCTTCGTTCCTTCTTTCTGCCCACTCATTCATTATAAGTTATTAGAAGGGAACGTTTCTTTTAGTCTCCCCCGGTCTGGGGCGTGGTCAATCCCCCTCACTATACCAACACCATCACCAAGCGATGAAACAAATTCCCCCTCCCTTCTCCTATTATAATAATCATGTATAAGACCACTACCTATTTCCTACACTGAGCGCATCATGCTTCTTTATATCCAGGTTAATCTTCTTCATGGGATATCACTCGATGATTCTGCTTCCGCCCATTCTATGCTGCTATCTAGTGTTTTCACCCCGCGTATCACCCTAGCTCTCCTGCATTGGATTTTCCCAGAACTTTGTGATACTAGAGGCGGGGGAGGGGTACTAGTTTCCTAGAACCAATGATCGTAGCCTGAGACACCATCGTACACGGTTCAAGGCAAGAGATAGAAATACGGAGTTGTGATCAGAGAGGTATAGTTTAATGGCTATATATAGAGCAGCCCCTTACCAGCGACGCCCCATTCTAGGCCCGCTAACCATTGAGTTCGCCATCTGGGCTCTTATCGGTCTATGCAGACCCTGCGTCAGCGGATAGCGTAGGTTTGCGGTGTTCACCACAAATCACATTCCTGTAAACCTGCCTTCGAACCACGACTTTAAAATGGAGAATTGAGTGATAAGATGTGATGCTTATGCCACTGGACTAAGCCAGCCATTCTTAACGGAGATGCAAGAGGACCGCTGTACGTTTTCGTGGATGGTGCAAAGCGGGGCTAGGGATTAAGCGAACTCCGGAACCTTGGGTAAAGCTTAATTTCATGATACCTGTCTCATTCTCTCTTCCCTTCCTTTCACTTTCACCTTTCACCCCCTCCACACACATCCTCATCAGGAGCACCGGCGGAGTACTCATTAATTCTTTCAACGACCTCATCATAGAACTATCGAAATGTCTCTTCTGGCTCCTCATTACGCACTTTGCTTGGCTTCTGGGAGTAATTCTCTCGACTTCGTGACATGTGGCTACCACTGTTATAGCAGTATCAACAGCGTCAGTAATCTCAGTTTATTGCGTTTCATCGTCAGATCTATCAAAACATGGCGTTTTATTACTCAATGTGCACCAGAAAGCTTATACCTAGAAACAGCGCTGTTTACTAACTTCGAATGAGAAGATACATGTAGGCATCAGAACCATTTACTTTCGTCACCGTACCCGATGGAGGAGGAGGAGGGATACCACTATCGACACTATTGACAAGGCGGCCACCAGCCTAAAACCCAAGTTCCAGGCCGTGCTTTTCGACATATTGCACCACCGGCTACATGATTTATAATGGAAAGTAACTTGTAATAATCTTACAGAACATACAGAAAGAGAAATGACCGCTACCTAAGAGTAAAAAGAATAGGAAAAAAGGCCCAAGAAGTTCGTCAACCCAAAAATCACCGCTCATAACCAAACACCCACTATGGAAACAAAACAGAATCCGCGAAAACAGAATCAAAAAAAACACCACCAACACCCTAAGCACCCATATGTATAAACGGCGCCCACATCAACACCTTCTGCGGCTTACGTTTCCTCAACTCTACAACCGCTCTATGCATTGCAACTCCCGAGCCAACCCCATCCACAAACAACCCGGTATAGAACCCTCCTGCAACCTCCACACACGCATCATCAGAGCTCTCCCACAGCGTCCCCACCACATTCCTGAAGCCCGCGAGTATAAACGCCGCCGCCAAATGAATGTTCTCGTCCGCCAGCTGCACTGCCGAGTTCTCGGCCGTGCTGCAGGCACTAAGATACGCAACCTGGGCGGTTGTCGTGTTTGCGTCGGAGATTGTCTGCACAGTCAGCCTGTCTTGCGTGCCGTCTTTCGCGTGGAGAAGGAGCGCGCTGGCGGAGGGGTTAGACGGGTTGCTAATGCCATGGCAGGCAAAGTGGATAACGGAGTGGGATGCGAGCTGATCAAGGACCTCGCTGGCGGTGGGGTGTGTGAGGCTAGTGGCAGAATGTGCGCCGACAATCTCGCTGATACAGGAGGCCTCCTGCTCGACGCCATGGAGGTCGCTCTCGCCGGGTGTTGTAGGCATCGTGACAAGGAGGACGTTTGGTGAGCCGCGGGGAAGAGTCGGGGGCCGCATGCTGCGGGCATAGGTGAGTGCCTTGATGGTCGGGATGTAGGAGGAGATGACCCGGCTGATTGTGTTCTGTGTTGAGCCCGCGGTGTGGATTCCGGCGGCGTGGAAAGCCGCAAAGCTGAGAGCGCCGCTGCCCACCCACCACACATGCGGCATCACGGCCTCGCTGCCATCGATCCCCAGCGCCGCCAGCACCGGCTCCACGGCGACGTTCCAGAGCCACTCCAGAGCAATATTCATCTTCTTGTTCCTCCGCGCGTAGGTGCTCACCTTCCCGCGCACCACGTTCACGCCCAACCCCACCGTCTGCTCAACTGCCTCCTTGATCTCCCACTTTGGAAGGCAGACACTCTTGATCTCGTCTGCCGTGACAATGATGGCGTCGCACCGGTCAATCCCGCTCGCATACACCACTATCGGCCCCTCCTCCGCCATCTTCCGCATCTCTGCCCCTGTTGGCAGAAGCAAAAAGTTCTCAAACCCTTCTAGGGTGCGGATCTTTGCCAGCACCTCTTCAAGCTGCTCCGCTGCGCGCTTCCTCCTCGCCGACACACTCCCCGCCGAAAGCTCCTCGAGCTCCTTTGCCAGCCCTGTGCTCTTTGCCGAGAATCCTGCCGTGCTGTCGAGCTCGCGCCTCAGCAAATTGAACTCCTCATACAATGCCGGGTGCGCAGCCTGCAGATCGGTCGTTTCGCTGCGGCAGTTGATAACAAATCCCATGATGATGCCGCGGCCCATCTCCAGCACTCTCAGTGCTCTCTCCGCGCCATAACCAGCTGTGAGCGCCGCGTTTGCAGCACGCGTCGGGATCCCAAAGAGAAGCTTGAGCTGCGCCTGCTGGTCCTCCCGCGCCAGTGACGGCGGTGAGACCCGCGGCATGAGCTCCACACACTTCTCGAATATGTCTGCAGCCTCGCTCCACCTGCCTGACTTTTCAAGGACATCGCAGAGGCGCTTTCCTGCGCGGATTCGGGTGAGCGGTGGCGCGAGAGTCATCTCCCACAGGTCGCGGAAGGTGACAAACGAGAACTCGCCATCAGGGCCTTTGTTTTCTAGGGCTTGGTAGCGGATAAGATAGGAGCGGGCGAGGTCGTCGAGGATGTCGGCGCGCACGGGCAGCTCATCGTCAATCTGCGTTGCTGCGGCCTCGAGCCAGCTGATTGCGCTGTTGATGTCGGCAATGCTGCGGCCGCGGCGGTAGCGGCTGCGCAGGAGTTTGCCCATGCGGTGCTTTATCTCTGGCACCGTTATGCGCCCGCCCCTGTAGAGAGTCAACGCATTTTCGGTCATGATCAATGCGCGGTCGAGGTCGTTCCAGAAGACGCCGTACACGCTGTGGCGGAGATGGAGGGCATCGGCGACGATGACGAGGCGGCGAGAGTGATCGGGGTCGTCTTCGGCGGTCTTTTCGAGGCAGAGATTCCCGAGCGTGATGGCATTGAGCAGATTCTCCTCCTCTCCGCCGGCCTTGAAGCTCTCGATAAACCGCTGGCAGAGCTCAATCAACCGCTCAGGCCGGCTTCGATGCTGGACGGGCGTGCAGTCGAGCGCCTCCCTCGCCGTCTTGACCGCGATGGCCATATCGTCCTTGGCCCCGATGCGCCTGAACCGGATGCTCAGCGACTCGCTCAGCTCGCTGAGAAAGTCGCCCTTCATTGCCGTCGACTCCTTGCAGTGCGCCACCGCTGCATATCCATTCTCCACCGCGCGGTGCAGATCCATCACGTTTCCCAGGCGCTCGTATCGCGCACGGTACGTTGCCGCGAGTGTCCCGAGTATAGGTGCACGATCCGGATGCCCGACCTCGGCCGCCGCCGCCGCCTTCTCACCCGCCTCAACCGCCGCGTTGAGTCCCTCCGCGCCTCTGTGGAGATGTTGGACATACCTGGCCAGCACCGCCATCGTCCCCGCCTCGATCCTATGGCCTTGTGGAATGGACTCCAGGGAAACTCGGGCGAGGCGAGCGGCGCGCTCGATATCTTCACGATGGCCCCGAGCATCCAGCATCGTCGCGAGATTCAGAAGCCGCTCTGCATAATGCGGCGAGCGCGTTGAAGTTTCTTTCAAAGACCTCTCCGCGTATTCTATACACTCGGTAATGTCCCGGGACTCACGAAATGCTTGCCACCGTAGGAGCAGCTGCGCACTCAGATTCCCAATTATGCCCGGCCTGTCAGCACTACTCCCTTTCTCTGCCGACGCCTCCAGTGCCTGCCTCATCTTGGAAATTCCCGTATCAATGTCCTCCTTTGTTCCATGCACCCTGAATCTCCCCGTATAGCAATTTGCCAGGTTCAGTAGCCGCCCCGCATATTCTTGCTCCCCCTTCTCCATCCCGTCAAACGCCGCCTGTGCAAGAAGCAATGCCCTGTCCAAGTCAACTACGCCCCCGGACTCATGCTTATGTCTTAGATACAGCGCCTGACTCATATTGGTCCTCGCCGTACGCTGCTCCTCCCCCTCTGTCGCCTCCACGACCAGCTCCCACGTCTCGATCGACCTATCTAGATCGGCCCTTTCCCCTAGCCTTTCATACCGTACCTGTAGTATATGTGCGAACAAGCCAACACGCATTGCATACTCCTCATCCTCGCGCTCTGTCGCCGCCATCGCAATCTCCGCAGGCTCCACCGCACTATTCAAATCCTTAATATCCCCGAGGCGCTTAAACCGCCTTAGCAGGCTGTGGGACAACTTGGTCAGCGTCTCAACATCGCCGTCGCCCTCTTCAATCTCAGCTTGCAGATCAGAAATATCATCACCCTTTCTGACGTTGAGAAGGCTCTCCATGTTCCTTCTCATGTTGGCCGCCACAGGGTGCGAAGCTGGCAGCACCTCAATCCCGCTCTGCAGCCCGGCCAGAATAGCCACTGTATCATTACGATCGCGCAAAAACATGGAGTCTACCCGGGCGCCCAGTGCTTCCGCGCGCAGGTTGATGTTGTCGCTGAGGGCGGCCGAAAGCTCGAATCGCTCGATTGCCTTGTCGATGTCACCGTGCTCGCGGAGGCGGTTGCCTATATCGAAGTGCAGCTGTGCTATGTTTATACCGGGTACTCTGCAGCTGCCGCTCGAACGTTCTATGGAGGATGCAAGTTCTTCGGCGAGTGCAATACACCTTTCGAGGTCGTCGGTGCCGTGGAGGGCGTCGTAACGGTAGCCGTGAAGGCGGGAGAGGAAATGGAAGACGAGAGGGCGGATGCCGCGGCCTTCGTGCCCAGCTTCTAGTGTGCGTGATAGCATCCCGATAGCAGCAGAGAGATTGGTGACATCGTTGGTATGGATATAACGAAGGTTGAAGATCTCACAGAGGTTCATAACTGCGTTGGTGCGTATGCGCCGCGGGGGGGCGAGTAAGGAGACGGCGATTTGCGCGTGGTGGAGGGCTGAGTTGATGGTGGGAGTGTGTCCAGTGGTGCGGAATTCCTGTTGGTAGGCATTCGAGAGGATGTAATGGGCCACGGGGCGATGCGGGGATTCGGTAGGCACGGATTCCAGCACTGCGAGTGCGATATCTGGGGTAAGCGACAAGGAGCTAGGGGTGAAAACGCCGCCATTCATGTCCTCCTCGTCAAGGGCGTCGGCTTCTTCTTCAGAGATGGGTGCCGGCCAGAGGTCGGGGGCAGGGCCAAGGTCAGGTGCGGGTATCTCCTCCTTTCCCTCTTGGACCAATGACTTTACAACAGGTTTACTAGAACCCGAAGACTCACCGGCGTTCTCGTCCCTCGCTCTTTTCCGTGACTCTTCCACGCCTCTGCTTAGGTCCATTTCCACCACCTCATCCTCTGCATCCGCACCTGCGTCTACATCCATATCCAAACCTACCGCGCCCGCGTCCTCACTGTCTGTGGCCACTTCTTTACCCTTTCCTTTCCATTTACCTTTGCTTTCTATTTCTTCCGGTAACTTTGAAATCTCAGTACTAAAGTCAAGATTACCAAGCTCAGCGATAGCTTTGTCGGCGGCTGCCTGTGCAGCTTCGGTGGTCATTATTTCTCCTTCCTATAGTAAGAGTGGGTGCGTTAGCAGTATTCAATTTATCCTACTAACGTCTCCGGAAATTTTATGGTAATTCCAGGGGCATCATAACGGCCTCGAGCTTGACCCAGAGCGAGTTCCATTATCCAGCTCCCCGATCGGTGGCCTAGCAGGGCACTGGGGAATGGAGATAGCATTGTGTACGGGTCTAGGAAAAGAAGAGGCTATCAAGACTAGATCCATATTGCAACATACCACTTTTAACTCAAACCTCTTCTTCTTTTCCTTCTGCGCTCCTCCCTCCTCCTCCTCCTCCTCCACCTCCTCCTCCTCCTCCTCTTCACCCCCTTCCTTAACCACCACTGTCTTCTCCCCGCTCCGCCGAAGCGATAACCTCGTTGGCATCCTATACGAAATCATCGCATTCTGCAGCTCCGGCAGATCCTTCAATGCCGTTGCCTGCCTGATGTTAGTGCTCTCGAGCATGAGCGACAGCAATACCTCCCCCATCTCCCGCTCGCGCGTGTCCTTGGTGCGCATCAGCTTTGCCAGCTCGTTGTCGGGCGCTTCGAGGTGGTCCATCGGCGGTATGTAGCGCGCGGGGTCGTCCGTGTGCGCCGGGAGGCTCTGGGCTGTGAGGGCGCCGCGCACCACGTCACCGGAGATGCTGGAGGAGGAGGAGCAGCGGGACAGTGGTGGTGGGGAGGAGGAGGGTGTGGAGGGGGAGGCGCTGGGTCGTTCGCCCGTGGGCGAGGGCGAGGGGGATACCATTGTGGGTATCGGTGATTAATTGACTGGTGGTTTGGGTTGTAGGAGGTATTCGTGGAGGTTTGTCCAGTCGGTCCGTTCAATAGGTATAGATAACTCTGTAAACTTTGCAAAATTGTAGATTCGTAGCTTTTTATACTCGAGACCGTTATATTCACAAACTCCAAAATCAAGAAGAAAGCAGAAGAAAGCAGAAGTCAAAAGAAAAGAAAAAATTGGGACGTATGTCCCCTTTACATGAACATTTCTCGACTGCGACTCCACTGCCAAACCGCAGCAGCCGTGAGGCTCTGTTGGTATATTGTGGCTGTGCAGCGCTTCAATCACCGCCCCTGTCCATCTCACGGACTAGGATGGTGGGGGGTAGGGGGGATATGTAGGAGGTGGACGGAACACTATCGATTGGCCAGATATAAATGACAACATTCTGCAGGATAGCGATCGGCACGCTGATCTACTAGCTGGCCAGTGCAGCGCTGCAGAATTAATAGAGTAAATAGGGTGTTTTCCTTCAACGAGGTGGGGTCTATCAGTCAGTCTACCCCACAACTCTCGCTATCTCATACGATTGGTCGCCGACGTGAAGTGAGAGCGGGCGCGGCGCGCGTGGGGAAGCTTAAGTGCGGGTTGACGTTGCAACGCCGTCCGTTGTGCGAAGTGCGCTCTACTACAGATCATTCCGCGCTACATGTAGTTATAGAGAAGTCGGGGCGATCACTGAGCGGCCCGACCTCCGACAACAGACAACTGATCGAACAACGGCCAATTGGAAAGTGCTGCTTGGGAACGTTTATATCACCCCTCGCTTGAATTCGGCGGGATGACTTGACCGACCCGCATGGCATGGTATGAGATCTGAGGCTGAACTTCATGAACATACACATGTCGATCGTCAAGCTTTTGCGACACAGTCAGCACTGATTCTGATTCCGAAACCAAACCACTGCGAGTGTTGCACAATCTCGCAAGGTAGCAGAGCATAGATCTGATCTAGAGAAGGCTAGATCACCCCATGAAGCGCGGCGAAACAACTACTGTCTTCCAGAACATCAATGCGCACAAAGCCCGTCCCGCCCCGCCGGCCCTATAGTATCGTCCCACAGGGAAAGGAGCTACTCTAGATAGATGGATAGATGGCTAACAACTATACATCCCCCCACTCCCATCTCCGAAGACCGGGCCGGGGAGGAAGAGTAATACAATAAAAAAAACGATTCCAGATACTTCTCGTGAGTTATTTCTCCCCATACCCATACACATGTCCGGTGTTCACAGTAGGACTGCAATCTACTCTACACATCTTCCGCTCCAGGGTCAAGGTAGATAGTCAAGTACAAAATACAAACAACCCCAGGTAGTTACATGACGGTCGCACAAATATCCCGCGATACAGCCCCTACGCTCTCAACCCAGTCCGTCCGTCCGATCGTTTGTTTCCAGTTATCTGACAAAGCCGCCGCCACCGCATCTAGTCAGCCAGCAAGCCGCTAGTCATCCCCCATCATGCCATCTCAGCTCTATTAGTAACCACCCCATCGCAGCTGCAGGGATCGATGCGCTATATCCTCTGGTGAGAGCGGGGCGGTGTGGTGGATCGATCGAGGATCCAGGAACTGGATGATGGATGAAGCGAATGCCATGTCGGCAGAGATGGGGATCTGTGGTTTGCCATGTGAAGAGTGCGGAAATACCGGTGGGTGTGGGGGAAGTAAGCAGGTGGTACAAGCTTGCAAGTGGAGTTGTGTTGCAGCCTAGGTGACGGGGTTCCATCTACCTGGAGTATGCACCACTTGAGAGATATAGATGGTAGTTAGTAATTTATTACGGTAAAGGTTAGAGATAGAGGTAGAGTACCATGGCCAGCTGAAAGGTCTTCTACCTAGAGTACTAATGTATCTAGTACATACATGTCGATTTGTGAATTGTTCTGCAGAGGTTCGTTTCTGTCTGTGGCAGAGCGAGATATGAATAGTAGCAACACAATCACGTCTTGCAAGTATGTAGCGCAAATAGAGCCCTACGTACCACCTTCTCTCTCGTTCTCTTCCCCCTTATTTCCCTCTGATCAATCATGATATTCCACGTAGCAAGAATACGTAGAGGATAAACACTCCAGCCACGACCAGCGGCACAGCCTCACTCCGAGCCACCACACCACCACACCACCACACCACCACACCACCATGTTGTTATTCCTGGAGTGACAGCCAAGCTAGTGTGGCTGGAAAGTGATTCATCCATACGTACATGCACCCCGGGCAGGGGTATCCATAAATCCCGCCTACGCCGTATATATGCCTACCCCCCACCCCCCACATCTAAGAAACAAAAATTCCTCATAAACAAAAACTCACAAGCTCCGCCTCGAAGTTCTAAAAAATCAACAAAATCTACAACGCCCAGAAAAACTCACATCTAAATCCCACATATTCCAAATCTCACAAACCCGCATAATGTCCACCTCCACAACCTCCGCCTTCCAAGCCTCCCTCCTCCCCCTCAGCGCCGTCCAACTCGGCCGCCTAATCCTCAACATCAAAGCCCCGCACGAAGACTACGTCGACCCGCCCGCCCCCACTCCCCCGGAAGTCATAAAAAACCCGCAACGCAACTTTACCGAGCTCCGCACCTCCTCCAACGCCTTCAAGCTACGCGGGCGGCTCACGCAGCTCCTCAGCGCCTCCTACGAGCACGAATCCAAGCATCAGATCGACCTCTCCGCAACGATCGCATACACCTACGCGCTGTGCAACAGCGGCGCATGGTTCAAAGCTGCGTGCGCGCATCATTCCATCCGGCGGTGGCTGCAGGACGCGATTGAGGATGGCGACAGCGTGTATTTGGTGACGGGGTACCACACGGTTGTTGATGCGCGGTTCGGCACAGGGATGAGCAGCACGAGTACGGATCGCCAGCAGGTTAGTATGCCGATTGATGCGACGGGGTTGCCGAGCATGCAGGGGATGGATATGACGGCGGGGGTGGACACGAGCCATAAGCTGTGTCGCGGGTTCGGGAGGACGTTTGAGGCGCCAGGGGAGCAGGTGTATGCGGTGCAATTTCGGAAGGTTGTGTTTAGGTGGTTTAGTAGTAGGAAGATTGAGAAGGGGATGCTGAAGGAGAACCAGTGGAGGGTGTATGCTGGACGGGGACCAGTAGATAGGTATGACTCTAATAGTGATAGTGAGGATGAGGAGGATGCTGTAGAGGCAAGCTTGGGCGGGTTAGAAGGAGATGACCTGTCGGATGATGATGATGATGATGGGATTGATGGAGAAGAGGAGGATGACGATCTAGGGGAGACATGGGTGAGCAAGGATGATGAAAGCGTTTGGGTATTATAGAGCTTTGGCAGTTATTGAAATATAAATAAAATTATGTAAAAAGTTTTTAGACTCAGCTGAATGCTGTGCTTCGTTGAACATCTCAGGAGTTTACAGTGAATCTATCAGTGTAGCCTGAGAAATCCTAAGGACTGATTCTGCTAATCAGCTCAACATTATTGTTTCGCGAGTGAAAATATCCACGAGTCTTGGTCATATCTCTTGGCTAACTGTGATTGGTGGTCAATTAATCGTTAGCCACACCCCTTCCACTTTCGTCGAGATAATATTTTCTAATGACATAAGCAACGGAAGCCTTAATATGTCTTAGTCTCTTTCTCCTATACCCCATGGCCATGGGATTGTTCCGGAAGCATCTTCTTTCTTGCGGGGATAAACTGATATCTCCGTCCACCACCTAGAGCTACCTGATCCAGAGGATTCCGATCATGGAGGCTCTGCGGCGGCGGGTTGTGTAGGGTGATCGGCCATGCGTCATCCAGACAGGGAATTGTATTAAACTCGCATATATCTCAAGACTCACTTGAACCCACCTCGTGGATTAGATGAAATACATGCTCAAGACTTGCTCGTCAGGAAAAATCTTCAGGACCGCCACTGGCCATAGTCATCGCACATGTAAGCGGCGAGGAAACCACGCATATGGTGCTTTTATTGAATTTCATTTTAATTCTTATCCTTGTTTGTCGTCACCGTTATCCATGACCAGTAAGACTCCGATAGGACCTTTCTCGATCATTTTCTGAGATCATTCATGTAGTCACCTTTATCTATCCGCTGAGTACATACGTCCTTGGACAGTCACCGATCAGATACTCCACTCAGGCCCGATATCATCCATGCTCTAAGGAAACAGCTCAGTGCTATTGATTACAACGATCGGCGCGTGTATCACCAGCCTTTTAGAGCTAGTAATAGAAGCCATGTGGAAAATTAAAGGCTATGTGAATATCCATTAAAAAACGAATGTGTCGGTACGGGCAACTGTTTGACGTTAATTTCCACCCGCGGCTCGCCTCTATCTAGGCCTCACAACATTTAATCGATATCCACCGTTGCGGAGAAGTCGAAAGACTCGGAAATTGATGAGCATAGAGGGCGCGACTCCAATATTCCTGGTGATACCCATATGAAATTTGTTTGATTCTGGTTTCTTTGAACGGTAGTCTTTTGTCTAGCACTGCATGTTGCATATCATTCAATATTCTATTTTAGCTTATCCATCTCCATTTTCTCCCGAAAACTGATATTGCAAGACCTCCGAATCAAAGGTCGAATGGGGAAATATTAGGCCTCATTCAGCGATCAACCAGTCAATAACTGAAAGCCGGCGATCAGTCCCAGTACTTTAGAATTGAGGCGTCTCCATTGTAGCCCAGTGCAAACAATAAGGTCTGCATTTCCCTTCATTCTGGGAGTGTTGCACTTATTTTTTGATTATCTCACTGTCCAATAACTTCCTCTGGCAATTACTACAATTCATGTACTCTTAGAGCGAGGAGAGGGGCCTTTTTTCTTTAGTCCATTGTGGTCAATAATCTGTTGACTAACAAATTGGAAAGCGTTTGATTTTCGTCTCTGCGAGATTCAGCCATAGCTCCGGCATTTATTTAGAATTCTCCTCTCCGTGTAGATTCTTGGGTATCATGCAGGGATCGATTCCCGACGAAAGAAAATCGTAAGGTTTGGTTGTTGCAGTCCATTTTATTTCTTTATTTTTTTTAGTTATGGTGAGACTGGATAACGCTGTGGTAAGAATTTGATTAAGTGTGCCAAAGTTGCAAGCATTATACTTAAGCAGATATTGATAGATCTATGGTAGCTCTGTGTCGATCACCATCCAATATACGATTGGGCTAAGAATCCAAAGGTTATCTAATAGGTCCATGTTGTCTTGCAGCCCATCGCTGACTTCCTAGGGTTAGGGTTATCCGGCTCTCTCAAGGCAAGCTTTAATTTTCATAATTTATCTGTGTTTATCGGTCAGTGATTTATCTAGATGTTAGCGGTGATTTATAACTATTTATATTATCCGGAGATTATATCTAGATGTTAGTAACATATTATGATATTCCATAAGGGAAGTAGTTTGTAAGACCGGCCGCTCAGATCGCATTATTTCTTGGCCTAATATTTTGCCGATGGCGCCATCGAATAACTTGAATACGATGCTTTCGATATTACGACCAGAAGGGATTCTTGGAGAGCGCTATGCGCATAGGTAATGCGCATGGCGCAGGAGAAAGGACGCTTCCGCTACTAAATGCATGTTTTTTTCCCGGCGCCGACGATCTCTGCAGTACCAGTGGACACGATACTTAGAAGTTATTCCGACTCCGAAGCGTCAAGAAAAAATGGGATAAGAATCAAAAAGAAAATAGGAGCGGCGGAGGTTCAAGCGGAGAGGGGGAGCGATAGATAAAGAGAGTGGGGTGTTAGAAGCAGCGGGATTGGGCGGAGAACGGTAAGAGTGGACAGGTGCGGTGGTTGGAGGCGGAAGTAGGTATTAAAAGTTGGAAGTACTGGGGGCGGGGGATAAAAAGTAGATGAAAATGTGGGATACCAGTACGGATATATTTGTGTACTTAAAACAGGAGATACATACAGAGAGAAACACAGAGAGTGTTCACAGTATTCCCTACCAGCCAAGACAGTACATTATCGCTGTAGAATGTGTAGTTTCTGTTCACCGCTCTTGCTCGCTGCAGTACAATCGATGGCGACAGTTAGTTACCTGGTGTCAGCAGCGGTACTGATGGCTTTTGGGTACCAAGATTGGTGTGAAAGCTGATGGTAGAAGGGTGATGAATGATGGATGAATTACGATGATGATGGATGTATCAAAGAGGGGAGAAAACGAGATGTGATGGATAGAATCTGGTGTAAATGATGAGGATACAAAGAGCTCTTGGCCGGGGAAGAAGGAAGGAAAAGACCATGGGAGTAAATGTGAAGGGAGGGAGTAAGGGAATGGGAGTTTCAATTCATGCAACGGAGATCGATGGATAGATAGAAAGCATGGAGGAGCGAAAGGACAGTTGACGGATACAAGTTGACAACAACGGCCAAATTCTTGGGCTTAAGGGCTTTAGCTTATGATCGCATCTAATCTAATCTCAATCTCAGCGGGCAGCAGGAGCCGCAGCAGGCAGCAGGTAGCGGGTTAGCGCTAGTACATCGAGTGCAAGAGTAGCCTTTGTGTTTACAATGTATGTACTTTTTGGTTTTAAGCTCCTTGACCACTCAATATGTATTTTCTTCTGCTTGAATGGGATTGTTCTTTGCACTCTATCTTTGCTTGTTCCTCTTTTTGAGCATTAAAATGGGAGTATGCCCGCTGCTTTGCCCCCGGGTCGGAATATGACCGGAAAGCTGGCTTCTTTTCAAAGCAAATATCAACACTGAGAGTATTTACTTTACCTGCGTCCCGTGATGTATACATTCTACCATTTCTATGTTCCTCTAATATAGAGGAGTTAAAGCTTTCGACAATTCTCATTGCACGCAAATGGTGGTGCCGGAGGTCTCCCACCCACTAACAACGAGATAATGAGCCACAGAAGGAAATGAAACGTAAGAACGCTCGCCGCCTCTATTTACAGTCTAGCTTGAATTATTATCTCCATTAACCAAAACCTACATGTATGCAAGGATATCAACGCAACCAGCCATATGTCATTAAGGCCACAAGCTATGCTAATATACGTCTACTTTGCTTCTGGTATTGATGGTATCATATATAATGGACCCCATTCGGCGACCCCCACCAAGTAGATCCTAAACGATACTAGTGTTGAGAATCAGTACTAAAGGGACATCATTATCAATCATCATTACACGTTATCACATTAATATCGTTGCCAATTCCCCATCTTCCATGCACGCAGACGAGAGAGTATCTCAAATGTATATCCCATCTTCTATGATCACGAAAAAGCCACCCCCGCCCAACAGTATTTCGGCTCCGTCTAATTCAAATCCTAGAGCGGTGTCACCACGACTGCAGCTGGTCATACAATCAGCCTAAAGTTAGTAACAAACCCTAACCCGTTCGCCGAGTGATATGTAGTGACGGAATTAGCCCCAACATCTATGGGCACTAGTTAGAATCGATAAGTTTATTTGCCTACACTCCCCGAAATCAAAGATTTCTAATCCAAAACACAACAGTGTCCTGCGTAGCTACTACCCCATACCATAATCAGTAATCGGAGCCAATGTCTCTAAGGCCATGTTGCCTGCCAAGAGTGAGGAGTGCTGAGAAAAAATATCTCATAAACAGGGCGCAACGGGCCGAAAGCGCGTCAAAGGCATTTTCTGCGTTCTATGCTGCAACTATAATAATTCCCCGCAGTACAGACCCAGGTTCTGTATATTCGGTTAATAGCCGAAAAGTGTGGGGGAATTTAGCCTGAAGTTGAAGTGTACATTAAGCTTCCCCGCAAGGTGTTGGTCGGGGAGCGTCGGGGTGAGACGCGATGAGCTTCGATGAGCGTGGGGTCTAGCTCGTATATTCAAATGTGGGGTGGATATAATGAGGTGGGGAGGAGGGGCGGATGGGTATATATAGAGCTAGTGATTGCAGTTGAGATGAAGTACGGACAATTATACTGCAATTGCAACGTTATCCTCGAAAATGACAGAAACAAAGTTCTCATTCCTGAAGGTTGACGGCGAGAAGATTGTTGATGAGAATGGCAACAACGTGATCTTGAAAGGCGCGGGTTTAGGAGGGTGGATGAAGTATGTTTTCTCCCTCTCTCCAGCTTACAAGCCTTTCCTGTGCACTGTGGTTCATGATCAGTCCCCCGTTCATACCTCACCACACCCCTAGAACCCATTAGAGCTAACCACCCCTCCCAGTATGGAAAACTTCATCACAGGCTATCCCGGGCACGAGCACCAACACCGTGCAGCAATGCTCGCTGTTCTTGGTCCAGAGAAATATGAATACTTTTTTGACCAGTTCCTCACACATTTCTTCAACGATGCCGACGCCGCATTCTTCGCCTCGCTGGGACTCAACTGCCTCCGCATCCCATTCAACTACCATCATTTTGAGGATGACATGAACCCGCGCGTGCTCAAGACCTCCGGGTTCAAGCATCTCGACCGTGTTGTAGACCTCTGTGAGAAGCATGGAATCTGGACAGTGCTGGATCTACATGCGGTGCCCGGGGGACAAAATCCGGATTGGTATGTTTTGTGCTGGGCGTTGGGAGCTGCAGCTGCGGAGTGCTAAGCTAATATGGAGATGACTGTAGGCACTCGGATAATCCGACGAATGTGGCACTGTTCTGGGAGTATAAAGACTTTCAAGACAGGGTGGTGTGGCTGTGGGAGGAGTTGGCCGAGCACTACAAGGACCGCAAGTGTATCGCGGGGTATAACCCTTTGAATGAGCCTGCTGACCCTGGTACGTCCTTCTATGTATGCCCTTCATATGAGGTCGTGTTTTTCTAATGTGGCGAGCAGAACATGTACGACTCCCGAAGTTCTATGACCGCATCGAGAAGGCCATCCGAAAGGTCGATGCAAACCATATTCTTTGGCTCGATGGAAACACATTTGCAATGGACTTCAAGGCTTTTGACAGTGTACTGCCCAACACTGTCTATGCCATTCATGATTACTCCGTAAGTCTGACCTCGTCCCTACCTCGTAGAATTAGACTCTTAGGATTATCATTTCCCTTTCCTCTCATTTCCCGCGCTTCTTCCATCCCTACTGACCGTCATTTAGATGATGGGTTTCCCTACTGGTAGCCCATATACCTCCACCCCCTCCCAGGACCATAAACTCGAGTCTCAACTCCTCCGAAAGACCGAGTTCATGCACAAACACCAGGTCCCTATCTGGAATGGCGAGTTCGGGCCAGTCTATGCTCCACCCTCCTCTCAGGACGCAGATACAGTAAACACGCAGCGCTATAACCTTCTCGGGGCACAACTGCGTATCTACGAGAAGTACAACATCGGCTGGAGCATCTGGACGTACAAGGACATCGGCATGCAGGGGATGGTGTACGCGGATCCGAAGGGGAAATGGATGAAAACATTACAGCCGTTTATTGAGAAGAAGAAGAAGGTGCAGGCAGATGCTTGGGGGTATTGGCCTTCGGACGAGATTGATGGAATCTTTGGTGTTAGTCCTCGTTAACTCTATTTCTTTTATTGTGCTGGCGATACTGATAAAGAACAGCCCTTGGTAGAATGGATCTCGAAGAACGCGCCAGAGGCAGCGCAGAAGTATCCCGATCACTGGGACGTAAAGCGCCATGTGTCAAGGCTTGTGAAGGAGTGTTTTCTGAGCGAGACGCTGTCTGCGGAGTTCGCGAGGTATTTCGAGGGTATGGGAACGGAGGAGCTAGGGGAGATGGCAAAAAGCTTTGCTTTTGAGAGGGTGGTGCAGAGGGAGGGGTTAAACCAGATTTTGTTGGAGCATGCGTCGTTGGTGTAAAGTGTAGAAGTACGTGTAGAGATACATCAGTCTCAAGTTGTTGTAATGAAGACGAAAAAAGGAAGAACAAGATCTTAAGAACACGATAACCAAAGTAATTACATGTAGTATGAGAGAAATCGCTAAAGCGAGTGACTTGTTCCCGAAAGATGTATGATATAGCTACTTCTCAAGGATGTCCGCCGGTGTTAACTGTTATCTATCCTGATCTGAAGGTACTAGTGCCGGTTTGGGTAACAAGATGCCAAGATGCGAGTGAGCGCTGATGGTTGAAGGTTCCCCCTGATTCCACACGAAGGCAAGACAAAAAACAGGATAAATTAAAATAGCAGCGGATAAACTCATCCTTGCTGCCTTACTAGTGAGTTACCTTGAACCTAGAGTATTAGGCAGGAAAAGATCTTAGGACGCGGTGTTCGTTGGTACAAGTGATAATATATGTTCCAAACTATGCATCGCGCGTAACCTCGATCGCGATATTCTCACATTTACCTAAAGATTGCCCTTCCCTATCTGTCACAAACCAGCAATATGCGTTCGATCACGTCTTCCTTGTAGTTTGGAGAGATCTAGACCTATAGGTTTTAATAATCCTCACAGAAGCGAGAAGCGGGGATGCGGGAAATTCGAAAGGCTCACCTAGCAGGGATAGTATTGAAGTAATGAATTATATCAAAGAGACATGGTATGGAGTTCATGAGTCGATAGTAGAACCTCTATAGCTAAGTTTTCGGGTGGATGCAGGTTTCTATTCAAGAAGTATCGTTTTTACCGTTTCGATCGTAGGGAACGATTACGGCTATAGCTACATATGCATATATCCCTAACTTACCTAAATTATCACTCATATCTACTACTATCTCCCTATAGCAATTTTTCTCTTTAACACACATCTAGTACCGTGCAGCACAAGATCCAGAATCACTCCAGAGTTAGTACGTATAACGAACCCTCCAGGAATTGCAAAGCCCTATTATAAGCCATATGCATCACCATGCAAGGCGCCACAACTTTGAAACTCACGGGATTAAACATTTGTAACTCTGAAGTCGAGCCAGTATGTCTAAGAAAAAATTAGACTTAAAAGAATATTCACCGTACACTGTAAAGATCTTAGGTCTGATTTCGTTCCTCCTATAGGTTAAATTTAACCCTAAAATAACATCGACGTGAAGTACTTATATGCTCTTAGCCGCTATCATGAGTCCAACTTGGAGTAAGAGATGCAAGAGCCGGCTTAGCATGGAATAAGGTGGCAGTTCATACGTACTAAACCGATATATATGTACATGTACTTAATCGACCTTTCTCTGTACTAATAAGCACTTCTACTCGTTGTTGTCAGTACCTCTACAAAGCTACACCATCAATATAGAGGGCGGTATTATATTAAACCCTTCATCGAATAAGGAAGTATTCACTGTCACAAAGAATCTCTAGAGCTTCCCCTGAGATAAGGAACAACGACCCCAACACATCCCTAGAAGTGTAATCCGAGTGATATTTTGTGAGTTAAAAATCCGAAAACCTGGGTTCACCACCGTTGCACGGAACCGAACCCTCTTGAGCCTGTTATCTCCGAAAACGTTCTTAATCTAATAGCGATAGAAGGGGCATGAAAATGTTACCACGGAGGAGAGTTTCTTGAATCCTAGATCTGGGGCGCTTGTTGTTAGTTCATTGATTCATGTATGCAACCCGTGGCCGGCGGCCCGAAGATTCATTATGACAATATCTCATACTTGTTTTATCCCTATAGCTTCCCTCAAACCGCCGCTGCCAACGCTCTCAAACAAATGAAAATAAACAAATTTCACTATTCCAATACAATTTTGATTGTCTCTCTCCCATCTTTCATTCGAATTTCGAACTCCCCGACAGAAAGACCCATTCATAAGCGAGTGATATCCAATGATTCCACCGGTCGCGCTATCCGTAGAACCACCCCTTTCAGCACCCCAATACGGCCAAAAGGGACAAAATCTAGAAGTGTTTACTCATCATAACTATTTATTATAAGGGGCGCAATTAAAGGGGCATCAGAGAGGCAGACCTCTCCCTACAGCTGCCGCGCGCCGAGAGTTCGTCATGAACGTGAATGTTTATGGATAGAGATGATAGTACTTCTTATAATATATAAAAACGGCTTCCAGGGATGTCAAAGATGAATTCACCGCTGGTTGAATAGGAGGATTATGGCTAATTGGTAGGGTGTGGCTGGGTTCGCCAAAGGTCGGGAGGATTCATACATGTATGTGATCGAACTCTGGCCCTAAGTTCCTATAACATCGGCCTGCATCAGATGCAGTTTGCGGTTTACTCCTGTTGGAGATATCGCTAATTATAATCTCGTGCCGCATATAATAGCAGGAAAGAGCCCATCCCCAGGCGGTAACAGACGAAAAGTTCAGATCCGGCCCTGGTTTCTTAGAGCATTTCCATTTAGGTTAACCCAACGCCGGTAGAAACAGGGGTTCTCTTGGTGTTGTGGAAATTATATTTGATACGCATGCTGTTATTGAAACGTGATGCGTAGTATGATACATGTATCCACGGTACCGTGGTGGTGTCCGCTGTAGCATTTAACTACATGTAGACACGACGGCAACTCTTGCGATGTAAATACATTTGAGACTTCTAAGACAACTAAAGGTCTATGTACATATACAGTCGCAACTCGATATGCCGGATTGCGAAGATTCTAAGGATTTCGTACGGGATAGCAAAAAATCCGGGATAGCAAATTGATTTTGCAGTAGGAAAAATAATATTCTCAGAGGATCTCGTACGGGACAGCAAAGGATCCGGTGTATTGAGTTCCGGCATATCGAGTTGCGACTGTAGTTCTATCTAGCTTTGGGTATGTCCAAAAACTGGGTTTCACGTGACTAGGCCTAATCGGACCTTGATGCTTCTCTCTATGCTCTCCATACACAGATCTCCACAGTGCTGCATAGAAGGGCGCTAGTTTTTTTTCATCGTTAGTGACGTTTTGCCATCCTTGCTCGGATATGCTACCTCAATGGAACTGTGTCTGTGGAAAACAGGCGACATACACATATTGATTCTACATTCTGTCTATGTACACGCAGTCAGTGGCGTATACATAGCGACTACATATACCTATACCTACATGTAACTTTAAACTTTACCCCGCTTTGACTTGTTTCCCCTCTTCTTCGTTTCAGCTCAGCTACCTACATGTATCCATCTTCTTGATCATTTCATCTCTCATCACACACTCAAGGCCATTTCCTTGGCCCAGCACGAGACCAAAGATCTCTTTCCACATTTGCCACAATTACTGCTTCATAAATGTGCTTATTGGTATGGATGAAACCAATTGATGGGTCGTGGGCTGATATATCAAGGGCTGTCTCGGCGTTTGAGAAGACACGAGCCAGGCTAGAAGATACTAAGGTTGATGACAAGATCATCCCAAAGGCATGGGCATCCTACTCTCGCTCTCAACTCCTATGTGGCGGATATGAGCTGAATCACCTTGCTCCCGAAAGAACGGATAGTGCCCTGGAACTCTTGGGCCAACTTACCTCCGGGGTGTAGGTACATGAACATTTTCGACCTGTCCCTGGGGGCGGCACCCCCCAGCCGCACGCACAGTGCCCGATACCAAGCGAACGCATATTACTTCAGTGCGCTTAAAGTCAGTGGATCCAGCCATTTAGAGCTTGATTCGAGCGATCAAATCACGGTCGCCGGAGGTGCGAATCAGCCAAGGCCTCTTATTGGCCAGCTCGTTCTAAAGTCTCCCAAGTCTCGAATTAGTGGGGTTTGAACGTTGAAAGCCACATTTATTAGCGCAAAGACCATTCCTATTCTAATCGAAGTATGCATGTATGCTAACATAACTCCCTTCCCTGTTAGGATGACCCGCCTTCCAAGTATCAAATAACAGGTCTTCTTCCCAAGACACGAATCAAATTCACCTCATCTCGGCCTAGGCAACTTATATTCATGACTGATGAGTTAATAAGAACAACAATCTTTGTTCATGATTGATGATCCAAGCCCGAGTGATACGGCATGAACGAATGACCTAGGCGTCAGACATCAGTATCGTCCCCAAATCACCTTCAGAAATCTGATATGGTAACAGCAAATCAACTAAAGTGGATCCATCCATAACTCCAACCAAAAATCAAATGACTGTGCAGGTTAACGAGAAAGCACACATCAGCTTGGACCTCTCTCGAGCAATAGAGGTAGCCCAAGTCTCTTAATTCTGATTCTCAATAACCTATGTAGCAAGCAGGAAGAAGATCAGCCCATCAAATGATATTGTTCAACCACACCTCCTCCGACGCTCTTTTTAACAAAGGCCGAGAAACACACTATAGCGCGCCCGTGCACAAATGTCTACACGCACGGTCAACAAGATTCAAGACGTCATTGTTAGAGTAACCATGCGATGCATACAATCCGTCAGGAAAGCACAAGACTGCTGCTGCTTACACAAAGGTATGGGTAACCAAGATTGAACCCTCCCCACCCCTCGACTGGGGCATTGTTGGGAATGTATATAGGTATGGACGTGGCGTCCATAAAAGCGCTGATAAGACCGAGATCATTGCGCGGATCAGGGATCGTAAGGTGAGTATTTTTCCTCGGAGACTGGGAATTGCCTACACGTCTGGATCCGGATATCTGCTTGGAAAGGTATGCTTTTGGCGAATTAATCACGGAGCCGACGGGGACCGCGATGGCTGGTGTGAGATGTGGAAGTGCGACGAGGTTTCAGCCAAAGGTAGTGAATTCTACGTCGTCGACTCGTGGGTGTACAAAATTCTGCAAAGTGAAGATAATAAAGTACAGTAGCCGTGGGGTTCTGAGAACACATCAACGGCAAGGTAATCGACAAAACGGTAGATGGCGGTACGAAGATTATATTAACGGGTCAAATAGATGGAGATCTTTATTTTATTATTGACTTACTTTTCTCCACACTCTCAACGATTACTATTCAACCGCTCATGCAGGTATACGAGATTAGAGCTCCAACACCCAGGATTGAAAACGTGTAAATCCCCGGTATTCAGTCGATCTTCCCCTCTCGGACCACGGCTCACTCGATCTTATAATCGGTAACATAAAGTATCCCTTCCTTGAACGGGAAGTTGGGATGAGATAGATAGGCATCTTATCCGCATCGAATGCCCTGTCTGTAGCAATATATCTATAACCGCCGTTTACCATACAGTCACCCCCGGGACAATGACGAACCCGGAACGGACGAAAGGGCAGGCCAACCAAACGGCCAGATATTGGCTGCTCCCTCTTTCTCACCGCTCGCCCAGTTCCGCCATCATCCCGGGAGTATCTGTAAATACTGCTACCCAACCCAACCTCCAAACCCAAACGTCTGTACCTACCCATCTCCTAGATCACCAGGAATCACTCTCACTACCCACCTACCGACCCAGTCCACCGGTACCCTACTCACCGCCGGTCTGAAAGCGAGAGGAAAGAGGGAAAAGAAGCAATTGCCATCCAGCCGTGGGGTTCGCCGCCTCCTTCTCGCGCGTAAGCGATCCCGACACTGTGGTTCCCGTTCCCCTCCCAACTGACAAATCCATCCCAAGTCTAGAACAACTTAACATTAGCTTCAAGGAAGGTACAGGCACCCCCATAGTGGGTGGTAGGTTCTTTGCCCACTAACATACTCTAGAAGTACATACTCGGGAATGGGGTAAGAACCAGAACATGCAATATGGTTATTTGTATGGCAGAGCGGCGCCGCCCCATACAAATAATCCCTGTATCGTCACTTGCATGTTCTGGTTCTTATTCCTGTGCCCGAGTATAGTCGCACCTCGTTATGTCGTTAGCGTATTCTGGAAGCCAAACCCCTATGGTATAGCAAATATACGAGACAACAAATAGTTTTTGGTGGAGAAGGGCAGTACCTGTCCCGTAAATCCCTAGGGGACAGCAAGAGATCCGAGATATCGAATTACGAGATAGCGAGGTGCTCAACACAGGTTGGTATGTATTGGAGCACGGACAGAAACACCCGCAGTACGGGCGTCAGGGAACATCCTAGGCAGGTGGCGAAATAAACTTCTAACGAAACGCCTCGTTCTTGGTAGTACACACGTCCAAAACTGACGTGTCGGCGGCGATGGTAGGGGGGGAGATGGTAATGGTAAGTACTCTAGTGCTGCAGTGGTGGAGATCAACAATCCTCGGATGGGTGCTCAGAAAGTGCACCTACCGCTATTTACGGAATGAGACTAAAATACATTTATATAAGGAATTGTTTTTAACCGTTGGGGTGCATTGAAATCATGAAGTCGAACACCGAACATGCACATAATATTCAAAAGAAAAAAACCGGGGATTGGGGGGGATGTGCCCGCTGGTAAAAGGGACCAATACGGTAAAAAGACCGTGTGGGTTGTTGATACGAAGTTAAGTTGTTATCGGTCAACCCGGTACATGCGGTGGGGGCCAGAATGTATCAAGTCTTGGCGTGCAGTAGTAGGCCTGCAATACCATACTGGACTCGTTCATCAAGAAAGGGCTGAAATATTATAGAGGAAGGAAAACACGGGAAAAGGAAAAACAAAAACAAAGACAAAACAGACTGCTGTACCGGGGGTTGAGGGTAAGTACTGAGAACCCCTTTTTGGGGAATTTTAAAAAGTGAGGGTTTGTAAAGGAATCTGATTGGGCTGATATAATTAAAATGACACTTGGCAGCCAAGCAGGTATTTGGACAGTCTGCCCCGCAGCTTTTGCAATGCAACCTCCTCAACCTCTTTTCTACTCCTGTTCTTTTCGAACTTCACCAAAACTTCTTTGATAACTTCGAATCAGTACTCAGGTGAACCTGTGAGTAAGGGCTATTCAGTGGTTATTTTTTTGTATTTTTAGGAAAATATTTGAATTTTTAAGTGAAGATAGATAAAACGTCTCGGTATTTTTTTCCACCATATAAATTTTGAGGCCAAGGCCAAAATTCATTGGCTGCTTTTGGTTACCATGGGCGGTTCCCATACAAAATCAACCAATCCTTCAAGGCGTCTCGGTCTTTAACGTGCACACCCGGTACATAAAGCTTGATATATACATTTTCTTGGTATATATATAAGTATAATATCCAAAAGCCCTCTCAAAATATAAATTATAAGGCGGGGGGTGGGGGCGATCCAGAAGCAATTATAATGACTTTATTTCTTTTCCGTCCGTACGTCCAGTTAGCGCAGTAATGATTATGTCCTTGTGTGGCGATTAGTGGTTGGCTTCTGTCCAATCCAGTAGAATCTATAAGAAATCGAAGCGTTAGAATATGGATGCGAAGAGGGGGCCGGAGCAGGGAAGTGTACGTTTTGAAGTATGAGTGGATTTCGGGATTTGTTATTTCCTGACGGAGATTTCCATAATATGCCTGGACTTCAGTGCGATTCCACTACAAGTACGGTGTCAGCTCTAGACCCTCGACAAAAAAAAAAAAAAAAAAAAAAATAGAACTGGCCTAACAAGGATGAACTTACCCCCAGGTATCTTGTAAACAATGCTGTCGTAAATCCATCCTACAATCCAAAGAGGTTTCATAAGCCGTAGGCCCACAGCGATCCGAACGGGTGAACATCATACCATCCCCTCCAACAGATTTAACAGATTGTATCTTCCAATCTCCCTCAAATGGGGGTCTCTCTCCCAAGGCCCAATTGGCGTCTTGTAGTACTTCTGCGTGATATTTTCAAACCCACTGTCCACCAGCCAGCGTCCAATCTTGTCCGTGATGTCGAACGGCTTTCCAATCTCTTCCCCGGCCTCAATTGCATACTGCGCCCACCGATTCAGATAACTATTCTCCGGCAACGTTCCGTCATCGCAGTCGTATGGTAGTTTGGCCTCAGAGATTTCGATCCAGCCTCCTGGTGCAAGTTGTCTGGGGGGGAACTGTTAGTGATATCTGGTGCAGGGAGGATGTGACGGAGGGGAGGCCGACTTGTAGGCTTGTTCAATCAGCGTGGGCCAGTCGGAAATAGCGCCGAAAAGACAGCGGATGTGAATATAGTCGAAATGGTTTTCTCCATATGTCCACTCGCTCTCTGCGTCGTCGATTTCGAAGCGGACGTTCGGTGGAACCCTGTCAGGGGTGTGTTAGTTTCTTTGTCTGTTGTGTGGGGTGTGAGAATGTTAAGGAGCAATACCATTCAGGTTGTATGGGCGAGAGATCGGTCCCAATAACCTGTTTTATTGACGGACGTTTAATCGATACTGTAGAGCGAGGGTGGGATTGAATGGAGAGGGGATGCGACGAACCTCAGCGTTGGGAAACTTGTCGGCCATGTCCATTGCCCATCTTTTCCCGCCATTAATTTACGTTCCGTCCCAATTTCTTTGGTTAGGGGGCCGTCTCTACTACTTACATGCCTGTCCCAGTACCGACATCGAGAATTCTCTAATCGTATCACTTAGCAGGGTACCTCACAAGTAGCGGAGGGCAGGGGGTAGGATACCTTTGGTGATTCCAGTGGTGCAGTGTAAAGATTCCCGCCGAGCATAAGGAGGAAGATGTGATGGCTACATTGGTTTTTCTTACGTTAGAATCGCGCGGAATGGATGGGAGAGGAGGTGTTGAGGTTCCGTACAATATGTCTAATTGATTGTTTTGATACTGTTTTATTTGATGTCAGTAAGTGAGCTCAAGCTTCTAGTTTGATCAAGCGGGAGTCTAAGCTAGTTACATAGCTAGCTAGCTGGGTAAATATTCACAGACATCATCATTTGGTGCATAATAAGCACCTGCAGTGCACAGAGTTAGTATTTAGATACAAGAGCTAGAGGAAGGATTCCAACGCACCCTCTCTGAACGCGTGATAGCGTCTTCCGTTTTCATACTGGTAATTAAATATAGACGAGGTTATCGAAAAAGTTTCGTCATCGGTTGCGATGTATCTGTAAATGTCAGCCAGAATCCCTCATGAGAGGTGATAAACACACCTTTCATTCGCGTTATCTCTAGGGAAAACTCCCGAGATTCCTGAGTCTCCCGACTGCTAATTGAAACAAAAATCTCCGTCAGCATTGGTACTCACAGGGAGGCAACTAGTAATCAGGTGGAGTGGTGCCTTGCCATTTTCTCCTCCGTTGTCCCTTGGTGCAACTTTAACGTTAATTTTCGGTTCCTGGGGTTGGTAGTGATGTGTGGTGGATGAGGGCCTGGTAGCGTCGGCGAGAAAGTAGCCGACTCAAGTTATAAGGCAAGAAGTGCTTCTTTTTTTCTCTTTTTAGACTCTTTTCTTGTCGCTTCTGTTTAATCCTCCGCAGAAATTGGGTCCAGTTACAGGCCAAGCTCGAGCAGGAATAAAGTCGGAATAAGAAGAAGAGAGACACAAATAAGAAGAAGAAACGTACGTAGATGAGGGGGAGCAGATCAAATCAAATCAAGCTGGCTGGCAGGTGTTTTCTTCAGGGTGGTGTCGCCGCTATAGCGCTAGTTTGTATGGCTGGCCAGATTTTTCTTACCAAAGACAATAAACTATCGGCGGTCTAGCTAGGGAGACAGGGATCACTACCAGTTAGCTGGTTAAGCGCAACAGGGAAAAAAAACAGCGATAGATCAGGAATTAATTCAGGTCAGCGCGATAGCCGATATGGAGTAGAGAGTGCACACCTCAATTAAATACCCAAAATATCTATCAAGACAATACTCTAGGAGTAGGGTACCAAGCAAGCGGTGCATAGTTCAGTTGATTGTAACGCAGGCCTACTCTAGTATGCATCGCCCAGTGCAGCTCTGCTTTTCCAATATCCATGCCAACCAATATACGAAGACGTACTGTAATATCCAGATGCCTTTTCTGCCTGAGTTTCCATCTGTAGTCCGTGGGCAGTAATACTACCTATCCAAATCCAGCCGTATCCAAAACCTTATGCACATATCGATTATTTGTCAACCAATATGAGCACGACACATGCGGCTCTCCGCCTTCCCCAGGCCTCTTCCTCCTCTACTCTAGAATAGTCTCCCTCGCCCTCTCGACCCTTTATGGCCACCAAACCCTGTGAGGCCTTAGTCTCTAGAATCCAATCCAGCGGCATCTCCCGAGGTCCCGACCCCGCACTGACAGCACACTTGGCACTCCCTCCATTTCTGGTAAAGGGTCCCTTTTCCTTTTTATAATCTTGCCAACCTCCGATTTCTCTATCCCATCCCACCCGGTCCGCTGGGTGGTGTTCCGGTATCTTGGAGTGCTATCCATGCGCACCTGTTGTTGCACATGCATGGCTGCCTGCTGCTGCTGCTGCTGCTGCTGCTGCACACCCCATCACGATAATTTACAGAACCACTTATCATACTCTACATACTCTACATACCTTACCTACTCGAGGTAATGTACTTACTCTAGAGTAGAGCACTCTACATAATGCCAAGATGATGCTTTACCTCACATAGATGGAGTACAGCAAGCTGGGGTAGAATAGAGCAGAGGGTGCGTGTGGAGTTGCAAGTCGTCTTCATGTAGGAAGGAGGTTATCAGCTGACGAAGCGAGGCTGAAAGATGATGAGCGCTTTAATTCTTACGTGCGTAACCTCGAATTTCGCGCTCGGTAAGATGCAATCCCAACTCTGCTCTACCTACTCTGGCCGTAGCCACATACATACCCCACGATGCTCTACCACTCCACCTAGCTAAGTGATGAACCTGGGTTTCAAAGGATCTACCAACGCCAAGTGTATGCCAATTGGCAGCCCCGTTTATGATCTATCAACCCAACAATATCGTCATCTGTCCCAGGACCCTGGATAGACAAAACAAAAAGGGTCCACTCACATCCAAACTTCAAAATTTCAAACCACGGACGGACATGTAGGCCGACCGGTGTTGGGCCCTGGGCATTCCCGGGCCCCTTGCTTAATTCATTACTGCTCCTCCGTGCCGGTGTGATGGGTTTGTGTTTGTGAGGTGTACCGTTGATTCTGACTTGTGTGTAGCACTTCGTTCTGATTGATTCACGGTTTTGATGGGATGAACACCATCAGCAAACAGACACAATCATGTACGGGATAAAGTCGAACACTGGTGCCCCGGGCTTACTGGCTTTGATTATAAAACATGGATTGGGGCGGTAAGGAACGGTTAAGCTGTCAATTGTATTTTGAAGATCCCGAGCGTCTGTTGCTTTCGATTGGTTCTGACCATTACTGCAGGCTCGTATTGTTTGGTATTGTTCGGGGTAGACACTTTATGCCAAGATTACGAACCGAAGAAGGATGGTGATACTGATATTGAAGTCGCAGCCATCTGATTTTGATTCAATGCACCAAGTAAACTGATTACAATTGCACGAGGTGCACAACTAACATGTACGTGTTCTCACGAGGTTTTTGGGGTGTCTTGTCTTCTTGACGCGTAATTCTCAATTCTAAGATTCTACCGTTTTCAAAATGGTATCTCAAAGTCGGTTAATTTGAGCAGTCTTCTAGAGTACATCATGTTACACACTGCGTACAGTACCTACTCTGTTTAAAAAATTCTACTCACACACATACATCCCTGGTCGCTAAGGACCAGATCGATTATTCATTTCTCAACAACGCCCGATCGATCCCTAGCCTTCTCCGCGTTTCCTTATCTTCTGAACACGGGAATCCTTCTAAAACCGCCCGTGGGAGATTCCAATGCAGAGCTAGGGGAACGAAAAATTCATCGAACACCGGCCTTCCAGGGTTCATCAATTCTGCATAGTCTTACCAGAGCACGAAGCTCTGTTCTCCGGAAGTTCTATCCACCTGTCATAGCCTGTCGTTAACATCCCGGGTTCAGATCCAGATATACGACCCAATCTGTCGGAACAGTCCTGCACGAATTTAGCCATGTCTTGACGAAAGAAGCGGTCTGTGGGCTTGGATCGGTTGAAACATCTAGAGCTTCCACGGCGAGAGTATGCTCCGATAGTTGATACCTATCACATCGTGATATTAATTGCGAAGGAAACAACACCTCTCAGCTCGGTTTGGTACCTGGTCGTTGTTGTCACACCCCCAGGTATTGTACGTATTGGGCGGCCGGTAGCCCCCTATGATCGACGTCAAGGGGGGGCTAATTACCGCAGTTGTACAACTATTTATCTAACTGGATATAATTTGTAGTAGATCACCAAGCCCAAATAAGGCTTCAATACCGGCTTCCGAACATCCCAGTAGCAGGCGAGAGTGGGCTAGTGGAAACAAATCAATGTTTATTGGCAGGTGACCGAGCCGGGGATGTTCTAGACTGTTGGAGGGGTAAGAGCTGTCCGGGTATGGAACGGGGAATGGCGTGGGGTAGACACGGTGGAGGCAGTCGGGTCGGGAATCGGGGTCGAGTGAGGTTTTATGATTGATTTTCCAACACTTGGCTTCAGAGGACAATTATTACCTAGTTTTATCGGCAGAAAGTAGAACTTATAAACTCATTCTTTGGGAGTGTAGTCCTTAGGAACGACAAGCTCATCTTGTTGCAAATACAGATCACAATATATTCCAAGGCTTCAACTCAGAATCAGTGATCAACTACTTCATTCTAAATCCCCCCCCCCCCCCCCCCACGGGGGCGACTTCCTGGCGTCGGGGCCGATCTCACGATGCGACTAGGTCTATCATCAATAGCATCTCTTTTGATAAAGGCTGAAAGTCAGCATAGAATGATAAAAGCAAATAAAACGAGATGCTTCGACACCATAGATACCTCCGGATCCAGAGTTCGTACCCTTTTGTGATCTTTCTCACTATTGTTTATTTTATTATGGTTCTCAGTCACACTACCCAAAATTAATAATTCTATAGGGATTCGAAATAAAATTTCACTAAATGTTTGCCACACATGAAGCCCATTTGCAGAAAACCCCGGCAGAGGATCAGGCCTAGAACATTACGATCATTACCACCGAAAGAAATACCACCGCCCAAGTTGTACGCCAACTGATCTGCACAACACCTGCAGAACTATAAATATCCTTCAACTCTGCCAACTCAAACTCCTGTTTATCCCAATCCACATAAAGATAAGTTCGGTATGACACGAAATCCATCCCCAAGAGCGCTTCAACACCCGGATTATCTGCCTTTACCTCCGCATCCAACAAATCAATCCCTACCATATTGCTCCTCTTATACAAAGGTTGAGCACCACTCCCATACGTATAATACTCACCCTGAGAAATATAATACAGACCCGTATCATTCCCCTCCCAAATCGGGACCCTCAATAAGGAACTCGGTACATTCAAAGTCGCCCCATTCGACAGTTTCACGACCATGATAAACGGCTCCAGCGCCGAGGACCTAGCCTGGTTCCACACAGGCTCATCATAAGTACTCCAGTTCGTGGGAGCGTCTGCATTAGTTACATTATAAAAATCCTCCGCCACAACCTGAGGCACATAGCTCGCCCTCCCTGTCGACAACCCTAGGGTCGCGTTAAAAGGCCCACTTGTCCGATTCATGAGGGACTTCCCGTTTATTGTCATATCTGTTACCGTGACCTGGAGGCCGCCGAGGTAGCCCGTATTCTGGACGATGGGCGACGAGTATCGTTTCCCTACGATACGCGACTCGTTAAAAGGCCCGATGTCGACATTCTTCTCGTACAATCCAAATGACCGCGACTCAATAACACCGTTCCTTACCAGGCTATTCAGAAACGTCGAGTTGCTTCCAAGCCCCAGTGTATTCGGCGTCGGCACCGAATCATCCGGCGAGTACTCGTTCAGCACCGCGATCTTGATGCCTAGATTCGAGAAATTTGTGTTTTCCGGTGCGTCCACAAACTGGCCTTGCTCGTATCCTAGCGTAAATTCCACCTGGCTTCCATTCCACCAGTCGAAGGCGCCAGCATTACCTATCGTTACATTTGCGGTCGGACGCCATGTGCTGCTAATGGAGGTGTTGAATTGGGCGCCGTTCCGAGTGAGGCAGGTGGGGGTGCAGGCGTCGGGGCCGACAACGAAGATCTCGTCGTCGTTCACGGAGGGTGCGAGATATACAAACTGGCTGGGGGTGCCGAGCGAGAGTTCGATACCGGCTTCGGCTACTCGGTTGTTTGCCCAATTGGTGAGCGTGAAGGATTTTGCGGTGGGTATGTGCACTAGTAGGGAGAGTGGGAGGAGTCGGACGAGTTTTGGCATTTTTTGGGGTGGTTGGTGAAGTTTGCTAGGGAACGATTACTTCGTAGGCGCGGGCGCGGGCGCGGGGGAACGATAAGTATTTATACCTGCCGGTACATTGGGCAATCGCACAGCTGGTGTGTATCCATTGTAGGGCTGTGTCAGGGACACCTCAGGGTCAATTTGCTGATCCTACAGGATCCTGCATCTCCTCATACAAGGCAAAGTGGTTGGAATTCTTCTATGCCGCCTGCTGGCTGAATAAACCTCCGTTAGACGGTCGGCTAAATATAATAACCTTAAAGAAGACACCGGGGAGGCGCAGTACATACATGTCGTCTGGAATACGACAGGGATTCTTTCAATTGGAGCCTCATATGCTGGCGAGGGTTGGTAGCGTTTTGAATTGAGTAGGTTATGATCATTGCCCCTCCGCGCGCTTGTAGAGACAATAACTATATTGCGAATTATAGTTTGCTCCGCGATGGTGAGCTACGCTGCGGAATCCCGCGTGGATTTGACGGGGGGTAGTTCGTGCAGCAAAGGTTGATTGCATGGTGTTTGGGTGTGGTTGGATGGGAAGTTACATACCTATGCTCCCTCCATAAAAGCACTACTTGCACTTCTGATTAAGTCAGCCTCGAGGTTCTTTTCCAGATGGATGGCGTTGTATTATACAGACTCGTGATTTCACCGCGTTTGTTTGATCTATCAGCTTGAGGCCTGGATGTCAATACTGGGGTTTTCAGCCGAGGAATTCCTGGTTGGATTTTATGCCTTGTCCGCTAAGGCAGCTTGCTTGACAAGCGCTAAAGCGATAAAGCCTAAGCTACGCTTCAGAAGTACATATACGTACCGGGACATATACATTTTATGCAGGAACGTAAAGAGAATGCAGTAATATCGAAAGTAGCAACAGCTGGGATATACCGCGTTTAAAATTGGGATATCATCTGCAACACAAAAAATAACGCACTAGGATCGAACAATCTCAAGATGAGGACCTTCTCTTAGCTGCTCGATGCAAAACCGGGGGACATATCCGGATCTCAAGAGACCTCCATCTGTCCCCGCCGGGGATGTATTATCGCAAGGCGGGATATAAGCTTTCTTTCCTAATGGAGCTACGGTGTGTCATATTGAGCTCTGATGTTTTAGTTCTTCGGGTTCGTGTTGCTTTATGTGACCTGCGCCATTGTGTGGAGGATATCCACGATACACGGTTTAACGGCTGCGTGTTTCATGGTTTTAAGGTTTCTAGTTAAATTTCTGAGTAACAGACATACTCATGCTAGCTAGGTCCATCACGATATCATCTAAACTAACTATCTCTCCGTTCTCCCAATGCTTGATTGATCTTATCACTAACCACATCTCACCTCCCAACCACACCACTAACTTACCTTGCACCACTCACATCGTTCTCCCGTCCTCACCCTCTGGCCTACTCTTTGTCAACTTCCTCCCTGCCCTCTTCTCCTCGCCATCGACCGGTCTCTTCTTCGTCAACTTCCTCCCGACCCTCTTCGGCTTTCCCGCACTTTCTTCCCTCGTCTCAATCCTCCGCCTCTTAACACTCACCAGAGTCCGAATCCCCAAGTCCACCAGTCTATCTAAAAAGTTCTTCGAACTCCCAACTACCTCCTTACCTTGTCTGTCTTCCTCAACGGCATGCAGATCCTCTGCCCGCGGCACTCCCTCGGGAGGATATGGCAGCCAGATTTGCCCCACAGGGTGATAGTACATGTAGATCAATCGGTCGACCCAGGTGTCAGTGGAGGTGTCGGAGGTATCAGATGGTGGTGGAGTTGGTGTGGTGTTGCCATTGCCAGCAGTGTATTCGGCTCCGACCCGCACTTCGCCTTGAAGTGTGGGGGAGAGACCGAAGTGGTAGTCGATGAAGTTGGCGAAGTCAATATCGTTTGAGTAGAGGATGTGTTCGATCTCGGATTGTGTGGGGGAGCGGGGTCTAGTCATGGCGGTTAGTTGTAAGTATTTTAGAGTGTTGTAGGTTAATCGATGGTCTGATAGCTAGTAGTTTGGTTCTTAGTATGGATGCTGTGTATACAATAAGGCTTAATCGATCGATGGTGAAGACCAATAGTGGAGCAGTTCACACCGCTTTTATCAGGCAACCAATATTTTCAAGAACCGCTATAGAGCAACATCAATTTCATCGTGGAAGTGAGGATTCTTGATACAAACATGCAGAAAACCTCTCATCTTGATGCGCTTCCCCCCTTCCCACTTTCAACCCCGAACGTCATGAATTAAACTAAAGAAAAGAAAAAAAAAAAAAGCCCAACTTCAGCGTGGGTAAGGGTTATGCTTCTCATACAAAACACCCGAGTGATACCCCATGAACCCGCCGCAAACAACCGCGATTCATGATTACACAACACATGGCTGATGCACATCAACACCCCTCTAGCCCGTTCCAACACCAACAACGCGGTCGCTGGGCCCGGATGGCGAATGTGTTTGATAGCCGCTCCGGCGCTTAGGGTGGTCCGAATCGGAATTTAGGCCCGGGCCGGGGCTGTGATTATGTCTTTCGGATCGAAGGAGCGAAGATAGGGAGGGAGGGCAAAATGGTGGAGACGGAGGGCCCGAGTCTTTATTGCCTCGCGTGTGCATGCGGATGGGTATGGCGTGGATGTGCGCAGTGTCCTGATCGGCGTTGAGCTAATACTCATCGGTTTGGCCGGCGTGCGCATTGGGGTTATCGGTTCCGAGTGTTATAGGTGCCCCTATGAATATGTCTGACTTCTTTTATATACTGGTAATAATTGTTGTGGAGAGGTCTAGGTTATGGCGAATAGCCCCCAATTGAGGCGCGAGTATACGCAGATAGTGGAGCCTTTTTAGAAAGACTCGGTCAGTTTTCATATCATGGCAAGGGCCCGCTTTTGTGGCCTATTACTTAGCTCGTAGAGTACAGCCGCACCGCGTTATGTGGTAAGCGTATTCTGGGAGCCCAACTCTTACGAGATAGCAAATATACGAGACAGCAAATAGCTTTTGGTGGAGGAGGGCAGTACCTGTCCCGCCAATCCGTACGAGACAGTAAGATATCCGAGAGATCAAATTACTAGATAGCGAGGTGCGACTGTATTTTAAACTCCGTTAATACAAGAATATGAGATGTGAGTTCTGGGAGCTGTTATTTTAGTCATGGAATATCACTCGAATCTTGGAAAGGATGGTGAGGACGGCGAATTCCGTTCAGGTCCGAGTAAGCACCTGATATTATATATTATCTTATAGAAAATCTTGATCCCGATTCTTTAACTCCAGTGCCTGTATATACGTGAGTTGCGTGTGGCTAGGACATGTCCCGGACAGCTCAGTCCAGTACTTCTAGGCGTGGATGACACCTCAATCGCGAAAGTAATTGAGATCCTGTTGCTCTGAGAAAGACCATACAAATCTAGATGGTCGCAGGAAGGATAGGTGACATTTTGATAGGTATATGACGGTTTTCTGTCGTGGCGACTTCCCAACTAAGAAATCCTCTATTAACTAGTGTTAGAATGAAGATTCTAGGAATTCTTTTGTCCGGGAAGTTGAAACGTTCTTTCCTGGCGGCGGCCACCCTGAGAGTTCTTGAGGGTGTTCACAGATGGACTAGTGCACTAGTGTTATCTATGCACTGCGCTTGCTAAACCGCCCTAGAGCCTCAGACAATCGCTCGAGTGATATCTTATGAATACAATGGCCAAAACGAATTCTCAATCCCTCCCGTACTGTATACATAAAAAGAAAAGTTGAAGAGGTTTGACCCCCAATCTAATTGATTGATGGCGGCGAGATTCGAACTCGCGCTCTTTCGAACTACGGTTTTGACACGAATGTCCTAAACGTAGCGCCTTAGACCACTCGGCCACGCCACCTGTGAAAGTAGCATCAGGATTCGACTCTCGGCCTTGCCTATTCCCTGGTAGTCGGTCCGGATTGAAATTCAGTGTTTAGCCTAATACGGAATCTACTAGACATGGCACCCCATCGTAGCCTCAACGGCGGCTTCCGTAGCCTCCTTCGTGCTCTGAGGTTTTCTTGGTTTCACCGCCATTAGAGCCTGGGTTGATTTTTCGGACTTCTATCTATATGGACCGATTGGGCAAATGATGGTGGTACATCTTTAGCTGTGCATAAACATTAAATTTAGATAACTGTTATCAGATAATTCGAGTCTTTGTATATACCAGATCAGTCTTATGTATTCATCAATAAGATGTTGGTTGTGAATGAGGTCTATATAAGACTTATAAATTCGGATAGTGTAAGATCAAGGAGGGTCGAATTCATCCGACTATCGCTCGTGGAAATAAAGCAGAGAAAATTTTCTTTGAATTGGATTTTTATGCTAGACTCTTTAAGAACGAGCGGGCTTAAAGATGGGAATTTGGTTAAAACAAGCTCTGACTCTGAGAAATTCAAAAATACTATGATATTAGTAAAATGTCGCCCGACCATGTCTTCCTCCTAATTTGAGTTTTTTAGGAACCGATATATATTAACCATGACAAAGCCCATAGCCATTGGATCATTCAAATAGTTTGATGCGCTTCCAATCCGGCTTTCCGGTTGACCAGGTTTACGAATTCCGGAAATCTACGCACCCAAAGTTAGATTTACCAGGCTTAGTTATGTTTAATTAGGAGCATTCAGAAGACAGTGCTTGAGAGCGATAGCTAAAAGGCCGGAGGATCCCTTACACAAAGGACGGCGCTTTTCGGGGGAAAATCGGCCTCATCATGCCAAATCACTCGGTCATTCGAAGCCCCACCAAAACGGATTCATATCAAAAGAACTTCCTAGGATAGGAGTGAATTGTGACTCTCACGATCCTCCTACTCGTCTCATCAGGGCTTGTAAACTTGAGGTTTCTTTCTATTGAAACTGGCGAGAGACGTAATAGTCGAACGTATCAATCGGTTCGTATGTCAGAATCAGAAATAAGAAATAAGAAGTCGTAGCCGTGTGAACGGCCCGCGTGCGAGAGTTCGTGCGTTAATCAACAAAATCTTAGGCTGGCTAGATATGCGTTCTGCCTTCTTCCAGCAGGCCAGGACATGTTGGTAAAACATATAGATTAGTGTGGTCGACGAGACGAGTTAACTCGAGTCCTCGACTCGAGCCCAAAGCTCGAGCAGCCACGAGCAGCTACGTTCACGAGTCGAGTTGGCTCGAGCTTTTTTCACTGCTCGACTTGAAAAACTCGAGCTTTTCGGGTGTTATCTCTCTGCATTTTCCCAGCCTGAAACCATACTAGATATGCCCATATTATCCTTCCATCATTTGATCTATAAAATCCCGAAGTATTCAACCCTAACCCTAATGACATATGTGTGCATAAAGGGATCTAGAATGACTTCTGGAACTCCGACCTGGGACCACTGAAAAGCCCGAGCTCAGCTCGAGCCACTCGAGCTTTTACAAGTCGAGATAAGTCGAGCAGCTGCTATCACGAGTCAAGTCAAGCTTTTCTTCCTGCTCGACTCGAGCCGGCTCGTCGACCACACTAATATAGATTATTGGAGACTCATCCGGGGGGAATATCATATCATCGGAATGAAGGCACTCTTCAAATTAACATTAAAATATCCTTGTAACTACTTATTAGTAGGTTGTTAGACCATGATACGACGGAAATGTCTATATAGCATCGTCTTCTAGATGTAGGCTGCATAATATAACCTCTGGTGAGTTTGTATCTCTATGTATCGTGACGAGAATCTTCTCGTGGGCCTCCGGGCACTCTCAGACTCAAACTATAGACTATAGCGAAAAGATAATCTTGGTGAGAAGGAATTATAGCTCGCAATATTGGAAAACCCTTGTAGCAAACTATCGGTTTAATCACATTAAATCACTCGGCTACTACTAAGCCTACTAAACTAACTAAACTATTAACTACTTAATTTCTAGCGCAAGTTCTCTTTATCGTGCACCCTAATAACAAAGAAAAAGATAATCCAGTATTCAACTCAAAACCACACAAAATGAATTCCTTCATCCTCGAGAATATGGGTACATACAAAAAAAAGATTTAAACTTCCCCGGACAGGATTGAACTGTCAACCTCTCGATTGCACCCTCTTCAAATACGTCGGTGGTTGAAATACTGACGGCTTATCATGGAGTGATAACAGTCGAACGCGCTAGCCATTGCGCCACGGGGAATGAATGAAAGTCACCCGCACCCGCTTCTTGCGAGAATTAAACGCGGGGAAAGTGTTGGTCTCGTACCTGTCCTCTATGGGAGGCTTGCAAGAGGAGTGGGTGCGAGCTTAGAGAGGCATACATATTCTAGTTACGCTGCAAGCCAAGGTTTTATCAATGCAGTTCAGTGCAATTCAATTCAATCCAATTCGTCTTAAGTCTACTCTAATCATCTTCATCTTCTCACGTACTTGCGGACACACACAACCCCCCCCCCCCCCAAAAAAAAAACCCTCTCAGAAATCATAAACAAACTCCCTCACCCCCTCCCCCTTCCCGATCTTCAACCTCGCCAACAAACCCCTCACCCGATCCCTCTTCCTCCCCGCCGCATCCACCGGGTAACAAAACCTACACTTCGCATTCAGCGCATGATACTCCAGCCACGGGTCCTCGGTGCCGGGCGGTGCCGTGTACGGCACGCAGATGCACGCTGCGCAGTGCGCGCACCCGGGAGAGAAGGTCACGGCGTAGGCGGGGGTTGTGGTGGCGGTGAAGGTGCATTTGCAGAGTGTTTGCGACTTTGGAGGCATCTTGGATTCTGTTTATTTGGGGGGGGGGGGGGGGGGTGCGGGTGGTGGTGGTGATTGATACGCTAAGTACGCGCGCGGTGATGGTGAGTGATAAGTTGTGAGCGGTTAGTTTGCGGGCGGGTGATAGGCTATGAGTGGTTACTAATTTTCTGATGAGGAGCACAAAACCTGCTGACAGCGCTATTTATACCATCATTATTTACTGCAGATATTTCATCTTGTCCCCATCGCGGGTATCTCGAATCTCGAGAACGCTGGGTGTGAGGTTTTTTCAAGATGTTTTGCTTCAAGATATCCGGCTATTCCATTCTCGGGTTAATCCTGGCCTCTGCAGCGTGTTGCTCGTTACAACCGCTGACGATCCGGTTGTCACCGCTCTTGTGGCCAAGGGGTAAGGCGTCGCACTTGTAATGCGAAGATCTGGAGTTCAAATCTCTACTGGAGCAATTTCTTCTTTTTTTAGGTTCTGGGAATGATGGTGAACCGGCTGTTTGTCGGCCGTGCCCCTCAAAATGACGGAGATTTGTGCGTGCTCGGATTTTTTTTTTTTTTTTTTTTTTTTTTTTTTTTTGGTGGTGGAAAAGATGCGCGTGGAATCGATGTTTTCACTGGTAGCTAGAGTTGCGAGGAGATGTTGTTTCTGATCAGTTGATATATTGGGATTGGAAGGAGTCTTCCGGTTTCGTGCCGGTGTTGGATACAGACTCCCGACCATAGCACACCCCTTATAGACTCTTCTCACTGCCATTGAATTGAGCGCAAGTCTGTGACCACGATGTGTAGGGTAAGATGGATAGATGTATGGGATGAATGGTTGGGATGGATAGAAGGATTGGCAGGATAGATGAGTGGATGAGATGGATCATGGAGGGGTTGGTCGGATGGAGGGATGGGCGGGTGGACGAGATGAGCGGTGGGTGGATGGATGGATGGATGGATGAGATGGATGGGATGGATAGATGGATGGGACGGGTGGAGGTGGCTGTGTCAGCAGAACCTGTGGCTGTGTGTGTAGTCTATAGTGAGATGGCGTGAGGTTGGATAGATGGACGGACGAGAAGCGCTAGATAGACGCGCTGTAGCTAACGCCTCTAGAATAACTAGTGTAGGCGGACCACCGGATAGATAGGATAAAGACGAGTGACACTCCATGTCTGCCGAAAAAGCAGCAATAAGCAATAAACCAGTGCCACACGGCAATTAGTAGCCCAACCCTAACCCTCCCAGCATTAGTAGAAGAATAGTAACAAGCGCTCAAATGGTACATGCAGTCAAATAGTAACAAGCACCTAAACACTCGCAGTAAAAAACAACTATCAGTAGCACGCCCGAGTCTGTATATTACTACTAACTATGGAACTATATAACTACCGTGCCCGAAAAATACATGTCCCTAACCTAACCTAACCTGGCAAAGAAAGAAACTACCAATACACCACGCTAACACCATAAAAAAAGACCTATCTACAAAACAAACCGCCTCTACACCTCTACCCCCCCCTCTCCACCCTCCTCCACCTCCTTCCCCCCTTTCCCCTCACCACCAACAACCAGTCCCACCGCCCCAACCAACCCCAGCACCGCCACCCCCGCCAATGCCCACCACGCACACCCCACCCCGCCTCCACTGACACCCAACTTCCACACGCCCCCCGTCACCACCGGCCCAACCCCCTTCGCGGCCCCCGCAACAGCAGCACTCAACCCATACACGCTCCCCATCGCCCCCGCGCCCCCCGGCCCGCTCATGGCAGTCTCATACAGCACCAGGAACAGCGCCGGATAACACGTAATCTCCAGCACCACCTTCATCGCCAGCAGCCCCGCCAGGCAGCTATAAAACACCGCCGAGCCCGGGGTGAGCAGCACCAGCAGCGGCATGAACGCGTAGAACAGAGGATAGAAACACAGTGTTGCGATGTAGATCGTCATGTTGCTCCACCTTCGCGCGAGGAATGGGAACGCGGTGAACTGCAAAGCCATTTGGAAGATGCCTTGGATGAGGAATAGCGCGCCCATGGAGTGCGTTGTGAAGCCGAAGCCCCCGGGGAGCTCGCCGATGTCGGTGCCGGGGAAGAGAGGCGGCAGCGGGGAGGACTGGAGGAAGATGGCGAGGAGGTGCTCGGCGGCGGTGGTGTGGTAGTATAGGATGAAGAAGCCGGCCATGAGGAGGTAGAAGCGGGGGGTGTAGATTGATTTCTTCCCTGCTGCTGCGGCGGCGGGCTTCCCTGATGAGGTTTGAAGAGTGGAGGTAGAGCCGGTTATGGTGCTGGTAGTGGAGTCAAGGGCAGAGAGGGAGGCATATAGCGATGTGGACGACGACGGGTTCGCGGTAGTGAGCGCGCTGGACTCATATACACTTACTCTGTCCGCCTCGTCGTCCTCTCCCTCCTTCGTACCGCTGCCTTCATCCCCGACGTCTACGGGCGGTGGCGGCGCGGTATCAGCACGCTTCAGCAGCTGTGTCAACAGCGCTCTAGGACCGCCGAGGATGTAGCGGCCGACGGCAAGTCCCGTATCGTTCTTGATAATGACCGTCTTGTTCGTCTCCTCCATCCACAGCCACCCGACCACAATCCCCATCAGCGCCACGAGCGCACACACAATATTAGGGAGTAAATACGGGAACCTCTTTATCAAGGGGATCGCCGCATCGAACTCATACACCCCCATCTCCACATCGTCTTCACCTGCACACCCGCTAGGGGCCAACCCACCACCAATCGCAGGGCCTATGATACTTCCAAGACACCACACAAACGGCAGCACCAGCTGCCCCTTGGCGCGCCAGTCCTCGCGCGCCCCCGTCAGCTCCATAACGGCTGTCTGCAGGACGCCGACATTGCCATTGAGGAGGCCGCCGACGATGCGGGCGGTCATGGCGAGGGCGATGTTGGGGGCGAGGCCATAGAGGAGGAGGGAGAGGAGGGAGCCGGCGAGGCCGAGGAGGATGATGGGTTTGCGGCCATACTTGTCGGAAAGGGTGCCCCAGAGGTGGGAGGTGAGGGTTTCGCTGAAGGCGAAGGAGGAGATGAGGAGCGCGGAGTAGAGCGCAATTGAGCCTGTCGGATGGGGGTCGGAGGGGGTGGCGAGAAGATGCCGGGTTTGGCTGTAGATGTAGGGGAGGACGGAGGTGAAAGTTATGGGTTCGATGATGCGGACGAATGCTGGGGAGTTGTTAGCTGTGGATTTTGATAGTGGTGGACGATTGAGAGGATAGGGAGATGGTGGAACAACATACCGAGAACACACAGCTGCGCTGTCGGAAACCTCTCTTCCTCTCCCTCTTCTGCTATTGCTCCTGCCATGTCCGCAATTCCTGTTTCCACTCTCTCTTCTCCAATTGCAAGATACCCCGTCCGCAACGGGGTATAAACGTCCAGCAGCCGCGTTGTCTCATCGTGCATATGCCCGGAATTCTCCATTGTCTTGTCGAAAAAGCCGTTTTTGTTTCACTTCCTCCTTCCCTTGGTCCGCGCCTGTTGGTGGAGGGGGAGAGGGCAGAAAAGAAAAGAACCAGGCGAAAAAAGAAAATGCGGAGATGAGACGCAGGGCGCGGGCGCGGGATCAGCGGGAGTAAGGAGGGATGTAAGGAACGTGAGGAACGTGAGCAACGTGAGGGATGTGATGTGATGTGATGTGATGTTCGGACGGGTACACAAACACAATATTCGCGATATTGAGTACACGATATGATACTTACGTCTTCACTTACCTATGCACTTCAATTAAGCAGCCCCGACCGACCACAGAGAGGGTGATGGTGAAGAAGAGAAGAAGAAAGAAGAAAGAACAAGAGAAGACAGCAATTAAGTGCCTCCTCCCTATCACGCTCCCTCCATTCCTGATCCCTCGCCCTCCGGATCCCTTCCTGCGCAGAATCTACGAGAAGGTCATAGCGTCGTAAAAAAAAAAAAAAAAAGAGGGAAAAAGAAAAAGAGATACCAGCAAGCCAGCCAACAAGGCGACCAGCCAATTGATATTGAAAAAAAGAAAAGAAAAAGCTAGTAGGAATCAATTGAAGGCAGGCAGGTATAAGAGAGATCGAGAGCCGTTGGACGTTGGACGGCAGTAGTGTGCGGGGAAGGAAGGGACTGACTAGGAGGGATGAGGCGAGGGGAAAGGAGAAGGAGAGATGAGAAGGCAGGAGAAGGCAGGAGAAGGCAGCTTGTTGCTCTCGTGACAGCATAAATGCAAATGCTTATCCGGTGGCGGCGCTCTACTTTAATTAGCAGCAGCAACAACTCGACTTAGGTACATAGATGTAGATACCGTGAGCAAATCCGAGTATCCTATCTGGAGAAAGCCCGGTACGCGGAGACGCCTGCTCTGTCCGCTCGGGGTATGTATTTGTATCGCTCTTTATAATTAAGCTACATGTTAACATAGGTCACAAACCGTGTCCTCCAAGGTGTCCTACCTAATATATACACGTCTCCTCGATCCTGACCTGTATATAAAAAAAACAGTTTCTGTGGGCTAGCTCCCCGGCAGAAGTAGAAGTACATGTATCAGGCGCAGTTACATTGGGGACAGTTGGTTCGACCAGTAGTCTCACGGCCTTTTAATTACAGAGACCGTCTTGGTCCTCCCACAATATTGAGACAGTGTAAATGCTTATTCGGTCGGTGGTGGCACTTTCCAGAATTCTAGCACTCTACTAACAACCTCACAATTCGTCCCCCAGCAGATCATGAAGCACAATCCCCCAACCCGAGTCGGGTCCATAGACTCCTTCACGGGGGGGGTATGGTCAAAGGTATTCGATCAACTCCCTGAGTATCATATATCACCCCGGCGTATATTTGAGATTGACCGTACCCCCCGTGTTGACCATACTCCGGTGAAGGGGTGTAGGTACATGCTGATATCCAAAGAAGTTCTCCTCGAGTATCTAGCTTGGGAGAACCCGATTGGATGGATGAGACTCGCCACCTCTCTGCTATCTATTTGTATCTGTATCGTGTCTTCCAACGTGTCCCCCCAATCCCTTATTTTCAAGAGCAATGAAAAGCTGAGGTTGTTGGTTGTTCAACTGCTCTCGTGACAGCCGTAAAACGCAAATGCTTACTCTAGATGTACTCTAATTATCCGGTGGTGGTGGTGGCGCTCGAGCGCTCTCTCCTCTACAGTCGCAACTCGATATGCCGGATTGCCAAGATTCTAAGGATTTCGTACGGGATAGCAAAAAATCCGGGATAGCAGATTGATTTTGCAGTAGGAAAAATAATATTCTCAGAGGATCTCGTACGGGACAGCAAGGGATCCGGTGTATTGAGTTCCGGCATATCGAGTTGCGACTGTACTCTTCCTACCACCAACTCGCCCATACTCTTCCACCTGCCATATGTACTCTACCAATCGGCAGTCCCTAGAAAAGCATCATGAAGCCCTACTCCACGCCGGCAGGCATATCCTCCTCGAGCACTCCTCTCCCCTATGTATGTACCCACCTACAGATTGGCCCGGCCCTAAAGCAGTTTCCGCAGTGAGCACGGACCATGCAAGAAACCCGCTCTTTTAGCTCTGACTTTTCGCAAAAATTCTACCGCAACACCTCTCCACGATCTAGAATCTGTTTTTCCCTCTCCTCTAGCTCTACTCTACATAGAGTATGTGCACGTCGTTACGAGTAGCCCAGCCAGGCAGGTATGCAGAACGTCGTGGGTTAATTGGATAATGCACGACCGGTACGCTAGTGCCGAACCGGGTCTAGTCAACAGGGTGTTCTTTTTCAGCCGCGAGGTGGCAGGGGGTGGAGGTGCCCGGGTTGGTTGGGCTGTCACATGCCAGCTGACTGTTACTGGCTACATGTAGCTAGGGTGGAATTTTCACGGTGCCAGTAGGGTTTGTAGAAAGGAAGGAAGAAGGATGGATGGGTTGGAGGGATGCATATGGGCACTCATGTGCGGATTAATTAATTTGGGATTAGATACATGTAATTCGGAATATCCTTATTGCAGACAGCAAGGAAGGGAAGGAAGGAAGGGAAGGAAGGAAGGAGATTTTGTTTCTCGGCCCCGCTGTTTCGTGATCTGTGCTGGGGAGCATGTCGAGCACGCGAGGATTGACCATGCCTTTCTGCATTGGGGTTACGTCCGTACATGTATTTATTTCGAGAAGGAGTTGAGGGAGTTACAGAAGGCTCCGTGGTGAGGACTCGAGACGGACTTCACCAGCTGACTGCTTCTCAACCGCTCCATACAGACCTCCCCATTCTCCAACAGAGCCCAAGACGAAATGTGACATCACCTTGCCTCTAATACTTCGCCCTATAGTACCATACATAACAGCCCCCCATGGCCCCCCCACGTACCCACAAGCCCACGCACCCTCGCTCGACTCCCTCCTTTCTCCTTCAAACCTCCACTCACCTCCTTCAAACTAGGTAAGCAATCCCCCCCTGTACCCTATGTACCTACACACAAAAACCCTCAAAAATCTCAGATCACTGATCCCCCACAAAGCCGCCCATTACAGCCAGCTATATTACCGGCCATACCATACAGCGCCAGTGTCCAGCACAAATTCCCTCAAGAGCTAGCCAGAGCGCCCAGCTGCGCCCCTCACAATTCCAATGCCGGCCCGAGGAATCCCTAGAGTAGGGGTCTGTCCCCCGTCAAATATCGACGACCCGGAATAGCTACAGGTCAAAAAAATAAAAACACAAAAAATCACCCGATATTTTCGGCTGGAATAGGGAGCCCATGGATGCCTATAACTTGCCTGCAACCCGTCCACCCACCCAGCCCACCCACAATGCTGGCTGCAGTAATCCTTCCATTCCTTTTCTGCTGCTTGTTATGGTCCACAATACCGCACGATCAGAGAAGGAGTTTCGGCATATGCGGATATCGTCTGTTTTTCATTTCGTCTGCTCGTTCCATCCGATCCCAATCCAGCTACACCAACTTGTCACGCCAAAGTAAAATCATAAAAAAAAAAGTTTTCATATAAATAAAGCATTGAAGCCATGCGGTCGCACCACCACCACCCCCGCAGATCGTTCCATGACGCAAACTGGCGCGGCATGAAGCTGCAGCAGGACCGCAAGAACAAGACCACCTGGGTGCCCTACTCGTTACGGGTCCATGGTGGCGGGATCCATCTTCCCCAGGTATGTTGTACATCGGCAACTACCCGGGCATGCGCCGACCGGGGGATTGATAACGGAGAGGTGCTGATATCGTGTGCGACGGATAGATTCTTGGAGCAGGCCTCTTTGCAGCGCTCATCTGCTACCTCTCGTCAGATGTCAACGAGAAGTATTCGCTACACACGCCAATTCTCTTCCCCGTCTGGGGGTATGTTCCCCTTGCCATTTCCCCCACCCCAATCTTTCCCATGCTAACAAAGCGACAGGTTCATCGTCGCGCTGTCAATCAGCTTCCGCATGACGTCCGCCTACTCCCGCTGGTGGGAGGGTCGCACGGAATGGGACAAGATCTCGGCTCTCACCCGCAACATCGCGCGTACAATCTGGCTGCACATCCCAACGCTCAAGACCCCCGCGGACCACGACCCGTCGGCAAAGTCAGACCTCGAGGTAAAAAAAGAGGCCATCGAGCTCTTGCACGCATTTGCTGTCGCGCTCAAGTACCATCTTCGCGGCGAGCGCGACTGGGAGCGGCTTGGGGAGCTGAAGGAGCTATTGAAGGGACTGCCAGCTGTAAGTCGCCCTACCTAGCGAGTGGGAGTAGTAGGAGAGGAAAAGTGAACTCAAGTGACGGTGAAAAACAGTACCAGCAACTCCACCTCCACCATGATACCGCAAATCACCCGATCCAGATCACGCTCCACATCTCGGCATACCTCGAGCACCTCCGGCAGACTCGCCCCGTAGACACCCAGGTCTTCACGCATCTGCTGCTGTACATGGACTCGCTCACCTCCTGCATTTCCTCGTGTGAGCGTCTCCTGCGCACGCCCATTCCTCTCGGCTACAACATCGCCATCTCGCGCGCCGTGTGGATGTTCATCCTCGTGCTGCCCAGCCAGCTCTTCCGCACGCTCGGGTGGCTGACCGTGCCGGTGACGATGGTGACGGCATATGTGCTGATGGCGCTGAGCGAGGTTGGCCTCGAGATCGAGAATCCGTGGGGAACGGGCCCGAATAATCTGGATCTTGATCGGTACTGCATGCTGCTGAGCTTCGACCTGCAGGATATCATGATGAGGCCCGCCGTGGAGTATGGGAAGTGGATTAGTGAGCCGGTGCCGATTGTGTATAATCCCGGAGTGTTAATTGGGATGGGGAGGGGGGCTTTCGGGAGTGTCGAGACCACGTATGGTGCGGTGGGAATGGGAGTCGGTGGGTTCGTGTAGTGAAGGGGGACAGATCTGGAGTGGAGTGGATGGGATGGTAGTTGATGGGATAGACGGCGTAATACTCTATAGATTATCCTAAATTGAATTAATTTCCTTTATCCCAGAACAGATTGTCGTCCGGACCTGAGGTCGGCCTGCCAGCTGTAAAGGCCCGAAATTCCAAGTCATCCTCGGCATCAGTACAGCTCTCTTCCGGGAACCTTACCGATATTGAACCATATAACGAGGCGGGAGACAGAGAAAGCAAAGCTCAAGGCAGTCTTGAATTGAGAGATAAAGACAGCGTTGTATCAAACGGCCCGATGAAAGTCATTCTTTGTGCTCTAATTCGTCATCGATCGTGGGGTCATGTCCTGCCCCCTTTGCTCTGGAGGGAGGATTTAAGGATGATGGGGAAGGCTGATGGAAGGATGGAATGGTTTCGGAGTGATGGCAATGGCAATGGCGATGGTTGTGTTTTCAAGTTGCCACAGATTATAACTAGATTTATAGGTCACAAACCTAAACGCTAACTATCCTTAATCAACTGTTTATAGCCACCCAACCTCCGCAACCTCACAAACAACTACTCTACAACGCCAACCTAATGTACATCGATACCTCGGCAGACCACAGAGGAAGAGCTCCAACAAAGATACTGCCACTCAAACAGTTCTGTTCTCCTTGTCCGGCCAGATACACATAGTACCGTGCACCGCCGTACAGGATTATACATGACTGCCACACACGCATACCACAACTGTGGACTTCTGGCGGAGAATAGGTCATCATCATCGTCTCTTCTCCCATCCAATAGTTTGATTTTGCTACAGCCATCGGAACATGCCTGAACATTCTCGGGGTTTATCTCCGAGGGTATACTTTATTTATACATGTATATAGCAGCTAGAGACCATCCTCCCCCGAGGCAGGTTGTCTTAATAATGACGCAGTACACTCTACAGTTCTTGCCACATACTTTGCATATATATTCAGCACTGCTCTCACTCTCACCCACCAGTCAGGATCCCAACTATCCAACAATCCACTCACTCACTCACTCACTCACTCACTCGCTCACTCACTCACCAGCAACCGAGTGATCAGCCATGCGCCAAGTCATCCCAAGGACGCCACCAAGCCCGGGCCCCCCCACGACACCCCCGGAGTCACCCGCACCTGCATCCGCACCCCCAACTCCCTCTATGGCACCTCCGACCCCGCAGCCAGCCACAACACCCAAGCCAACACCCTCCAAAACACCGCACACCCCCACTACCACCCCTACCACCACCCCCACCACAGCACCCAGCACACCCCACCTCCTCCTCTGGTGGATCCTCGGCCTCATCCTCTTCACCACCATCCAGTCCCGCACCACCGACACGCCCCTCCCCCACACCATAGCCTACACCACCCTCTTCTTCACCGTCTTTGGCGCCGCCGCAACGGTGGTCGTGCGCGCGGGCGGCAGGGCGACCGATGTGTTGCTGCTGCTGGCGGTCATGGTTGGGACTGTGCAGCTGTGGGCGGGGACATTGGGCGCTGGGACTGCGGGGACTGCGGGGACTGTGGGGACGGGGTTGGCGGGGGCTGAGGCGGTGGGCGAGGGGGCGGCGAGGTTTACTGCTGGGTACGCGAACCTGGCGTCCACAAACCGAGAATGTAAGAGGCGCTTCTAGGGCGGCGAGCAGAAGACAGCGGCGGGCGGGCGGGCGGCCTGTTGGATCCACTCGTGCGTCGTGCCATGGCTATTATCCAACCCAACCCAACCCAACCCAAACTAGCCCCGACCTGACTTCCTGCGCCCCCTCCTTCCCTCCTTCCCTCCCTCCCTCCCTCCCGCTCCTCCCCCGAAAGAAAAACAGGTAGTATGCACTGCCAAGAGAAAGAAAAGACACTCACCATCACCACCGCTGTAGGCTGCTGCGTCCACTGCCCGCCGCCGCCACCGCCGACTCCCACGCCCAAGACAGGCGACACGTTTGAGATGGACCCCATGTATACGATTGACCACATATTTACCGCAGACGGATTGACAGTGACCCGCATATGCCCCCGTTGACCCCCCGGGCTGTTATGGCGGCCGCTGTGACTGAGCAGAGCAGCTATCCTGGCTTCGTGGCGGACGATATTCCCATGGATGACCACCCTCACCTGGACGGAAGGATGGTTCTGGGAATAGGCTTTGCTTTCGAGTATCTATGTATTTGCATTAAGGGCGTTCGTCCTATGGCGGGGGGGTGGACACTTGTACTGCCATCTTGCCAGAGCGGAGTTTGTATTTACCTAAGCTACTACATTACACTGCACCACGTTGTATAAAGATCGTACTCGTGGCTCACGACGTTTATATTCAGGATCTCGTCTCTTCTTTTTTTGTGCATGGAGGAGGTGTGATACGAAAAGCTCATAATTCCCCGACCCCTTATGATTATTGAGATATGCACGCCGAATGCCGAATGCCAAATGCTAAATGATTATAAGCTATACACCAGATATAGATGTATCCATGACCGGACACCCGGGTGTCCAGTATAGTTCGTGAGATTCATAACTGGTTTCAGTCGAATTTACCAACACAGCTGATGTTTACTACTCTATATACGCTTTCAACTCCCCAGAGGAACCAAAGCAATGCACTGTAAACTCCATCAAGAGTGCGCGCCTAATGTCAAACATCCTCATCCCCACCATGCGCGTTGACTAAACACTCTTGGCAAATCCTAGTGCAGTCTACAAATACCCAGTCAGTCAGGCAACCACCATACCGATATTTAAAAAAAAATAACCAACACACACCTCGCCCCGCAGTTAAGTAGGGCGCATAATCCCACCACCAGGCGCCATCCGTTGAAAGCTAGAGAAAAGAAAGCCGGATGCTCTCTCACATATATTAGACCCCGCACTCGCCCGGCCACCCGTCAAAGCAATAAACAACATACCTCAAATCTTCTCTCCCCGCACCCATATACATATCTCCAATGTCCACTCCACTCATCCCCCCGCACCAATTCCGCCCCGGCATGCCCCCCTCCGCCCGCCCACTCGCAAGCCTACCAAGAAGGCCGACACCCACGACGCCCGCAGCTAACCGCCCGCCATACACACCCGCGAAATACCTCTCCACAGGCTCCTTCTTGACGCCGCAGCAGCTAGTGGACGAGTATCAAGGTTAGCCCCCCCCGAGTTCAGTGTAGAAGCAGAAACAGGCCCGTGATGGTGCTGATGGTGCGCCGGCAGAGTTCGCAAGCAGCTTGAAATACGTAGCCACCGCGCCCGAGCTGGTGTTTGAGCGTCTGGTTGCAAGCGTATGTAGCCGTTTCTGTTGCTCCCGGAGTAGTTGATGTGCACGTGTGCTGAACTGGAGTAGTTGAAGGATGCGTTTAATGCTGCGGTTGCGGTTGCGGTTGAGGTGGAGCGCCGGAAGGGTGTTCGGGAGTGGGATGATAAGGTGGTGGAGGTGAATTTGGTGGCGAAGTTGGGGAGTGTTGGTATTGGGGAGAAGGGGGAGAATGGGGTGAAGGAGGTGAATGAAGTGAAGGAGGTGAAGGAGGTGAAGGAGAAGGAAGCGAGATTGGTGCTGAAGTTGCAGAATCTTGATATCATACAGAAGGAGAAGGAGAAGGAGAAGGAGAAGCAAGCGAGACTGGTGCAGAAGTTGCAGAATCTCGATATCGTACAGGAGAAGGAGGAGAAGGAGAAGGAGAAGGTGGAGAAGGAGGAGAAGGAGAAGGAGGAGAAGGAGAAGAAGGAGAAGGAGAAGGAGAGGGAGAGGGAGAAGGAGAAGAATGCTTCAGGCGTTAAAAAAGGTTCCACCCGTCCCCCCCCCCCACCCGGGACTAGGCCCGTGAAAACCCCTCTCTATCCACCCCCCCCCTCCCCCAAAAACCCGAGCGGGCAGTCCACGAAAATGAAGAAAGAAAAACCCTTTTTGTTTCATTGACTACCTGCCACCACCAATTATACCAAGGCTTCAAGTGAAGCAGATGTTTTGGCGGCCAGGGAAGGCGTCTACTGGGTCAATGTCTAATTGTTGGTGTATATCTAGACTCAGTGGCTACAGGTACGGTGGTTAAATCCGACGCCAGTTCTACCGTAAAGCCTTCAAAGTGTAGGAATCTGTTGGTTGGAAAGTATAGCAGCACTTTAAAAGGTGTATCGACGTGCGACATTGGATCTGGCAAGCACTTCCATTTCAGCAGCTTTGAAATACCGTTGAAACTCCACGGGTCTTCGCCTGGAACGCGTCACAGAACCCCACCGATAACATTTACGAAACTGAATTTCAATACTCCCGTACAGCGCCCGAGTTTCTCAAGCACCGACCATAGCATACACGTTCCTGCCCAGACAAGCTACTCGCAGTCGCTCGAGGTAGGCATCAACTGGTTAGAAATCAGCGGCAGCGAACCAGATTTTCAGCACAGGATAGTCGATAACGGAAGTTATAATTGCCTCACCCGGAATGAATTTCGATCTACTAGGGAAATACGTGTTCATTTCATGCCCCCGTATACCGTAATACCGCACGTTGCGGTGTGGTTCTCTGATTTCACCCGCGAGGAAAACAATGGCGAGCGGCTCGAAGCAAAGGTCTATGCGACCGACGTCACTAGGACAGGTTTTATGATTAATGTTATGAAAACCAAGCCGGAACGCTTCTTGGAACCCATTATCACGTGGTTTGCTTATTCCGCAACTAGAAAGGATGTCTTCAAGGGCACGTTTAGCACCACAGCAGTCCGTCCGTGGAACAAGAAACCGCACACAGCCGATTTCGGGTACGAGAAATTCCACAGCTACGGACTCACTTCTCCGCCTCGTATTCTGATGGGGTTTGACTCGCTGGATGTCGATGCGCCGAAAGGTTCCGTAGAGGTTGAGACGGGTGTTGCGGATATAACAGAGAAGGGAATGTCGTGGCGTATCAATGCTTCTAAACCCACGGAACTGAATTCAGCTAGTGTCACTTATCTGGCGTTTGCATGAATTTAGCTCTTTCTAAAAGAGCCTAATTATTAAAGCTCTCGCTGTATCTCGACTTGTACCGTCTCAGAGATTAAGAACAGCAAGATTTTCTTTGTTGGACTGATTCAGTCACTTCTCCTTCATTGTTAGTTGGTTGTAACTACTTAGTAATTAGCAGGATTTTGTGTTTTCCAGTGTTCAAATTTTTATTTCTTATGTTAGTCACAAAATATATAGATCGAACTGTACTGTTTTTCCCTCCTCATCTCCACTCTACGTACCAACGTGTCTAGATTCATCAAGGGATATCCACATGAGTAGCCAGGATCTACCCGAAATCATGATACCGTGATTATAATCGTCCTCTCCACGTTCTCGGATAGTGAGGTGAGTGCAAATTGGACCCTTGAAAGAGTATCTTCGATCACGGATTACGAGTGATATCCTATGAAGATCTTTACCAAAACGTAGAATACGGTTAGAATATACAAAGTACTTATTGAAACATGAACAGCTTACCTTTAGTCCGTGATACTGATCAACTGGCTTTTCCGCTTTGATTAGAGATGTCTCGAGGTCGCTAAGTAGTCGGTTGCACTTCCTTTAAGCCGGGAGTGAAAAAGGGGTGTCCCGATTCTTGATCAGTTACACGGAACCTACACGTAGGTATCCCTATGCAATATGAATGCGTGGGCCATACATGAGTAGGTGTAGGTGCATGTGTAGCGGAAGGACATTGTGTTACGATCCTGTCTGTATCTTTAGTAAGCTATGGCCTCTAGATCACCCCCGGGCCCCTCTTTTGCGGAGAATTGAACTTACACACTCTTATTTCTATACGACCATAAATGTCTCTAGATAACTTGTAGTCTGGAGATATCTTAAGGCCAATGGTATGTGAGGTCGAAACCAGAGCTATACTAGTTAACCAAAGTAGATATCCGCTAGGTTATGGCATCTTATCTCATGAACATGCCGAGTACTGGATACACGGCTCGACTTGCATTAGTCGTAGAATATCAGAAATATACGAGAATTGGCTTGAGGCAAGATGCTGTATGTAGGCGTGGTGAACGAAAATTTAGGAATATAAAGACTGCATGAACGTACACACGTACACTCATGTAACTTGATGAATCCATCAATCAGTTGAACACAAGTTTTACAATGACGTGGCAAGCTTCTGCCCAATGTTTATGTGCCACAATCAACCAATTGACGCTAGTCATCGACTAGTATACGTATACTTGGTCTCGACACCCTCGGCGCCAGTAACCAAATCCCTCTTGTCACCACCAAGGTCATCACCTAAAGCACCTTTATCTTCTCCCGCTATTCTCTCTCCGCCCACGTTTCTCCTACACATCGTCCCCGCTCGCTACTCCCGTATGTCCTTCTTTCTACGTTCATTGCTGATTACCAATGTTCTCAACTCCACCTAGCTCTACCCATCTCGGAGACATGAGTTGAATCTCGAAAAATTAACACCCTAAGATGTACGCTCCTGACACGAGACTCAAAATCAGGGCTGAGGCATTATTACCAAGGTGAAGTTCGTTCCTTCCAGGATAGAAGTACCTGCCGGTGCTTGAATGAGGAAATTGTTCTCTCCTAATACAGAAGCAGTGAGGCCTCCTTTCCATTTATTTTTGTGCGGGATGACCCTTCTAGCTAGTTTCTAAGCTGACAGAAATTTGATGAAACTGTAGGTGCAGAATATTTAAAATATAAAGACAGGAATAAAGTGCAGAGGCACAAACAAAAATCCCGAGCCTGTTAAATCACTCAACCGATTTATATCCAGACAACATTCCCGACACTTCAGAGAGCACTCGGCTTGGATTGGAGCTGTTCTTAGAGAAATATTTGCATAGGTAACGGACTCTTATTCTAAATATATTCAACAATTGTTCGAATCTGACAGATCTCCCGAGTGATAGGCCATGATTGCATCACGCACAAAGACCTCGTTATCTTATATTTTCTCATGATAAATTGATTTCGAAGCGGATATCACTCCCCGGAATATAATGATCATGTTCTAAGCTCAGTGTCTTCCGGCATTTATCATCATGTGGGGGTAGGGAAACATTCCTGGAAGGTGTCAACGACAGCAAATACCGATGCTAACAACATACGAGAGGTTTCTTAAGCGGATAGGGGCATGTTCACCGAAAATTTGTACAGCATCCCAAAGTGCGTTCGGTCATTTGCTATAGGAATCTTCAAACGCATATGGAAAAAGTCAATGCTGTTCGACCCCATGCTCCACCTTTTATACTAAATACGTTTATCGCAGCCCCGCAGACCGAATGGTTTATCATTCCAGTGTCACACCCGGGGTAGATAAAAGTGCAAGTGTCGCAAATTCAGGGCAGTGTTTCTATTTGCGGGTATGCGGTGTGCTGCAGCACCTGACTGGGGGAGAGAGGTAACTTACATGTAAGAAATATGCAGGTACGCATATCCTAGGCGTGTTCAAATGTGCACTTCTTTGAGTGCTTAGCTCCAGGACACCCAGCCCACTCGAGTTTCAATTTAGGTTGATTACTGTGGAGCTGCGGACAATATGACATCTATATTCCTACCACCACCGAGACGTCTAATCTCATGTCATAGTTAGGAATTGCATGCCTTATCATAAGGCACGTTCTTCCATCGAATTTTGCCAAAGACGCAAAACAGCACTTTGCCGCAGGATTCACACCCATGAACAGTTGACATCACGCGATGTCACGCGATCCCTTGCAACGTTCAAAGTCTCAGCAACCGAGAAATCTACCATGTACCAAGAACTCGGGATATCTTCAGCCTGGCGAAGGTATCACATCTCAATAAGACACGATTGCCAATCCTTCTGGAAGCACATTCAGTCGTCTCGGCTTGGCTTAGCTCCCACTCGTTTCAGGTTCGCGCCGAATCCAGCGCTGCTGGAGGCGATCAAATCAACGAGGATATACCATGCTTACCTATTGGGCCTGGAAATTTTGATATTCATTACCCATGCCCCTGTCGATCTTGGATGGAGAATAATTAGTCTAATGGGCACGGTGACTTCACGGTATTAACATTTCGGATATGAAGCCTTGTCGGAAATATACAATTATTTATTTCTGTGCTGTGCCCGGGAGTGTGAGTAGGTAGGTAGGTGGGTGGGTGGGCGTAAGAATCGCGCGCGTTTACTCTAAAAACAGTCCCCAATTCATAACGGCCAGCCTCAGGTATATGGGTAATTCAATCAGACGATATATTGATTGCTAGAGTAATATTACAGGCTCGAGTACGGTGTGCACAATATATCACTCGTCTTAAGCTTCCGGATCTCAAAGCTTACTGCCACGCTAATCTAGAATCGTGTATTAGTACAACACCGGCCAAGATTGTACTTTCCTGTAAAGTACTGACTTTCCGGTCTAACTCTACACAATCACCCCACAGAAGCTCAAAATCACCAAACTCTGTAATCCCGCCGCAATCGTGCAGCGGGGTGGAACGAGATTCGCTTAGTCCACCGTAGATATCAAGTAAGGCGTGGAAGGCAGGAATGCGGCTCAGTAAAACATCGAAAGCTTAAACCTCATGTACTTTATCTATCTACATTGAATTGAAGGGTAAAAAAAGATCCGCCCACAAGATAGCAGAAAATCATTTACTTTTGTTTTCCTAGATGTAGAGAGAAGAGAAACATCGAGCAGCGACAGATAGATAGATCAAGCAAGCAGCCTCGTGAAAAGCGCGTTTGGACAAGTATTGATTCTAACGCGCGCCTCAAACATTCCAAAACAGACAGCGATAAACAAACAAAATGCAATCGAAAAGATTCGTGGTAAATCAGTCAAAAAACAGAAAATAAACAAAAAATGAACCCAAAAATGACTCCTTAAAAAAAAAAACGCCAAACAAATAAAACCACCACCAAAAGCACTCGCCACTGCCGCCTAATTCCACGTAGCAGCACTCGCGCCAGGTATCGCAATGAACGCCGTGGACTCCTCCGCCAGCTTCCCGGTCACCGGATCCCTCTCAATCAACTGAACATCGCCGCTCGCGGGGTTCGCGACCGTAACATAGTCCTTTCCGCCCAGCGTCACAAACGAGAAATGTCTCGGGTTAAGCCCACCCGCGGGAGTAAGGCCGACGAATTCGAGGGTGCCATCGGTTTTAATGTTCCATTGCGCGAGCGAGTCGCTGCCATTGCCGGAGGAGCCGACGTTGGGAAAGGAGCGGTCGATGCGGTTGGAGACGTAGAGGAATTTGTTGTCGGACTGTGCGGGCGGTTGTTAGTCTACGTGTGGGGTGAATATGGGGGTTGGGGAAGTGCTTACAGAGATTGCGATTTCGCCAGCGGCAGGTCCGCCAGTGACGACGGGGACCTTGTCCTTAGAGCCAAAGGTGCTGTAGGTGGTGATCGGTGTCATGGTCAATGTACCGGTTCCATAGGTGAGCGAGTACGCCGTGATCTCGTTGTTGAGCTCCGCAACCACAAAGAAGTGGGTAGCCTTCTGGCCGTCCTTGTTGGGCCAGAAGGCGCCGTGGCGGGGACCACTTCCCACGGTGGCTGCAACGTCGGGGAGGGGCGTCATATTGTTGGTGTAGCTAGAGCCGGCGATGAAGTAGACATGAAGGACATCGCCGCCGAGATCGGGGATCACGGCAAAGGCGCCGGTGGGGTCGATGAATACTCCGTGGGGGTGGGACTCGCCCTGACGGTCAGCGACGATGGAGCTCACGTCGTAGGTGAACTGCTGGTTCTTCTGGAGTACCCCGTCGTTGGTCACGAAGGAGTTGATTCCTTGGCCGCCGCTGGAGAGACGTTAGTATGGACGGAATGGGGCCGGGAAGGGGGAAGGGAGCATACTATGCGGCAGTAATGAGACCCTTCTTGTTCTTTGTCACTGCAATGTGAACTGGGCCTGGGAGTCCAGCCGATTGACTGATCTTTGTAAATGTCCCATTCTCAACGGTGTATGAGGTGATGGCTCCTGGCGTGGTTCCGCCGGACTCAGAAACGGAGTACATGATATCACCGTCAAATGTCTGCCATGTGGGCGAAGGGAAGGAATCGTTTGTGGCAGAGATGGGCTGGAACGAGGTGCCATCGAAGGCGTATGAGAGGATCTGAGCTACACCGGTACCGACGTAGAGGGTTTTGCCCATCACCGATGAGCCAAAGAGCAGTGCGCACATGGCTTGAGAGATTGCGGCGGGAGTTGAGTATTTCATGATTGTTACTGTTGTGAGTGTTGTTAGTTGTGGTTGATGTGAATGCGCACGGTATATTGGGGAGGGAGGCTTTATGTATTTAAATCTGATGGCTGAGGGACGAATAAAAGAGAAACGGTGTTTATAAGTAACATAAGGAAAGGGCTGGTGTCTTTAAACACATTCAGTGTACCGGTACCTGCAGGGACCCACCCACCATCTTTAAAATAGTTCATTCCCCCAGAGCTTTTGTGTTTTTGAATGAGACAGGAGGTGTGGTAGCAAAAGGCCAAAGCCGTAAGAACCAATAGCAGGTAGCCGCCACGTTTGTAGCGCTGAGGTGGCCTGAATGGCTTGCATACTACGGCCATACTATAGGCTAGGAAATGCTGTCTCTGTTCTGCTGTTTCAACTTTTGGGGGAGTCATGGTGGAGGGATGGAAGTGAATAGACCTGACGCAGTAGGTACTGTAGTCTGCTCTACTACCTATCTCCATCAATTGTGAAGCCTATGTACCCTGCCCAGCCGACAATAGGCGGGGTCGCCCAATGTCAACGTTAACGCGACTTCTTCTCTTCTGCTCTAGAGTAGCAAACAGGGGTACGGACCGTGCAGGCCGTTTGGGAGAAAGAATACTACCTATTTTAGCCACCGGAAGTTACCAGCTATCAACGGACTGTGGGGCCTGGTTCTGGCTCTTTACCCGACAGTAGATTTTTCCCCGCAGAAACAGTAGGCCCGGGATCACTGGCACTGCCTGTACTCGGCACCCAGGGGAGCAATCTGCTAACGGGGAAGAGAGTTTAGAGTAAGGGCGATGTTTGTACTCTACCTGATGCTGTAAAGAGCATGCGCAAATAATTTGACCAGCTGTAAGTACTATCGGCAAGCTAGCTCGCATCTGCGTGGGTTGTGTCTTAGACTGCGGGAGCTAGTGTGCGCCACATTTGCGGCTGAACATGAGGTTTATGTGATCGACACTCAAATCTCCCTTCTCGTCAATGATCCCCAAAGCTTAAATCCCCGAACCCTAACCCCGCATTATCTGAAGGGTCTATGTACGGTCTGGTGCATTCAATAAAAAAAAAAAAACCAAAGCGATAAAAATAGCTTTCGTCTTAATGTTTCAGGGCCTCAGGTTCAGTGCGTTGGCGGTACCATCACATCATAGATAATGATCAGTAGCCGGTATGTATCTGGTACAAGTGACTTATCTCACTGTGGCTGGTTGGTAAGGTATGTCGTGCTTGCACTTGCTTATTCGACGGAATATCGTCAGCCTCACAAGACAGCCAATTAACCCACCAGAAGAGGAGTACCTATTTGCGGACAGGGTACATACATACATCGAGCACAGAGATACTTGAAATTGAGGTAAGCCTTTTAATATTCTCTCAGTCTAAGCGCACCCACAACTGATCATGAGGTAGAGATTATCAATCTTGGTTTCGGTCTAACGGGAACCGTGAAATGCAGACTAGGTACATGTACTCTATGTACTCTAGAGTAGAGTACGAGTATGCGGTGTGATTATGAGAGTGCTCTACTAGTATTTCGCTGACGTTTTTGAACTGGGCCATTATTGCATACACCCAAAATCATGAGCTTGGCGTATTTTTGTATGGCATGCAATATCAGTCGCGTCCACAAACGTCAGAGAGATACGAGTAGAGTAGACAGGCGCATGCAAAGTGACTGAGATTGTCTTACTCAGGGATTAACTCCACAGATCGATTCCAGTCAGGTAGTTTGATAATTATAAGCGAATTCATGATTGCTCTAGACATACATACATGACTCGAAGAGAACATCGATTTCGGTATTCATAATCAGCCTCGATCACAGCCGCTGGTTCTGCAATGGTCTGCATATCTGGGGCGCTCTCTTAACTTTCTATCGAAAGTAGCAACTCTTTCTGCCTTGGCCCTTGCCCCCCAGTGCTTTTATCACAAAGTTCCCGTAGAATTAATCTCCTTAGAGATAAATTTTATAGGTGTAGAGAGAATACGTATGCGCCGGGAAACCAATCTTTAGTCCCCGCTTATAATTGAACCAAAAATTGAAGTTTGGATATCAATATTCATGCACCAGATAATCTCGCGGTTTATGTGATACAGCCTTATGCAAGACCAGAAAGTCATTCCCATAATATCGGTGAAGAATTTAAACCCTGGGGGGATACTTATCACAACGTATGTAGTACCTGAGCTAGATGCTGCCCCAGCGCGCGCGGCGACGGCGGCTTTGCCGAAAGTTTATAAGTAAAAAGACAGGTCACACCGCTTCCGGTAAAATGGCTCCGCGGAAGTTACATAGTTTATATAGTAAATAAAGTTTACTTCGAAGTTCTTAAGGATCAGGGGACCAATTGACGGCAAAAACTTCAATTTTGCGGAGAATATGATCAGCCATACTTCCAACGCTGAGCAAGATTTGACCGATATCTTATTGACCGGTTTATTCAAGAGAATCTTTCAATCTAGCTCTCCAAAGTACTACTTCCGGAGATAATTTCATTCGGGAATGACTAGATCCATAGAATTGTGTTTTGTGGCAGTGAGACGTTTTTTCACCGTGGCTGAGCTAGACCTATGGACCTCCACTTTCAGCGGAAACTCTGGCAAACAAGCGCTTGTAAGTAGCTATGTAATTAAATGTATTCCAAGAAACGGATAGTGTGTCCATACTTACCAGCACGATAGCGCAATAGCCCCCATGGCCATATGCAATACCGTTGTGTAAGGATGTACAACAGTTGGTACAACAATACTAGGTTTTGACTCGGTAACGGACCGATTTCCACATACAATGGGGTACCATGTTGCTAGCCCATCGTCGAGTACACCAGGGACCGGGGGTAATGATCAGTAATCTACTATTTCCCCAGCCCGTGAATCAAACCGGGTCAATTATTTTGTGGCTCAACAATACTAAAATACCCCACCTCGCCCGTCATGAAGGGTGAACCCGAATGGCCGAAACCATAATGCGGAGTTCTCCCCGGTTTTCATAGAGAAAACGAAAGGCTAAACATGTTGTCGACGCCAGACATACATGTCCCTTCATCTTGATACTGCGGGCAGCTAGCTAGACTCTCGTAGCCTACGTACCACCGGATACCTAGCTCTTTCTGTCAATTTTTCCATGTCCTGAACAGCTTTGTCAGTTCTTATAATTTTCCTCAGCCGCGTGCGCTACTGTGGAACACTAGAAACAGCATTTATCCCCACACTCGCCGCATAACCGTCACCAATTCCACCCCGCACCCGGGGAACGTCGGCCGGCTCGGAAAAAAATGTAACTCTGCACCTGCATACTTTCCACTGATATTAGCACCCGCACGCTATGCCCTAGAAAATACTCAGACTTTGGTGGGATCCCCACAGCGTTTAAAGTAGAGTCGGCATATACCTAATCCCGGATAAAATACCCTCCCCATCAAAGCTTGAGCAAATCCATGCTCGGACTGATACCCCGACCATCCCGTACCAGGTTCCAAGAGCTACTGGTAGTCCTTCTTCGCTTGCTCGGGATAAGCCACCCGAACGCCCTAGTTACCCCACCACCAGTGCACTACTGGAGATTTTTATCCCTGAAAACAGGAAAATGGTGATCAGCGGGCTTGCGGAGAATTCTTTTCGTCTTTCCCCTGGGTTGGGTGAAAAGGGGAGGTGTTACACGTGATCGGCGTCTTTAATTGCCTTGTTTCTAGAGTGAGAGTCGGGATTCGAGGCCGTGGGTACGAAGGGCCTCCGAACCGGCGGTTTGCCCCCTTGGCCGGACGTGGGTTCGGGAAGGTGGTTGTGTTTCGTGTATGTGACCCATGAGCATGATTGAGATGATTGTTTCGGTTTGGCTATCCGCCAGGGAATGCAGACTCAATTGATAAAACATTAAATAAATGAAGGGTGGCATCATATCAAGTACTACAGGAGTAGATAATTTACTTGCAGATGTGAGTATGAGAGTCATCGTATATCACTCGTAGTGACTCTGCTCTTGAAAATGGTTCTTCTAATTCGCTCAACTCTGCGGACAATAGGCGAGTCGCTCAGGTAGTGAGTGACTCATAAAAAAGGGCCATGGGTTGTTTTTCTGTTGGTCCCTTTTTGCGGTTTCCTCTCGGTTTGGCGGGCCTGCGGATGTAGCTTGCTTGGTTGATCAAGCTCTGGCAATAAAGACAGCGGTGACGACGATGATCATGATGATTAACGAGGAGATGGAAAGGGAAGAGGAGAGAGATCCGGGGTTGAAATATGGCAAGCCTTAGGACAGACAGCTCTAAGAAACGGTAAAAGTGAGACGTATCTCTGGGGCGATGTCATAATGTGTGTCAACTTGGTCTGGGCTGGATGACAAATAAGCTTTTCTTGGCCATGGCTTGCAGCGCCGGGCTCTAACGTTCCAGACTACATGTAGCAAGATAAGCATAAATCAACATACACACATGTACATACACTACATGTAATATCCCTTCGTCTATCAAAAAATTAATGTGCCCACCCTAAAGTTGGTGCCAAGAGAGTGGCTTTAATTGCTCACAGATCTCTTTATCTTTCTTGTCAATCAATTAATTGATCGTTCACCAAAACTACTACCCTCTCTTATAGGGTGGTCAGAATCGAAAGATCTGACGAAAGGATAGTATACGGTTCGCATCAAGGTCGGATATTTTATCTGTGTTGTGTGATTGCAATCATAGACTATCACTCGTTCAGAACAGCCACCGCTGGGCATGGGAAATATATAAATATCGCAGCTCAACCCACTGGGTCCGGGACACCTAGCTCAGAGACCTCGTCATTTCTTTCGAGATCCCTACACGACTGCAAAGTTCTACTAGAAATGTCGCTTAAAATATTCATTATCTGATGTGATATAGGTGGTAGTTACTATGGCGCATGGGAACTAGAGGACACGGTCACACTGGACAAGTTAATTGATTGATTGATAGACACCTTCCCGGGCCACTCGAACACCCCCCTCACTCGAACAGTTTATGTAATCTTGTCTGTGATTGGTTGAATGTGAGACACTTATGTCATTAGTTGCATATTCCAAGGAAATCAGTTGTACCCGGCTGATGTAGAGTGTAGCCGTTGAACCCGCTTCCAAATGATTACTTTCTCCAACAAACCTGTTGAGCCCGCCTTTCAGATAGTTACGATCTTTGAGGTAGAATGGTCACCAGTGATGATACTCTCCGCAGGGAAGCTCAGCTAGCTGAAGCAGCCCGAGTCTACAAAACCAAACCAGAGTACAGTTCAATAAGAAAGACAGCAGCGTGTTTTGATTTAGTCAAGCCAACGACACTACTTGACCGGATTAACAAGGGAAGGAGTAAAATCCGGAATATTGAGCATAGGCAGCACCTATCAGGTACACTATCGGGGTTATATTTGTGTTGATTAGACTGTATTTATTGATTAGTTTACAGATAATGAAGCCAAATACCTGTTTCAAATTTGCGATCGCATGTCAGAACATAATTTCTCGGTTACGGTCCCAATGTTCACCGAATATGCAAATGGGATTTTAAGACAAAAAATCAACAAACAGGAGGCTGCGGACGAGCAAACAATCAAGGTTGGGAAGAATTGGGTGGGGGAACATTTTCAACGATGGAAAGACACATATGAGACTGTGCGTTCTAAGCGTCTCCACCACGCTCGGGCACAAGCCAACATCGACCACCATTTCTATAACGATTACTTTGAAAAGTTGAGGACAGTCCTTACCGAATACAATATCCAAGGTCGGGACATTTACAAGCTAGATGAGAAAAGCTTTCGCCTTGGAGAAGCAGCTCTATGTACAGTTATCGTCAAGAAAGGACACCCGGAACAAGCAGTTAGCGGAAGATGGGTCAAAAGAGATGGTTACGGTTCTCGAATGCATATCAACGGACGACTGGGTTGCAAAGCCATTAATTATTTATAAGGGTAAAGGTTATAATTATGGTTGGTCAGTAAAAGATGGGTATTTATATGGTTATTCGGAGTCAGGTTGGATAGATACACACCTCTATTCAGCGTGGATAAAAACAGTTTTTGACCCTACGACATCAACAAGGTTTGTCTCAAGTCGATTGCCATATATTTGGATTTCATACTAATGATGGTAGAGCTAATGGCCGGTGGAGACTGTTGCTGGTCGATAGTCTAGCTGCACATATGAATTTTGATACAGTCGAGTATTGTTGGGAACACAAAATCATTGTTTTATGTTTACCTTCTCATGCAACACATTTGTTACAGCCCCTCGAGGTCGGTGTCTTCCGCCATTACCAACATTGGTATGGGATGGAGGTGGCTGCAAATTCATGGCATGGAAAAACTGGTATCGGGAAGCACAATTTTATGGAGTTCCTGGAGCCAGCCCGTCAAAAAACCTTCCAAAATGGCACTATATGCAGCAGAGCTTTCAAATCAGTAGGAGCGTGGCCTTTCAACCCAGATGCAGCAAAGCGGCGTATACCAGAGCCATGTCCCCCTTCTTGGACCCCACCGGCATGGGTAATGCCATTAGAAGATTCCTATCGAGAGGCTTTATCACATCTTGAATCATATGAGAGGGAGCAGTCTCGGCATTCTGATGTACCTTCCCGGAATGGGCGCGTCTCAATTCAGCCATGTTGCGCGAATCCTTGAACCAACTCCATCATGAAGTTGAGCGGCAGCGGGCAGAAATATCATTTCTTACCTATGAGAAGGATAAGACTCAGAGAGGTACTCAGTCCCTTTCCCATTACCTATTAAACGACATATATTAACAACTTATTAGAACTTCAACGCATCTGCAACACAAAGCCAAATAGAAAAAGAGTTTTTACTGAAAGTAGATTATGTACAGGAGAGTATATAAAAGAACAGAAGAGAAAGCGGGATGAACGGGATAGAGGGGAACTCCCTAATGTAAATAAACCTGACAGAAGGTCGAGAGGTTATGGGGGAGGCCAAGGTCTTAGAGAAAGTCGTAGTGCGAACAGAGGTCGGTCTACAACCTCCAGACCTCGTGAACCTTTTGAAGAATTGGAATTGGGGCACTTCAACGAGTGGCCCAACTACCCTGAAGGTGTACCGGGTCTGGAGGTTGATGGGACGCAGGTTGAAAGTCCATAACGGGTTGTAGAATTCTGAGCAGCGGGCCTGTACCATCTGTTAGCAAAAAGTACTTTGAGTGTAGATCGATACCAAACCAAGAACTCTTTCCCAATCAGAAGCCATAGGAACCCGGCAAATTGTGGCGAATCAGGATCTGTTCGAGTGAGGGGGGTGTTCGAGTGGCCCGGGAAGGCGTCTAATTAATACTCGCATGCAACCCGAAGGTTACGGCGGTACACTGGACAAGTTCATAGGGGGGCAATAAGACACGGGTTACAATGGCGCTAGTCACAAGTTATAAATTCAATCGCCAGCTTCATTGATCAGTATTCCAGTGTTTCTCTACCCGTTCTAAATTGTGATTCTCGTCCGGTAGTCGGCTAACCCTCTATTCCACAAAACAGGCTGCCAAAGAGGTTGCGACGCCACAATCGACTCAAGTGCTCGCCATCTATGAAAGTTGTAATGTCCTCCACACCCCATGATTTTTGCTGTAGTTCAAGACGAATACAAAAGCAGTGCTTATTGATAAGAAGACTTTAACCCCATTCTTGAATCACGCCATCTTCTTTCGTAGTTTCGTCCGATGGGATCTTCACACACTCGCAAACGACACATTTCTGTTCACCTCGGGGGAGGTCCTCTTCGACAAGCGATAAGCCTCGATAAGAGCTAGGACAATAGTCACACCAATTTGACAGAATCCCAAGAGTTTTATCATCTTCTAGAATGAAAACTGGGGGAGAAAAAAATAAAGGCCGCGCAGGAGTCCCAGCTGGTTGGGCGCCGCCGTCGCTCCGGCTATCCAAGGCGGTGCGAGTCTTGGCATGTTCATCTAAACCAGGGCATCGAGTCCTAGAGCGGTGATAATCATCACGGTTTGCAGACAGCTGTCAGTTTATGCAGGGCTTACCCCCAATCCCAAATGTTGTATGATGATCATTTCCCCCGCTTACCTAAGAAAGCTCTAAACACCAAAGGTCCCGAGGACATTATCTTCTGGCCGGTGCTGAAAGGAGTCGCGCGAGAGGCGAATTAACTGATCACCCCACTAACGACCAAAACGCCTTGGTGCTTAAGCTTGGGATCTTTTTCCGTCACGTCATTTTGAGGTGGCGGAAATGGTTATCCCCATAAAAGAAGCAGAATATGAGTTGAGAACACTATGAATCCACCTTTCCTCTCAGAACAAAACAAAACAAAACAAAAAACGTACAGCCTTATGGCGGAATTAATGGAATCTGTCACCATCAGCGATGTGAAGCCATCAGTTGCATCAACTATCAGTAATCTGCCTCGAGAACTCCTGTACATCATCCTCTTCCACTGCCACCAAACACATGATGTTGTACGAGAAAAGTTCAATTCCAGCGACGGGGAAAGCTACCTTTCCATCGATCATGCATCTGGCTCAAGAAACCTTGGCCGCGTTTGTCGTTTGTGGAAGAATGCTATCGAGGTCGGGATGGTCCCGGCGCGGCCATTCCATGAAATCCAACTTAGCGACCAGCAGTTCTTCAGGCTGGTTTCCGAAGACGCTTCGTGCAAATATATGATGGCCTCTGATCAAGTAGACCGGATGGAGCTCCCGGTGCTCTTGAACTACCGGACGCTCACGATTGTCTGCAAGCAGATAGATGATCCCTACCCACTTGACGCCATGACTATTCTAAATCCACTGGCTACCCCTAAGAAACTAAATATTGTCATCACCGATGGTCGAACCGTTGATATCCGGGAGATATTCCAACATTTCAAGACCCCCTACTTAAACCTCCTCGAAAGTTTACACCTAGAATTCCTTGCCTCTCGGAGGAGAGTCGACCCGGATAACGATATCAGTATCATCGTCTGGGACGGCCGGATCACCCTCACATCATCAAGTGACTTCATTCCCTCCCTAAAGATACCCATCGCAATGGGCAGAGTAGACTTATCCATCAACCACTGGACCGACAATGCCACCATCGATGACATACCCTGGATCTTTGGGCAGCTTTGCCGACATGCGCGGCCACTGGGTATGGGCTTCCACCTGCTAAAGGTGCAGGACTCGCCCTTCACCGACAAATGGTGCCGGCAGCGGCCCAGCTGCGCTCTCGACAACACCTTCCTTCGAGAGATCTGCCTAACCGGCATCAGCAGCGACGGCTTCCTACGCCTACTCCAGTGCGCCAGCATCGAGGTCTGGTGCGTCCAAAATCTACGGATCAAGTTCCTGCCCACCCATGACCGTGAGCTATGCTACTGGGACTACCGCATCTTCGACAAGACCACCTGGCCATTCAGGATCGAGAACACCGAGAGGGATATCTGGAGCGACTACGCGGACTTCCTAACATTCCCGAAACTATCACTGCGGCGACGCCTAGACGGGCGAATCCAGGAAGTCGAGAAGCAGCAGATGCAGGCGCCGTGCCAGATTGCCTCGCCGGTGGAGGTGGATCCCGTGGTTGGGTGGCCATGGCGCGCGGCTCCGGGGGAGGACGCGGATACCTATGTCGAGATCTTTACCGATGTCGACAAGTATGTGGGGAGAAGCTTGCGCTGGTCTGGCCTTAAGACGGTGGAGATTGAGGGTGAAATCAGCGATGAGGACATGGACGGGTTTCAGGAGCTGAATGCCCTGCAGGAGGAGCCGTTTTTGGAGGTGTTGGGGCCAATGTCGACGGGGAGGTCTTTAGGGCATATGACACGCCCGGATGCCCTGGAGGAGTCGGAGTATCTCCCACTACATTGGTGGGCTGTGCTTGGGTAGTGTACGGGGCGTTTATTTGCCGGCCCACTAATCGCTCAATTAATCAATCAGCAATCACTGAGCGGGGACGCAATCATGGATTATCACTCGCTCTGTGTTTCCGGTACAAAGTACGGCGATTGGCCATCAATATGTTGTGTAAGAAATGTAGAAGGTCATTTGTAAGATGCCTTATATACATAGTATATGTAGTTCTGTATGATGAAATGTAGCAGTAAAGTCGTAGTTGGGGAAATTCGGTGTTGGACGGTTGTATCATCACCTGTACATACAGAACGCTACATTACCGTCTTTTGGGGTAAAAATATAAGCCTCCAGTAACGATTTACTGCCAAATAAGCGTTAAATAAGGCCTTATGGACGAATAATGGTGGTATTGGCCTTAATTTGGGGTAAGGCTTTTTCTTGTGAAAGAGTCCTCCAAAAATAAGGCATATATACAGCTTATTTTACGTGTAAGCATTAGATTTAGGTGATTATTATCAAATAGCTTAAGTCTTTCTACCAGATACCCCTTATTCATCTCGTAAGAATTTTTTAAGGCTTTTCGGTAGACAAGGTTTATATAAGGCTTATATAAGGCTTAAAATTCGGATTATACTGGCATATATCACTTCCAGCACCGGATTGTCAGCTCTCCCATGGCTTAGTGGGTAGCATGAGGTATATGCTACCTGCATTTCATGGAACCATTTGGCTCAGCCTGGTATGGCTTACCAGGCTGAACCATTGTGCAGTAAGGATATGGTTGGGTACATGCGCATTGGATATGCAGAATTGGTAATCGGGTTTCCGTTGAATTCTATGGGTTTCTATTGTTATGAGTCATTGAGTATTTATCATCGCGGAATGTCCTTTAGTATAATAGAGGCTCATACCCTTCACTTATATTGTTTTCTTTCTCTTTCTTTCTTTACACAAGGTCTTCCTGTACTCTCACCATCAGCAAACCTACAGCCTTCGCCAGACGCCATAGGCGCTCAGGGCGCTCAGGGCGCTCGGTAGGTAAACTACCTCTCCAGAGATACGGCAAGTGCTCCTGGCGAGTTCTGGCATACGGTTGTCCGCCCCAGCGTACAGTAGTCCGCCCAACGCGCTCCGACACCTAATCCTAGCGCTCGGTGCAACCCGGATATCAGTCCGGTCGCCAGAGAACGCCAGTTGCTCGCTTGTATATCCTGACTGCTTCTGGAGCACTCCAGACTGCTCCAGCGGGCCCTGGGTTAGAATGATTGCATTCGCGGGAGCATTCGCGGGAGCATTCGCGTGAGCATCTTGTATGAAAGTACAAACCGAACCATTGAATCCCATGAAACCATTCTACCAAACTCCACAGCCTTTTTTCCCGACAAAACAGAAAGTAACCCATAAAAGAAAAACGGTTATATTTGCTCCTTTCTCTGCTCGTACCAGTCATACCCAAGCTTACCGCAGATAGCAATCAGCTTTGCCGAATGTTAGTGACAGATACGGTAGATTGTGCAGGACATTTAAACCATACCGGAATGAGCAGAACTCGACCACCAACAATCAGCATGCCCTCATTCTTTTTTTGAGCCTTATCATCGATTAGTAACTTCGCCTAAGCTCAAAATCTCGGAACGTACCCCGTGCAAATTTGTGAACTGCTTATCCATCTTGTCGCCCAGTTTTTTGATTTCGTTGCGGAGTTTGTCGATTTTGTTGTCGATTTCGTTGTTGAGTTTGTCGAACCCCTTATCCACCTTACTCTCCAACCTATTCAAGGATTCACCAAAAGCTCCGATAGCACCGTAGTATTTTACAATATCCTAATAGCTTTTAGTATAAGCTGTATAATGACCTATTGTCTACCGTTTTCGAATGAGGCTATACCTTTTCTACTGCTGAAAAACGGTTGATGTACTGCGTATTCTGGTCGGAAAACCTCTCCCATGTTACATAGCGTCCATGGTCCTCGGAAGATTTGTTGCCCGAGAACTGGGATGACTGTTCTTCGTCAAGTGCTTTTCTCTGATCAAACCAGTTAGTAGTGCTAATTTAGCATTATTGACCGATAACTTGCCTGAGTAGTATGGAATCTTCGGTGAAACCCCAGACGAAGGCGACTACTAGTAACGCCAAGGTTGCGTGCGAGCTTGAGACTAGACATTGTTTGACTACGGCTTGGGTCACGATATCAAGTTTGGTGGACTACGGCGTAAGGCTTGGTCGACAGCTCGCTGATGTGCCAGGAAAACGTTGTTGTAATGAAGATGGAGAAAAAGACCGATAGATGCTTGATGTGGGTCTATTTAAACGCCATGCGTTGCGAAGTGTTCTTGTCGTAAGCGCTAACCCCGTTGTGGTTGTCTCGCTGGTTTAAGGGACTTCCTCGGACGTCCAACGTAGTCCTGGTGGGCAGAGCCTCATGGTCAGTGGCACCTGTCCAGGTGGCACCGGTACAAGCGACACACGTAAATTACTTAGTAGCAAGGGGGCTACTTTGTCACTTTTCGCTGATGGACAGCTGGACAGACAGTAGGGGGGGAATCATAACCCCCTACTGTCCATAATCAAAATGGCGAGTCGCACAAAGTCACTCCGCCCGACCCTCGCTTCGCTCGTTAGTACTCCACCGGACCTATACTAAAGCAAACGCCAACCGGAAAACATGCAAAGTAGTGAAATACCAGTTGATCTCCATGATTCATTCTGCACCATTTGTGCCTTTAACTCCAATTGTAAGCTCCGCACTGGCATTTTCCTTCTTCAGGCCGCCGATTTTCTCCATGCTCTTAATCTCAAGGCGAGCTTGATTGAGCAAGAGCTCATTTTTTGTTGTCTTAAGAGCGTTCTCAATCATTGTAGTCATCCTCGTCTCGGATTGTTGCTGCATTTTGGCATCGTAATAGAATATCTTCAGGCCCACCTAGTAGATGTGTCAGCAGAATGAAGGTTTGAACACTTCATTAGACAATATACTCCGAATATACCAGTCCCCACAAGTATCCTGATCCAACTGTTCAATCCTTTAAACCCTTCATCGACCTTGGACTTCAATTCCTGCAGCTCCGTTTTGATATTGGTGATGCTCTAATAGCTACTTAGTATATTTCCAAGTGAATATGTTCCGAATACTTACGGCATCGACTTTGATGAATTTTCCTGCGATGGTATCATCACCTGGAATTCCATGCTTTGCTTCACCACCTTCGATAGTATTGCCCATTTCGTCGACTGAATTCGTCTGCTAAGCTGACACTTGAGCCTTGCCTTTGTAAAACTGAACGAGCGAACTTGCCCAGTAGTGGCCAATCGACGAAAGAGACCTCCAGTCCTTCTCAACATGGCGAATTAGCACCCGGTGCCCGGCAACGTCGCCCGATAAATATCCTTCCTTCCGGATGTCGTGGTCAGAGTCGTCGTGTTGTTTCTCTGCTCACGTAGTTGTACAGGTTTAAGTCTAAAACGACGATAGAAAGGTTGGTGTGGGTGTTTAAATACTCCATTGGTGCCAAGTAATTATCCTTGTCGCTCGCGGTCAGTGGCACCTGTCCAGGCTGTTCTATCCGATCCAGAAGTCATCCTATCCAACAGAACTGATGAATCAGGCGCCCTATCGGGCAGGAGACTGTTATATCGTATTTACTTTACAATAGCGCCCCGCTCATGAGAAAACGCTCCACCCGGAAGTCAGAGGACTCAAAGCTCAATTCACCTAGGCTCGTGACCAACACTATCAGAAATAGGTATCCAGGTCTGCCTTCTGGCGACATGCGGGGAGAAACATTTTATTCGTTTAGTGAGGCCAAGTTGAAATCCATTCATTATTTGACCGTAAGTTCAGGAAATTCCCTTTCCAGGTTGTGCTGTTTATCAAAATTGAAGAATGAAAACCCGCGGAAATCTTTGATAGACTCCACCATATCCCACGGTAGGATGAAATTTGTCATACGTGCGACCTCCCTTTTTCAGCTAGCTCCAACCTAGTGTAGTATTTATTAGAACACCTTGATTTGCTCTGTTCCGTAAAAAGCAAGATAATTCCCTCACTACGTGGTGCACGGTCGAGGTCGCAAGTTTGACATCTTTTCATCCTACCACGGGATAGTTTGACATCCAATATTAAGTGCCGCTGGTGAATGGGGTATGAATTCTCTGTTCGGCGGGGCGGCCCTTTGAGTGTCTTCCGATAAAACAGGTGCCTGCTGGATAGGGCACTCTTACGGCTCAGTCAGAACAACCCCCTACTGTCCATAATCCAAATGGCGGCACATTTCTGTACCGCGCTTACGCCCAAAATCCACTCGACCCATCTCACGCGCAAATGCTAATTACTATTTTCCACTGCGCTCAGCTGCTTTCGCGCCCGCCATGCTTAATATTCACTTCTACTCACTTTATCGCTTCGCTCCCGAGTAACCTTTCTTCTTGTATCGGGCTTCGCCCCCCCAGCTTGCGCTAGAGCCCCCCGCCTGTATTATAACAAAATCAATGTAAACCGAAACCCTTCAACCCGCAAATCGGTCGCGCAATTATTATACACACTGAAGCGAAAACCGCTTCCCGTACAACGCCCTCCAAGTGTCCAAGCAAACGCCATTATAAGTATGAAGGCGGACCACAATCCCAAGAAAACACCTCGGATAGTGTGGAAGCGATCACCACCATCGCCTCTTAGCCTCCATCCTGCTCTCCATTTTGTGCAGTTCTAGCACGATATCGCTTTTCAGTGCGCTCATTTCGCTCCTTAACTCGCCCCTTACCAATTTCACTTCACCCTTGACCATGGACTTCATCTCTTGCTTCATATTTTCGTCCAAGTATGCGAGCTTCACCAGAATCTGACAGATATGTCAATGTAAGAAAACCACACAAAATTCACTGGAAAAACGTACTGTTCCCACAAATAAGCCAAGGCCCACCTTCATCCAACCATCTATCCTTTTGAATCCATCATCGACTTTTGTAGACAGATGTTGAACGGTCACCGAGAGACAGGCTACATCCTAGCCAACTATCAGATTCTTGCCGATGAGAGATATGGATGCGTGTTCTTACTCTCTCGAGGTTATCAAGTCTAGTACCATCAGTAGTTCTGCCCACAGAGCCTTTCTCCGCGCCAAAAGGCTCAGCTCCCTGTCCGTCGGTCTCCTCTTGCGAGCTATCACAGACAGCCTAGTTAGTATACTTAACTCTACACAGTTAACAATCAAAACTGACCTGGTAGTATAGATTCTGTACGGAGCCAACCGTTTAAACCGAAACCGATGAGCACCCATCACCCCGAATCGACTACCACTAAACTGGCAATTGATCGGAGCACATCTAGTAGCAACGATTCTCCCAGATCTAACAATGTTGGTGGTAGGCATCTTGAAAGATCGATCTAGCTCGGTGTTCGTGAGCTTATGGATGCTCGTTGTTCATTGGGCGACTTCCCGTGGAGGTTTGGAAGGCGTTTAGAAAACATATTTTTGGAAGTAGGTGCGAACACCTTCCCATAGCGACCATACTTTCCAGATTTCTAAGTGTTCTTTTTAGTGCTAGTGGCTGTTGCATCCGGTAGTGCGGTGATGGTGGTCGCGCGGGTTGCAACTGTGTTTTCCAAATCATGTCGCGGTTCACCACCTTTATGTTGCGGTTCACGCAGCGAACACCTGTTCATCAACCATCACCCGTCTATCACGGCCCGACAGCCCCCACCTCGCTTACCAGCAAGGCAGCTTCAGAATCGCGTTGTTAGGTGAAGGATCGGTGTGGCTTCGGTTTTGTTTACTATGTTTGGATTACAGACGGAATTGGTTGTAAGGCCTAGGCTTGTTCTGTTTTGTTATGCGTAAAGATGTTTCGGATTTCGGATTAGGTTTCTGTTTTGTTCTTTGGGTTTCTTTTTGGATTTGAGTTATATGGATTAACGTATTTTACCGGGAAGCCGCCCATGACCGGGTAACCGCCCGCAAGCGGTCCGGATCGATCCCTCAACGAAGGTCTCGAGGAATATCAATTGGCAACTCCAAATCCCATATATAGTTAAAATTTAGTAAGTTGTTAATATAAATATATTTCTATATACTCATGGAACCTTTTCTGACCCTATTTGACCTTCTAGTGCCAATTTTAGGAGCTAAATCCGGAAAATCCTCAATATTAACCCACTGTTCTTCATGACCTGCTACACCTTCCCCCACACCTGACTGCTTATGAGAGGTCTCCTCTATAGTATATACAGTAAGCTCATTGCATATTTGAACCCTTTTGCCCTTGTGCTGCTACTTTTTCGGAATCTCTTCCTTCTTGATATTCTTTTTGATTTCCCTAGCTAATGATTTTGCTGCCTTTGAATTATCAGCAGTCTCTCTAGCCTCTTTGAGGCGCGCTACCTCATCAGTAGTAATTACTCTAGCTTTGCTAAGCTGTTTCCTATCATTAGTGGCCACTTGGGTTGACCTTTTAGCTACAGATTTCCGGAATTGAGAATTAATATGGTCTCCTATATCTTTTTCTGTTAGAGAGATCTGCAGTCCCTTATCCAATTGCAGTATCAGTTCCCTCAGCTTTTTAGCACTGTCTGAGCTTCCCTTTACAAGTGCTAACGCTTCCCTAGAGGCATTTCTGGCCATGCAGGTGGTTCGAGGTGTGGTGGGGCCGGTAACAGGAAATCCGCCTTTTTTGCACTTTTGAGGTGATGCGACAGGATGCAGGACCCTGTGTGGGTTGAAGGGCACAATTCCAGCTTTATCCCAAGCCGACATGACATTGTGATGAGTATAGGTCCGCCTCCGGGCTTCAAATAAAAATCTGATCAACGTTCAAGTTAATGCTAATACTTTTGATAGATCTATTTGTACCCTGGCCCATACCTAAGAAATACACCTTTATTAATTCCTGTGTCTCCACCTGATTCCTCCATATTCTCGTCTAGAACATTGCTGTAGTACTTCTGCAAAGGACCAAACAACCCCATGTCAAGGGGTTGAAGGAGATGGGTCGAATGTAGTGGTAGACAGAATGATATTATACGATGATTTAGACAATAATCAAAGAACTCCCAGGTCGTATGTGATACATGACCATCCAAAATCAAAAGCCTTCACCTTTCACCGTCACTAGGCTGATATCAGTAGAATTCTATATGGCTATATGAATTTCAGATACTTACGTTGTTGATGTGTAGTGATCGAAGTTGTTTATCAACCAATCTATTCCCAATTTGGAATCCGTCCAACCCTTTAGAGAGTATGCAAAAGTGGCAACATCTTGTGTCTTTACGCCCGCATACCAGCCTTTATAGTGCACGGTCCCTTGATTAATAATCATTGGTAGTATTACTATACCAACTGCGGAGATGGCTTCGATGACGGTGACCCAGGTTCGGTTCCCGGAATTAGTTAGCCTAGGATTTTTCCGACCTACTTTGCATATAACCTTCACTTTGGCTGCGTGTCCCATCATAAAGCCTTTCTCGTCCATCTTGTATGTGTCTTTGGGTAGTACGTCGTAGAGCGCAATCACCTGTTTTAACTGCATAGGTCAATATATAGTATAGAGGGGTGCAGGGGCGCATATGCGGGTTATTACCTTCCTGTAGTAGTCTTTTATTAGCTTTTGATTATCGGTCACCGCCCTTTGTCGATCTAGTCTAGCACTGAATTTAGACGATATTTGTGGGTTGCGGCTCAGAAATCGCTACAGCCAATGTTTTCCAAGGGTTCTTCCGAGTTCTCGCTTCTTGACTAAGTTGGCGGCCATTTCTTTAACCAATGAGAGCCTCAAAGGGAACCCCCAAACATCCATCCGTTCACACCATTTTACAATTGTAGCTTCCTCATATTGACTGAGTAACTGCTGTGACCGGTGTGCCTCTTTTCTGGATTTTGCCCCGTTGAGTCTATCCCTCAGAGTTGACCAAGGAATACTAAAGGTCTCGGCAGATAACCGAAGAGAGGGTTTTTCTGATTCATTATAGTGGACAATTGCGTCCTGAATCAACTTCTCCCTCTCCTCCAACCGTTTTCCTTTCAGTCGGGGCACTTGAACTGGTCGTGGTTGGCCTTCCTAGTGGTTTGGTTTGCCCTCATAGAAGTTGGTTTGCCCTCGCACCCATCCAACAAAACTGGGCGGTTACCCTATCACGGGCGGTTACACAGTAAAATACGTTAGTCGTTAGAATTTTCTTAGGGTTTATATAGTAAGCTCGCCCTCCGCTCTTGTTGTTTTCTTTCCTTCTGCTTTAAGCAACATCTTATTTTATTCCTGCACCTGTTAGAACAATACTATTGTTTCTCCTTGTTTGGGACTCGTCTGTTATTTCCGAACGTACTGGTCCAGCCCGATCCACGGTTGAGTGAGACCATCTCGAGCTCCATGTCCTAGTTCTCCCCCAACCGTGTCCAACTAGAACTTGAACGTATCCTGAATCGATCCTTGCCCCCGCCCCGCCCCGTTAGACCGTCCAGCAACCCTCATTCATCAACCATCACCCGTCTACCAATACCTGTTGATTGTTGGAATTGTGTTCCGACCTCAGGAGCAAAGTCTAATACTCATATGAGTATCAGTATATATGTCAATGTGAAGTCCTATATGGACTGTTCCAGGCACAATATTGTCGTAAAAATATAGGTTGAAATGCCCCCTGTATTATAGTTAAGCAAGTCAATGAGAAAGTCACAGTCTTCCGCATTTATTTTTATTTATTCTTCACTACTATTTATCTTCAACAAGTTATGAGCTCGGGTAGCTCTGATTTTCTATCGAAATCATTCTTTATTTCTCCTCACTACGACAGCTTACGTTACGTCACTACAATGGTACCCATCAACTCAGACTAATATTGACGATGACAACCAATCCCCTCCTCAACCAGTCAGAAGTACGGCAGCCTAAACATACCAAAAGGCAAATATAATTTTGCGAGGTGTAGGTCAGGGTAGAGGTGGTTGCTATGACAACACCACCACTGCCAACCTGCCACTCCATCAACCCCGCCATCAAAGTTTCATTCCTGATATGAAATCTCCATCACACAATCCGACCCTGTACATCACCCAATCAAGCTGTCAATAAAGTGATGATCCACCCTACCTATCCTAATAATAAATATATTGCTGACTGATTGACGTAGGATTTCATCAGGTTTCCTGACTTTGAGTTATACCTCCAGCTGTCAGGAGATCTGTGACTGGCTTGTGAAAATCAGCAAAAAATACTCTGAGTGGTACATCAATCCCAAAATCATCTCCTACACCGATTCCACTCACAAAGTCAATGAATTGAAGAAAATCTGGAATGGTTCCTTGCCAGAAGGGTATAAGGAATTGTTCTTGGATGATTGAAGTCTTCCTGATACGCTTGGAGCTGTTGCAAAGCTCCTCAAGCTGGAAGGATCTTTTTTCCTTTTCTGTGGCCCAATGTGGAAAAATGAACAAGTCAAAGCCAAACATATCGCCTATTACACCTACGTACTTCTCTAGAAGAATCAAATACTTGCCCTTTCATATCCAGGCTGCGAGTATGAGTATCAAGATATGGTGAATGGAGTGGCTAGTAAGTTAACGGACTACAGAAATCTGTTATAGTTTAAGTCTGGCTACTACCTTCTTCAGAATGGTACGCAAATGCTACAAAATCGAAAAATGCTACTATGGAAAAGTTACCAACACTATGATCTATGATGATATCAATTGCAACAAAATGTCTCAGGTTTTTATCATAGACTACTTGGAGAATGGAAGGGATTTGGATATCAATTGGGAAAAGGCTGGGTTTGTGGAATTGATATCTTAGAATTAGAATGATTTTTGTGCACTTAACAGAATGGATATTGTTAAGTCGTAGTCAGGCATAGCTAGGAATTAAATATGTGTTGCATTTACTATTAAGGAGTGTACTGCATATCCCAGAATCCATTTCTGTGTCCATATTGTGTGTACTACTTGCGGGTAAGCCCAACTGTAACTGTTTACAGCCACGTAGGACCACTATTGAAGATGCAGTCTGGCATAGTTAGAAATTATATATATGCGCCATTCACTATTAGGCAGTTTACTGCAAATCTCAGGATATATTTCTGTGCCTAAATAGTGTGTACTACTCACGGATAAGCTCAACTGATACGATGTACAGTATGATAATACTCATACCGGATTTCAAGTATTGAAGATGCAGCCTGATATTGCTAGAAATTAAAAATATAGTACAACTACTAATAGGAAGTCTATTGCATGTTTTCGAATCTATTTCCACGTCCACATTATTGGTATTACTCGAGGCTGAGCTCAACCGATACTGAGTACAGTATAGCAATAACCAAACCGGATATCATGTATAGGAGATGCAGTCTGACGCAGATAGAAATAAACTACATGTTAGACTTCACCTTATAGAGTCATTCACTAGATTCAGAGTGCGTTTTATAAGATTTATTCATTATCACTATCCCCTTCTAGTATAATATCTCCAATAGGATGGTCCTGATTGGGGCCCTCCCTCTCAAGCCATTTAAATTCACCAACTGGTGCCTTCTCAAGCCCTGAAAGTGGAAGATAATTATTTCGAATATTTATTTTAATACCCTCCCAAAGTATACTAGTTATAGTAAGTGGATGAAATTTTGAGGTAAAGGGAAATACATACAGGTATGTCTCCACATCAGTTTCTAACTCATCAATCTCTCTACCCTCGAGTGTTATCGGGAGTACAAAATTATTATTCGTTAGATAGTCCTGACAACAATTCAAGTTTGTTCTGAGAGTACAAACGTTTAATCTATTATATTTATCAATATATATTAATACAAGGAATAGGAGCAATAATACCGTAATTCTGTTTCACCTCTTTCAGGCTAGTCAAAAACTGCTTATCAGGTACCTTCCCATAATTTTTGACTGAAGGATTATTGAGATTAGAATGAAGGTAATTCATAATAGGTTCGCCGGGTATGACATGTGGACGGTCTTCTGTAACCGGATTCTATGAATGTTCCATATGTGTGCGAAATGGTATATATGTTCATGCAAAATAGGAAGATATATATTTGATATTGCAATCTTATCTGGAAGACTATCGATATCTAGATTGTATTCATCTTTTAACCTGGAGAACAATGTCTTGAATGAGTGGAATTTAGCATCGATTTAAGTAAAATGTAAGTGGTGTCACTATACCTTCCATATTTCCGACTGTCCTCTAGTCATTATCTCCTACCACGCTTCAATCATCTGATTTCTCATAGACGTACTATATAAGTGCACCTCTTTAAAAGGTAGATTCTCATCAACTATTTCAATTTCTGCAAATTGCCAATAAGCATTCGCAACCAAAGGGGTTTCTGTTCCATGATCGGAACGTAAAAATTTCGGTCTGATTCCTCCAATTTCCAGTGTACTAATATATTGGGAGAGAATTCCGACAGCGGTAGTGGCCGAAATTCACACATATATCCATACAATATATCTCGAATATGCATCAATAGCCGCATATATCTCAATCCCGTAGATTTTGAATTTGAGATGTCTATCAATTGACCAAACCCAGTTAGGACCGGGGACACGATACTGTCATTTGTGAATTCTTTGCTCATGTGTTCTCTCCATAACGCCGACCAGATCTAACTCCTTCATGATCGAGAATATAGGATCTCTCATAAAAGGCATTGTTTTCGACCTCATATGTCTGTATATATACTCTCTACCATACTGTGCTGGTAATCCGGTCATTAACTCTCGACGAATAGCAGTTCTAAGAGCTTCATTAGAATTGTGCATTGTTTTTCTAACTGTTATCGACCTAGGATATTCCAGCTTCAATCTCAGTCTCTGCAGTTGGCGGCGTACGATAATATAACCTATGTAAGATTAGAATTGATATAAATAAGAGATCAGGAAATTTAAACCTTCTGAGCGCAGAATGAAAAGAATTTCTTCATCATCTAAATCCATATGTGTAATACAGCCAATTATCCTTAAACATAAGTCATAATTGTCTTCGGTTTTGCAGTTCTTTCGTATATCCCAATCCTGCAATTTGGACTTCAACGAATGCTCACTGATTACTGTGTCAGCTGGAATTTTAAGACATTGTGTTAATGTTATGAACCTCACGTAAAAATCAAGTTCTTCACCTAAATAATTGACGATTTGCTTAGCAGTGAAGTTGTTTTCGATATAGAATTGTGTGATAATATCTCTATAAAGATCGAACGGTTTTTTTGGTTTACCTATATCATTGAAGAATACTCCAAATCAATGAAGCAGAAAAAAGATGAAAAACGAGTGAGTGATTATGTCTGATGCGGGGTTTTGGTTAATTAAATAAATCAAGCTTAGCGTTTCCTTTTACTTGTGAAAATTGTCATTGCACGCTAAAAATTACCTAATGGAAACCAGAGAGTTAATTGGGTTTAGAAACACAAAGTATAGTCGCGGAATAGCTCAACAATATCTATTAAATTCCAAAATCGAAGCTCATACGGGTACGGCTGCATCCAAAATTGATATCTCAATATTAATCTCGCAAGTTTCTATACACTTGTATCCGAAATCCACTACCACCAACCATATAGTAGCAAAAATCCTCTTTCAGAAATACAATCAGGTTAAACTAGTACCACCATGAACCGTAGGATGATATATGATATTGATCTCAAGATTACCTTACTGCATCGATGATAGTGATCCTGCACTTGAAGTAGGAGTACATTATCAACTTGGACACTCCCCCCCCCTATATCGCAGGGAACGCCAAATTCGTAGAAATGGAATCGGATTGGAGCATTACCATTATCGTTGATAGAGTATTGTACAATATTGATATCAAGTTCTCCTTATTGTGTCGACAATAAATGACCTGTGCCTGGGATAGGAGTACTTTACTAACTGGACCCTATTCGATCCTATAACGCGGGGTACGCCAGTATCTTAAAAATGTAATGGGATTGCTGTATAGCTATTGTAGTGGAAATGATAACTTATAATGTACATATCAAGATGTCATTACTGCTTCGACGATAGTTATCTTGCAACGGGCATAGAGGCCCCTTACATACTGACCACCCCCTAACCCTATATAGCGGGACACGATAATATCTTAGAAATTTAGTCAGATTATTGTAATATCGCTCTCATACATACCTTAAGTTATGGTATTAATATCAAAACATTATCACTGCGTCGACAATAGTTGTTCTGTGGCAGGGTAGGGTCCCTTACATACTGGCCACTCCTTAACCTTATATAGCGGGACACGATAATATCTTAGAAATGGAATCAGATTATAGTTGTATCATTATCACACTTACGGTAGGCTACATGATCAATATTATCACATTATCACTGCTTCGACAATAGTTATTCTGGTGGAAGTAGGTTTAGCCACACATGTCAATCCCCACATGTCAGTCACCTATGTCACTTACCCTGTGTACAACCGTTCACTAGAAATCTAATCTGATTGCAGAAAAATCATTACAAGGCCAGATTTGATTTACGTTATTAATATCATTACTTTGATACTATGTCGGCGATAGTTGTTCCCCACTATAGTAGATATCATCCTTATCTCCGCTATCCCTCTTTACTTGTATTGCGGCACACAACCACATATCAGAAGTAGAATCGGATGACAGAAATATAATTCTCATAAACGATATAATTTTTATCATTAATATCAGAGCTACGGTCCTGCATCGAAAATACTGAAACTTGGAAATTGAAAAATAATTGGACATAACCTATTCATCCAATACAGCTTCTGTATCTACCGGTTCACATAAATATTCTTTTGGGGCTTTTGTGGTAGTAAATAGTTGTCTATCTTTGACTCATTATCGGAATGAACTACAAATTCTGTCAATGAATTTGTGGCTTCCCCTATTGTATCAGGAATTGTTTCTTTCTTCACCGCTGGGCTACCTTCGTCTCCTGATACTTTTTTAAGCTCCTTGTTCACTTGACCCAAAAGAGTTGAGTCAGTCTTTTTGTTTAGGGAAATACCAATGCTAAGCAATAGTTCTGTAACTTTTAAATGGTTTAATATTGCAGACCGGATTCCACTTGCTTAATGGTTGATGATCATACTAAGTCGAGGCAGAACCGTCTCCTATCTATACATCTTGGAACCTATGCCAAGGCCCGCTTTCTAGGACTAATACCATTACAATAATAGAATAACACAATCAACCTGAAAATAATCCCAATAGAAAAGCGTCTCCGCATAGTCACGTTCTCCATTCTAATCCCGACACGTAACCTTGAACCTTTCAACTGCCAGTAACCGAGCTGTATCATACTATCGTTCTAGACCTACTTTCCGAAGTAGAACAGCCTGTAGCTGTAAGCTCCACTTCTATTCCTTTCCGGGTGAGTCACCCTGATAGTAATCGTGCCATCACAATAGCCTAATACTGGTGTAGTCGCATCACGTGCTTCCCCACTAAATCAGCAAGCTCACGTATTACCCAGCGCGTAGCACCTTTATCCTGTTGGGCGTTCCGCACCCCGAGTGCCTACCGCGTATGGCACCGCCAGTGTACATTGCTCGCGCCCGGCCCCGCCGCGGGAGTGCTAAACATTCCGGCACCGCGAGTAGATATATCTCACGTCTGGAGGGCACTCGTCAACGCTCTACTCACCTGGGCCGTCATGAGATTACCTCCCCCTCCGGAAATTCTAGGATGGATTGACCCCGCCCACAGCACCCATGGAACTTTTGCTTCTTTTGATTACGTCAGTACTACCACGAGAGCACTTCCTAATGCTCTCACAGTTTTCTTGAATGCTCTCACGGCATGACGAATGCTCTCACAGCATGGCGAGCTTTCCAACGGTACCATGAATGCTCCCGCGAATGGTCACGTGAATGTTAATGCCGATGCTCCCGCGAATGCTCACGCGGATGCTCATGCAAGTGCTCCCGTGAGTGCTCCCAGAGCACTCATCAATGCTCATAGAGATGAGGCAACCCTCACTTTGCCCCCTTAGTATTGATACGCTGTCATCAAAGGATAGAAAGGCATCAGTCTCTCAAATGATATCTAACGTGGGTATCCTCAACGCCGCTGTACGGTCAGTCGCGGGATACTGATACGAGCACTGTCCTGTATACTGGTGACGACTAGCCAACATTTGATGGAGGTGTATGTTTCTGTCGATTCATGAAAGGCATAATTAGCCTTTAGGTCGAAGACATAGTACGGCTCGTCTGAAAAGCTCAATGTCCATGTGTAAACAGCAAACATGGACTGGCATTGCCCTCCTAGAGCGAGCTTGCTAAATAACCAGACTCAGATACTGAACGGCGGAAACTTTACCTCCTTCTTCCAATCCGCATGAATAGCAGAACGATGCGAATTTTGAATTAGAGAGTCCAATTGGGTCTAACGTTCGTAGAGCACTTACGAATGCACTCACGGCTTTGCAAGTATTCAACTAAATTCATTCCATGTACGCAAGTCTTTCCTAGTATTTACCAACCAATTCCCAGTCTCCACCTCAAACAAAAATGCAATTCCCAATATACCCCGAGTAATCACGACCCACATCCTATTCCTCCTCCTACAAACCTTCAGGAGCTCATTTGAGCTATCAGCAACACCAGGATCCTTTGCCTCAGGTAGCTCCACTATACATAGTCTATGTGCTCGACCCCCACTATTCACCAGCTTAAACAAAGCCTTCACATGTCCTGGTAAGTGTCTCTCCTTACTCCTCTGAGGGCGCTACCGATACCCATACCCAATCGTTTCTTATTGTCCCTTTCCTAAAAGCCGCGTTTCTCGTACATCTAATATTGTGAACCACGTACAGTTCAAGTCTTTGGAAGATTGGTATCGGAATCAGCAAACATGTGAACATCTCTACCCGGTGATCTAAAATGCTCTCAGAGCTTCCGGCAAAGCTTTGAGAGCATCCCGCATCCTCTGCATTCTCCTTTATCATGCGATATAACGTGGTATGGCTTATTTGCAGTCCATCCACAATATTGAAAAGTCCTTCCCATTCCGTGAAGAGGTTGTAAAGACGCCTTGGAGGCAACCCTCCTTCTACTATGGATCATTCATTTGGAGGTTTTTTCCAGTCTTCGATTTTAAAAATCTCAAGTTACTCCTTCAAGTTATCTCGATGGCTCCAAAGGATGTGATCAGTGCTATCAGAACCTCCAGCAATGTCTTTCAGATTCAGTATTCGAATCTCTAATGCCAACAGCCACCCCCCATAGTCCAGTACCTGCGTTGCAGCATCGATCTTGTTGGATACTCCGTATGCCTCTTTTATCTGACGTACATGGGTGAGTTCGCTGATGTCGGTGGAGTACTGGGGAATGCTCCTAAAGTGCTCGATATGTTCCCGATAGTGCGATAACATGTGCAATTTGATGAAGTGGAAGTGAGACCTTTCTCGTATCTCGCGGATCTCCTCTAAGCCTCGCTGAGCACTCTGGGAGCCTGAGGCGTTTAAGGCTTTTGTCCGATTTTTCGCATCCCCAATCATCCTCTTGTATACCTGGAATTCTAAAAAGATATCCTTGTGCTTATAGAAATCGTCGAGATAGCTCTCCATATAATTCAGTGTGCTTGTGGGATGAGTCCCATACTGCGCCATTAAGTGGAAGTCTATTAAGCTTCGTACACATTTCAATGTCTTTGCGAAGTCGCCTCTGACAGCCATTCCTGGGTTTCTCAAAGCAGCCGGGAGTGCTTCAAGAACGACCCACCCCAGATTTCCAATCTCCTTCCCTTACAATTGGGTTATGGCACGATATGCCTTGATTGGTACTGCCAGTCCAGGGTAAAGCGCAATCGAGGCCCAAGCCTTGTCAAATTCCTCCAATCGATTGTGCTTCTTTAAGAAAGCCTGAACCCACTCCATCATGTGCTTCAACATCCGTAGTTAGATATTGTGCAGAATGTCCAATTTGATGAGATTGTCTGGATTAACTCTCGGCATACCCCAGAAGGCATTGAAGAGTGTCTTCACTGATCTTGCGACAAGGTATTCCACCGGTGCAAGGTTTCCCGGGTTCTTCCTGAATAGCTTTACCCGCTCCCAATGATCCTCGTGATTGCGCGTAGGGCTCTGGCGAGTGCTCTCAAGACTGTGGAATTCCACCTCACATCTTGGACAAGAACTAGTACTAATATTTTGTAAGTTTGCATGCTCAAGTTGATCAACGATCCAACCCGACAACACCGGAAAGTATAGACGTTCGTACACATCGGTGCATACGATTAGCTCTCCTTCCTGAGAGCACTCTCAAATGCTCTGAAAGATCTCCCCAAGGGCGCGATACAGCGCCATTTGAGTCTGATGTCGTAAAGCGGAATTAGCGAGTGAGTTATTCCCGAGCTTAGGTGGAACTGGCAGTAGCCCTAGGAGAATTAACGAATGCCCGGTGGGCTTGCTCCGGACCGATGACTTCATGTTCTCTATGGTAAAATGGATTGACCAGGCTTTCTTGTCCCCACTAAAATTTGTCAAATGTGTGCCATGTGACGCGCATATAATTGGTACCACAGTCGACCCCTCCAATAAGGTATTCTGTCCAGAAAGCATTAGCAACTGCTCATAGAGCACTTGTGAGGCTTACTGGACCTGCGTCTCCCACCATGAATCACCTGTATGCATTTCCCCGTACATTCTTTCGCTAGATTCATTATGCTCTGCCACTGGCGCGTACACCAATGACTCCCCAAAGGCCCGTTGGCATAGAAGATGTCGCACAATTACCATTGGATACCGGTAATAGTAAGGGATTTTCTCTCCCCCAATATCCACCTCCGAATGATGCCAGCTCGCTTTTTCCAATATGTCATTCATTTCCTTCAACCTCTTTATAAAACCTCGCCCAGTCCTGTAGAATCATTCTCCACTGCTTGACGGAGCGTGTAGAAAGAAACTGTCGATATTTCCTTGTGAGGCCTTCGACAGTATGAAATAACTTGACATTCTAAACTCGTATGCTGAGTTGAATGGGTACCACGGGTATCAGAGATTTTGTGAGCATTCCTTGTAGTCCTCTGAGCGGTTGAGACGCTCCCCAGCACCCTCGTAAATTGTTGTCACTGCATAATGCCTATTTGCATTTCCATCTGCCTATTCCATTATAAAATATGATTCAGATTCCAGATACGAATGATTATCGGGATATTGGTCATGATAATTGATACTGTTACTCTCCGAACTATTTGAGTCGTCATGAGGATCTGAATAGGAATCATGAATGCCTTCCGGGCTGTCGTGAGTGTCATCGGGTATCTCTTGATCGCGCTCCAGGAGTAAAAACTGGTTTCCTAGCCATTCATCTGCTTCAAATGAATGTGTAGTCCGAAGATGTTTATCGAGGTTCGCGGAGGAGCTGTACCGCTTACTGCAAAAAGGGCAAGACGATTTCATTGAAGTCTCACGATGCTACCAAAGCACTCCCGAGTGCTCTGAAAATTTGTTTTCTGCCAAGGCCGAGGAAGCTCTTTCCTGCAGGTGCTGCTGCAGAGTGCTCGAATGATTTGATTTCTCAGCCAATGAGGGTCTTACTTGCACCCCGTCGGCAATGCTGACTTTCAGTACGAGTCTGATGTCATACATCAACCCAATACAAATACAAACATCAACACGAAGAAATACCCACTACCCCAATCAGGTGGCCAATTATGCTAGATTCTATTGCCCTGAGCATCTGCACTCTCTCCCTGAGCACTCGCAGAGTCTCTTGAGATCGAGACAGTGTTCTCAGCGCCAAACTCAACACTAATATCGACTACGAGCTCAAAGAATACATTCTCTCCAAATCATCTTCCTAGAAGACAGAGCACCAACACCAAGAAGAACACAAACACCAACCCCAACACCAGAATGTTATCGATGTCACCATTGGTACCGTCCGAGCATCCCCAAGTGCGCCTGGAGCATTTAGATCATCAATGTCATATATTGAAGCAAACATTGAGTACAAGCACCCTCGAGTACTTCTAGAGCATTCGTGGGTGCTCTCGGAAGCGTGGTTAGGTCAGGAAAAAACCAGATCGTACTCGGTATAAGAGCACCACTCCCTTCCTTCAAGTTCGTGAGAAGTTCCTAACCACCTTCAAGTTCTCCTCTACCTATCACTTCAAGTTCTCCATTGCTTTCAACATTACCTGTTGAAATGTTATCCTTCAAGTTCCTCCATTTTCAAGTGATTCAACCTTTGCAATCTATATAAATAAGATGGTATTTCTCTCTCCTAATCCAATTAATTTCAGATCCATACTCACCAAAGTGATATATTAACATTATCAGACTCCAAACACCGCTCAGGGCACTCCTGGTAGCTCCAGGAACACAAATCAACTTCCCAATAAGTAGCACTTGCGTGACATAGACTAAGACGATAACGAAAAGACCCACCGAAAAACCAAGAAACACAAATCGTCCGAAAAATATAAGAAACACCGAAGTTCCTCAGGTCGCAAATTGTCCCGCAAAACTGTCCAGCCTATCCTGGAGGAGATACCAGAAACACCCTCGAAGCAGTCGCCAGTGCTTTCCGGGCTCACACCGATCAAGAAGAGCTGAAAACAAAACCCCGTACCTCCACCAATCCGGACTGAACCCTGGACTCCGCCAAATACTAACCTAGCTCCATCGGATACTGAAGGGATCTTCCCGAGTAACTGGGGAGCAAACATAACTTATTCCGACGATCAAGACCCAGCAACGGGTCCAGCAACAGGCCCACTAGCAGCAGTCTCTACTGCTTCCTCAGCACGCATCAGTGCTTCACCAGAACCCTTGTACGGACGACTGTACTTAAGGTTATTGCTACCCCACCACCACCCGCTAGTGCTCCAAGAAAGAACATTGCCCGGAAGATCATAGTCCCAGGTCAAGTTCTCACTCGGTCCAAGTCTAGTGCAGTATGCTCAATAGGCCCAGCAGCAACAGGCCCAGCAACAGTCCCAGCAGCAACAGGCCCAGCAACAGGCCCAGCAGGCTCTACTACTCCCTCAACACTCGCCAGTGCTCCACCAAAGGCTCTTGCACCAGAGAGCCCTATATTCAAGCCCCGATGCCCCTCTCGGTTATTTTCTAGTGCAAGCCCGTCCGAACTAATAGACCACCCCTCACCAGTTCGACAGAGATGAATTAGACCTGAGCAATCGCCGATTGTCCAAGAGACATCCCCGATTGTCCAAGAAACATCCCCGAGTTTTCAAGAGATATCTTCGAGCTCGAGGGCATTTAAGATATCTCAAGCGACCAAAGCGAAGATGACTTTAGATGCACTCAACCTACCTAAAGTGTACACCAGCATCCGCCACGGCCTAAAGGCGGAAATGCAAAATGTAGGTTGGGTCAATAAAAACACCCCCGGATTGGCTGCATTTAATGCCCTGTGCCTTTACTTAATGAACTTGCCCTCCCTCAATGTGTTTCTACCAATTTGAATTGGGGGTGACTCTGATGCCCGTAGAGCACTAGCGAGTGCTCTACAGTGGCTCATCGCGGATGTTGGTAAGAATGATAAGTTATCAATGGGACAGGGAGACCGTCAGTTCAAAGAGGCTGCCGGTGATAGTGATGATTGTAACGGGGACTATGGGCGTAGGAACTATGAAGCCAAGGAATACAACCGAGGCGAAGACGTGAACGTAGGAGGTTCGTGGGCTATGGACTATGGGGCCGAGGTATGCTACCAAGGCGGGATCGTGGACTATGGACTATGGGGCCGAAGGGTAGACCTAAGGCAAGAACGGAGACTGTGGACTATGGATGGTTGTTCCTGGTCTAGTATACCGGGTAAACCCTATGACGTAGCGCGAACCAAATAGTATTCGTAACTGTGAAGTACAGAGGTTGCATAAAGAGAAAAGAGAAAGAAAGAGAAACAAGAAATCACAAGACAACGCCCCCCTTATATATCCATACCCTATCCCAATGCTGACTCATACCCTCGCATAACAGAAACAGAAAAAACACAATAGAAACCCGCTTCACTAAACCCAACCACACTGCATATTCCTTCTCCCTTATACCCAAACAACTCACATAGCCAACCCGTCTAGCTGCCGTTACAGACCACTCCCCCCTCTAAGGCCTACCTCCTGGTAGGCTTAGGCTTCCGTGGATATCGTTTATGAAATCGTTTGACAATATCGGACGAATGTTCAACATCCGACAATGGCTGCCACGAAGCTTCATTATAACCGGCATACTTAACCAAGTATTCAAATCTTCCCCGACGATCCCTGGAATCCAAAATATCCTCGACTTCCCACTCCTCCTGTCCTTCAACTTCGACTGGCGGTGGTGGTAACTGTTGTTGTCCTGGTAAGGGATCGTTTGCTGCAGACGACAATAAAGAGACATGGAATACGGAATGAACTTTCATAGACCGGGGAAGTTCTAGCTCGTAGGCATAGGGATTAACGATTCGCTTAATGACATACGGCCCAATACGCTTCCAATCGAGTTTCTTCGAGGGTCGTCTGGTGAGGACATGGCGGGTCGATAGAAAAACTTTATCTCCCACACGATAATGAGGGGCGGGAGTCCGACTGGTATTGGCCGATTCTTCTTGAATCCTTTGTGCTCGGAACAACTCATCTCGTAGAAAATCTAATACCTCCTTCATCTCCCGTGCGATACCATTAGCCTGATCCTCTGCTGTCGTCCTACCATGTTCCAAAGGACCGAACGTCATTCTTGGATTTCGTCCTGAATTGGCAAAGAAAGGAGATATCTTTGTTGTTTCCGAAGCGTGATTGTTGGTCGCAAATTCAGCCATTGGTAACCATCGAGTCCAGTCATCTTGTTGATAGGAAACATAACTCCGAAGGTACTGTTCCATCACGGCATTAATCCTTTCCGTCTGTCCATCCGTCTGAGGGTGGAACGCAGTAGAAAACTTTGGTGATATTTCCAGACGGTCGCAAAGAGACCTCCAGAATTCCGCAACGAATTGTGTCCCTCAATCGGATACCATAGTGTCGGGTAACCCATGTAATTTCCAAACATTTTCGATATACAGCCTCGCTACTTCCCTCGAGTCTGCCTCCTTAGTCGTTGGTATTAGATGTCGCATTTTGGTTAGTCTATCTACCACAACTAGAATCGCATTATACCCATTGCTTTCGGGGAGATCGGTGACAAAATCCATTGACACATCCGTCCACGGTCCATCAGGTATTGGCATGGGACGGAGTACTCCATAAGGCGCATTACGTAGTGCCTTACTACAGGCACACACATTGCAATTCCGAACATACTGGTCGACATACTTTCGCATTTGTGGCCAGTAGTATTCTCGATTCAAAAGCTCTAGGGTCTTTGCTCTACCAGGATGTCCTGCTGATGGTTTATCATGGTGTTCCTTTAGGAGCCTTAGTCGAAGATCGTTGTCATCCGGTACATAGAGTGCGCCACGGTAAAGTAGCCGACCGTTGTTATCTTCCGTGCATTCGGCAAGCGAGATTTTATTCGAGTGACGGACGCCATTCTGAAGCATCGCGAGTACTTTGTTCGGGAAACTGTCAACTTGGTAAGCATTTAAAAACAACTCTTCTACAGTGGACATTCCTTCAGCGGATTCATTTGAAAAAGAACCCGCGAACAAACTTAGCTTTGAATCCAAATTTTTTCGCTTCAAAACCACCTGGCTTTGATGCGTCAACCGTTCATCCCCCTCCTTAGGTAGGTCACCCGACCTCCTAGTCAATGCATCCGGCTTTACCCCTTGTTTCCCTGGTCTAAATTGAATGACGAAATCGAAACGTGAAAGTAATTCCGACCAACGGGCTTGTCGACGGTTTAATAGCTTTGTTGACATGAAATATTCGAGGTTCCTATGATCACTGAGGACTTCGATTGGGAATTGTGCCCCTTCCAAATGATGTCGCCATTCCTCAAAACATCGTACAATTGCCAGAAGTTCTTTGTCATAGATTTCATAGTTGCATTCCGCAGGGGAATGCTTCTTTGAAAAGAAAGCAACTGGATGTAAAATTCCTTCATCATCACGTTGGGACAGGATTCCAGCAGAAACGTAGTCGGATGCATCGGTTTCTATCACGATTTTTCGATCCGGATCAAAGTGCGCTAGGATGGGTGCTGTGGTGAACATTTTCTTCAATGTCTGGAATGCTCCCTCCCTTTCATCTGTCCATTCGAATTTGACATTCTTCTTTGTTAATGCTGTAAGGGGAGCAACAATTTTCGAATATCCCAAGATGAACCGTCGATAGAAATTCGCAAAACCTAAAAATACCTGAACATCATGAAGATTCCTTGGTATAGACCATTCTAAAACATCAACAACTTTCTTCGGGTCCATCCTATTCCCATCAGGGGTGAGAATAAGGCCAAGATACTTTGTTTCCTGGACCATAAATTCACATTTTTCAGGCTTAAGGTGAACATGATTCTCATCAAGTACCTTCAAAACCTTCTGAATGTGTTCCTTGTGTTCCGACAAGGTTTCCGAATATATCAGGATATCATCCAGATATGCCGTTACGAATTGGTCAAGATAAGGTCGTAGGATATCATTGATCCAATGTTGGAATGTGGCCGGAGCGTTGGCTAACCCAAATGGCATTACTGTGTACTCGAAATGTCCATAACGAGTCCTGAACGCCGTCTTCCATTCATCTCCCTTAGCTACCCTGATCTGATTATATCCCCAGCGTAGATCCAACTTGGTGTAGTACTGTGCCCTTGACAGTTTGGCTAGAGTTTCTTTCAAGAGTGGTAACGGATACCGATTTTTGACCGTGATTGCATTTAGACCTCGGTAATCCACACAGAGTCGAAGAGTCCCATCATTTTTCTTCACGAACAGTATGGGTGCTCCCGCCGGCGATTCACTGGCCCTGATAAATCCCTTTGGGAGATTTTCATCAAGGTATTCTCGTAGCGCTTTTAATTCAGTCTGTGATAACCCATATATTGGTCCGTAGGGTGGTCGTTTACCCTCTTCCAATACTATTTCGATGTCATGAGAGGGTCGATGGGGGGGCAGGACAGAAGCATCATATTCTTGGAACATGTGGAGACGATGGTGGAACTCCTTTGGTACTAGTTGCTTAACGTTGACGGTGGATTTCTCAACTGCTGAAATGACAATAGTATGATGTTCCGGTAGAGGGATCGATATTCCATGGACAGTGACTGTCGTTCCACTGAGTGAACAGTGTTGACAACAGCTTCGAGAGTCAAAAATAAGTAAATTTTCCTTCGGCCGAATCGTAACATCGTGACGTCGCATCCAAGGTATTCCCATCACAATTGGATAGTGTCCCAGCTTCGTTACAAAACATGATGCAGTTTCCCGATGACCATGGATATCCAGCGACACATTAACAATATGGGTGATCTTTCCTGACTCAATAGGCCTTCCATCCATAACATCTACCTGACGAGGTACTTTAAGGCGGGTCATTGTAAGATTATTGTGGCGTACAAAAGATTCGTCAATAAAAGCGTATCCAGAGGCTCCGGTATCAATAAGGGCATAGGTGGGTATAAAAGAGTCAGGATTCTGGGAGATGGAACAGGTAACAACAAAAGAATCTTCGGACATCTTATCCTCAGACACAGCAGCGGCAGGGAGAACAGAAACAGTTGGCGGGGCTGGCCCCTTTGGTTTGCCATTTTTTACCAAAGGGGCTGACCTTTTAACGCCGGCTTTGAGGATCCATTTTCAAGTGGCCTTTCTCGCCAATTGCTAATGGTACGGGGATCCTGAGAGCGAGGGGACAGATAGCGAGACTTGGAGACATGGCGAGGTTTAACTGTAGCGGTGGGAACGGAGATACGAGAACGAAGGTCGGCGATAGTGGCATTGGCTTGGGCCTCCCAGGCCTTTGCAACAGAGGTGATGTGAAGAATCTCATCTTCAGCATCAGCAAGGTTCTCGTCAGCGATGGCGAGACTTTCTTGATGTAGTGCCAGACGGAACCGAAGCTCTTCTTCTTCAGCCTTCGATTCCTCCAGCTCAATCTTCAGAGCAACGATAACCTCGTCGCGACCTCGGATGATCTCGGTAGAATCTTCCTGGTTATCGCACAAGGTTTGCCAAAAATCGGCAGCCTTTTCGTTGGCTGCTTCTAGTTCTATGGTGAGGCCGGCAATGACCTCTTCTTGAGCCGTATCGATAACGGGTTCTAGTGGCGCGGGGGTGTCAAGAGGCTTGGTGAGAGCCTCCAAACACTCAGCAATAAGACCATTAGCTTCCGTGAGTTCTTCGCCGAAGTCTATATCGGCTGGGAGGGGACCATAGGTGGTCAGAAATTCTGAAAGACGCTGTAACAGCGTATCCTGGATAATGTCGGACATAGTCACGACCAGAGCTAAGCGAGGTGGTGTTGTATTGGTTGGCTGTAGAGGATGCAACCTAAGTGTAACGGGGACTATGGGCGTAGGAACTATGAAGCCAAGGAATACAACCGAGGCGAAGACGTGAACGTAGGAGGTTCGTGGGCTATGGACTATGGGGCCGAGGTATGCTACCAAGGCGGGATCGTGGACTATGGACTATGGGGCCGAAGGGTAGACCTAAGGCAAGAACGGAGACTGTGGACTATGGATGGTTGTTCCTGGTCTAGTATACCGGGTAAACCCTATGACGTAGCGCGAACCAAATAGTATTCGTAACTGTGAAGTACAGAGGTTGCATAAAGAGAAAAGAGAAAGAAAGAGAAACAAGAAATCACAAGACAACGCCCCCCTTATATATCCATACCCTATCCCAATGCTGACTCATACCCTCGCATAACAGAAACAGAAAAAACACAATAGAAACCCGCTTCACTAAACCCAACCACACTGCATATTCCTTCTCCCTTATACCCAAACAACTCACATAGCCAACCCGTCTAGCTGCCGTTACAATGATGATGATGACGGCTGTGGTCAGGCAGCTGGAAGATTTTCTGGCAAAGGGAAAGAGCATGCAATACCCCCGAAACTTGTGCAACCTTCCATAATGGTTACCGTGGTGGACTCCGATGCTCTAAAGACATTCTTTATCCTCGTTTCACCTCCTACTTATGACTGGAATGTTCCCCTGAACGAACCTTTGTTCATCGGAATTTGACCAAGATAACTTTCTCCGAGTTATGCAACTTGATCCTGAAGCATACTGCAACTGGCAGAGCAGTCAGGACTATCTGGGGAGCAATTGAGAAAGTCCCCCTGGCAGCTGTTCCTCCTGTTCGGCCGGTGGAGGTACAAATTACGGATTCAGAAGAGCTCGAAGGTTGGTTGAAGAACAGCAATGGCAGGCCTCAGAGGATATTGGCGGTCGTCTACAGAGCAGGTGTGGGTGCTAACCTGGGTGGTACGGAATCCCCCCGGTTGAACCCGGCTTACCCTCACGTTGAGGAAGATGATTATAGCATGATCGATATTCCTGCAGAGGATTCGGATTACGAGGAGGGAAAGCACCGGATAAATGCCACAGGACTGAGGGTATATATGCCTAAAACTGGTGCCAGTAATCAAAGCCTAATTCAGACTCTTATTAGGTGTCACGATAGACAGCAGGATGCTATCGATGATTTAGACCACAAATACCTTTCATGGATCGATTAGTTAATACACTAGGTTACGAGGAGTTGGATTAGTCAGAAAGGTTCTATTAGGTTCTATCGGGTTCTGTGGGTTGTAAGCGTATGAGTCACTTTGGATTTGCCATCGTTGGGGATTTCCTTGGGTATATTAGGAGGTTTCCTCCTCGTTTTTTGTTCTCTTTCTTTTCTTTCTTTTACTACGCAACGTCTTCTGTACCTACGCTGTCTATTACTATACAACATTATTTCCTCTTCTTATTCAAGAAGACCACCGTGCTGCTGCTTCCTTTGTTCCGTTGACCCTTACCAACGCTAGAGCCCCTTAGAACCCCTATTGCAGGCTCCCACACTGACCTCTACTATCCACTTTGTACCCTGCGGAATACTCGCTACTCGCCCCCTTGAGAATACCTTAGGAAGTATCCTTTGGGTGTCGGGGTTGCTGACCCAAACTTCTTACAGGGGACGATCTGAACACCTACTGGGATAGCAGCCAAGAGAGCTGCTGACGCACTCGTGGCTGCTGGTGCTGGAGGTGGTGGTGGTGGAGGTGGTGGCGATAGTGGTGGTGGTGATAGTGGCGGGCATCATTAGTTCCCTTTGGTATGATCTCTAACTTCCGTTCCTGCGGAATTGTCACTAACCTTTTAATAGTTGTTAGGATTACTCTCTGAACACTCAGGATAGCTGCTGAAGTACGGTACGATTAGGTGTTTTGGATTTCCCTTTGTATATCAATGGATGGATTATATCGGATAAGATTAGATTAGATTAGATTAGATTCGATTAGTCCAGGTAGTAATTGCATTGCTTTTATTTCAAAGTCGAATCAAACTCCTAGATTGCTCTCAGAGTACTCGGTACCGCTTCAGAAAGTGTAGTAAACTGAGTGATGATAAATGATGCGGTTGAGTGCGGAAATAACGGTAACACCAGATGATCCCTGCTGTATGAAGATTAGCGGTGCAAATTTTCTCGCAAAGAATTGATTTTCAATTGAAGATATCGCGAGTGCTTCTAGAGCACTGCAGATATTCCTATCAGTCATCAGAATAGCTCCCACTAAGCACTCCTCCGGTACAGCACCTCCTGCACCAAAGCACCCACGACTCCTACATGACCTGAAGAAGATGGAGAGACTGATGAGTCTGAGATATATCTTACCGAACATTGACTCTATGCCAGCCCGCACTCGGAGTAGTCAATCGACCACCGCCGTCCAAATAACTCGGAAAGATCTTCTCCGTTCTTCCGAAACCCCCACTGGGAGGAGCAGTCCTCAGAGGGTAGAATTTCATCTCCCCGAGGATCATACTGACAATTTTGAAGCGCAGGAGGAGCCTGAGGCAATTGAGGCGCCTGAGGTGGAAGAAATAGTTGATACTCGCCACTCAGACTATGATGATGCTCCGGAGAATGACCACAAGAGCTCTGAGGAGGATGAGGATGAACCGGAGGATGAACCTCAAGCCCCCCCAATCTTCCACCCAGAAGTCTCAGACTGTCGGAAAGAGACCTCATACAGTTCAACCAACCACTGCCAGAGCAGTGGGCAATGCTCAGAGTAAACCAACTGGCGCGGTAGCGGAGCTCATTGCTTCTTCCGACGTATCGGTGGACGTGATACAGGTTCAACTCTATCTCGTTCATTGATGCTTTTTAACATGTAAGTATTAGTGGCTAATGATTCAGAGAGGAACTCGATGGGGCGTGAAAGTAATACGTAAACAAGGGAGAGCAGCACCCACTCCAGCACCCAGCCAGAATGAACCCCAGAGAGCATTTCCGGCATCCCACAGAGCACCCCCAATACCCTCACAGTCTAGGCCCTCTCCACCTGTTTATCCTCATGAGTATGCCTCTTCTACGCGCCATATCAATTTTTCCTCGATGCGCTCTCGATAAGGGGAGTCATCCCCCACTTACCGGACATATCGTTCTTCACTGCCTAAAGAGGTAATTGGCGAGCACTCTGTGAGCAGTCGTCAGATTCCTTCAAGCCAACTTCACGGTCAAGGTCGATCGCAAAGAGTCTACAAAATCAAGTACTTTCCCTCATATAGGGAGGAGGACGAGAGTGCTCCGATGCCGGAAAGCGACGGTATTTTGATTCCGGGAAGCGAGGTTAGTATTCCGGAGGACACTCACGACATCTTTGAGAACACTGGCAACATTCCTTCAAGCCAATTGACTTAGAGGCCTGTGGTCTCTAACTCTAGGAGTGCAAATGTGCTGCGAGTGCGGGCTCAGAGAATTGAGAAGGAGTGTAGCGTGTCAATCGGGGAACATACTCTCCTATATGAGCCCTTTCCACCTGCAGCAAGACTTTCGATATTGGTAGTGAGCATGTGGGCAACTGCAAGTCGCCGAGTGGGGTGTAGAATAGACCTTGATCAGGTCGTTGTTAAACAGGTGAGTGACCCAAAGGGATTACGAGTGCTCTAGAAGCATAATTGAGAACGATTGGTCAGAAGTCTGCACTCCTGTATCCATTCCCACTTGATGCACGAGGTGAAAGGGTGCCTGATCGACTCTATGATATATGGGCTTGAAAATCTTGTGGGGCCTGAGGCAAGGGCAGCTCAAGTGGAATACCTTTTGAAGAATGATAGTTTTTTGAGCCCCCAAGAGCATTACGAGGTATGATGGATACCCAGAGAGCACTCGGGATAGCCACTGACAGATTCTAGACCTACCGACTGCGCTTTCTGTCTCCGGAAATTATCGATATATTGTATTTTAGATACTTCGATAGGGTAAGAATGCGAGGGGTTAGGGATCCCAAATTTTTAGAGCTGATAATCCCTATCTGTATTTGCCTGATATCGACGGCGATCCGGCATAGCATTTGAGCATGGTCAACAGAGAGTTACTTGAAGCCTGATAATTTTCATTCGCAGAATGAGAGTGTTGTGAATAAGTATGGCCCGATGCGCTCATTGATATGACGAGTGCCTTGGCAGCAATAGCGGATGCTACTAGGGCCATACGGGATTGCCGAGCTGACATCCAAACTCGAGTAGAAACATTCAACAGGATAAGTAACACTTGAAAGGGGAGAAGTAAACAGAATCAGGAGGCAACCTTGGAGGTAATCAAAGATAACCTTCGAGAAAAGGTATGATACTTCTAGATGCCGGTAATGCGAGTGGTATTCTAAATGCTAACCCTAATAGATACGAGATAAAAAGGGGGTAAGTATTGAGGTGATACCGGAGGAGGGTTTTAGCGAGGACGATGAAGCGCTGGCTGCGGATCTTGCCGCATTCCGAGATGCTCGAAGAACATCCAGGAGTGCTCCAGGAGGTCGGGTTCGTTCTGACAATGCCCAGTACGAAGTGATTAACGCCCAACTTCGAGGCATTGACACCGAAGAGGAGGGGGAGGAGGAAGAAGAGAAGCCAGAATTACCTGTAGCGGGGGATTATGAAAGAGGGGGGGAGCAGGATTTGTAGAACAATCGCGAGTGCTAAGGAAGATATCGGGGGATTTGTCTTTTCCATATATTGTATTAGGGTTAGTTAGGGTGTTAAATAGCGTATTGTTTTAGTATTAGGTGGAGGATCACGGTGTTGAATACACCAATTCTAAAAGTACAGTCGCGAGTACTCTGGAGGCATTGGAGATCGTCGTGCGAATGATGTTTTGGTAATCTCATGGGGGAATTGTGAATACCAGAGGCCGGTATGGCAGAGAGGTGTATGACTGGAGAGAATAGGGCACCGACATATAGGAATCGGTACATCGGGCATGAACCTGGTTTCAAAGCACCCGATCCGGCAATGTCAGGAGGGGTCAGGGCAATTATTCTATCCCAGGGCCAGCTGAAGCAGTCTGGAGTACTCCAGGAGCAGTCAGGAGTACTCCAGGAGCAGTCGGGAGTGCTCCAGTAGTAGTCAGGATGCACAAGCGAGCAACTGGTATTCTCTGGTGACCGGACTGACCAGCAGCACTAATTTCTTATCAGTATTATTCATGATTCCTGAATATTCTGAACTTACCGCTCACGAGTAATTGGATTAAATACAGTTTTCATCCACTCAAAATACAATTCTGTGTCCATCCAACTGTTGCTTGAATGTGCGTAGGAATATATCTCTAGACCAGGACTCAACACATCTGAATCGAGGGAAGAGTACCAGCCCGCTTGATGTGTTTCTCATTTTAGAATAATACAAGGTGGGAGAACAAATCCTTCCACTGCAATACATTCGAAATCAGTTATTGTTTGATGGTTACCATCTTCCATTAATTTTTTCATTTCCATTATCCTATAGTTTTTATCTCTCCTAAGGATTATATGGCAACAATTGCTACGAACAAGTAAAAATCTTTTTCGTTAAGATTGGACAGGTTTTGCTGCTGCACATGTGTAAATTCGAATGCAGCATCAAACTTGATTGGTGTTAGGCTTTCAGTTAGCGAAAATTTATTGAGAGAATTATTACTTGATCCAAAAATATCTCTAACAACTATAAACCTTTGAGACCATTCATACGTGCTCTCGTATAATGAATCTGTTGGCTCCATTTGCTCTTCCAGTTGTGTCTCTTCAAAACTTCTGCCATCCAGTGGGTTCTAACTTTAGCATCATTATTACCTCAATATGTAATTGCCCCATGCTTTGAGTGTTGACGAAATAACAGGAAAGTGGTGTTTTGTCAACTCGTCATATCGTTTCAGCAGAACCACTTCTTCCGCATATGTCAAATGTTGTCTGCTCTCTATATCGGCCAACTTGCTTCTATGCTTTTTATTGTAATGGTCTCGCAAGGTTCGAGGAGGAATATCATGGGCAATCCCTGTCTTCGCTATATTAGGATATAAATCTGGTCGTTCTTTCAGAGCGGTAAGCTCATCCTCAATCTTTCGCTGTCGCAACCGCGTCTACTCACTGACAACCATAATGAATAGAGAGCTATTTGGATCAAGCCGGCACCGTGGTTGAATAAAGTGTCGATTTGCAGGGTATAATAGCTTTAATTCTAATTTATGGCAACATTACTTAAACATCATTGATCAGCGGGAAAACTAGCCTCATCGATCATTGCCGAGAAAAACTGCGAATAAATCGTCGTAGCGACTGAACCCTTTTCTGCGGTACATAAAAGCTTCACAATTTGAGTAACATGTAGAACCCTTGGCAAAGACGTGCTGGTACACTATGTAACACAGATAGCTTTAAGCCCGCTATAATGCTAGAGGTTATTTGTAGGGTTATGCCTCTATATATGTAGACCTTTTGTCTGTCGACCACATTAAGGGACAACAAATGTTGTGGGCTACACGCAGTGTTCTGATTCGTTCTCGCTCAAAACTAAGCTGAACAAAATAGAGGCATGATGGTTGTATTAGTTTAGAATCCTCTCGTTACATAGGTATGTCTGGCTACCTACGTTTCATCATCTAGCCTAGTGCCTCCTGCACCGCCACTCCGCCATTCCGCCACTTTATTGATTACGTGTTTTCTTTATTAATGTTCTGACCTGTCCCACAATGAATCCTCCTTCCTCTTTTGTTATCGTCTAATCTACCTCCCTTTCTTTTAGCAGAACGCTTTCAGTAGCAAGAAAACAAAAAATTAAATCAAAATAAGTATACCAACGCACTTCATATAACGTGGGTCTATGGACGAAGGACTATAGTGCCAAGGAATACAACCGAGGCGAAGACGTGGTATCAATAGATTCGAGACTATAGACTATGAGGCGGTTCAATCCTGATCTGAGATCCAAGACGAGCCCTATGACGTAGCGTAGAACAAAAGTAATATTCGTAGAATAAATACAGAGGTTGCGTAAAGAGAAAAGAGAAAGAAAGGAAACAGAAAAAAGCACGAGACAACACCCCTTTATATATCCAATATCCTAGTCCGATAATGACTCATCTTCCCGCGTAACAGAAACCAAAAGAACATAATAGAAATCCCCATTACAAATCCCAATCCCACTGCGCAATACCTCCTCTTCATATTCCAGTTCATCACCTAGCTGAAATACAAAGCTGCCGTTACAGATCACGCCCCCCTCTAAAGCCTACCTCCTGGTAGGCTTAGGTTTCTCTGGATAACGCTCGTGGAATCGTTTGACAATATTAGGTGAATGCTCAAGGTCCGATAGTGGTTGCCAGGAGGCTTCATCATATCCTGTATATCGTACCAAGTACTCAAACCTTCCTCTTCGTTTCCTCGAATCCAAAATAGCTTCAACTTCCCATTCTTCCTCCCCTTCGATCTCAACCGGAGGTGGTGGCAATTGTCGTTGTCCTGGTAAAGGATCATTTGCTTCGGGCGACAATAACGAAACATGAAATACTGGATGAATCTTCATTGACCGGGGAAGTTCCAATTTGTAAGCATAGGGATTGATAATTCGCTTAACGCTATAGGGTCCAATACGTTTCCAATCGAATTTTTTGGAAGGTCGCTTCGTTAGAATATGGCGTGTCGATAGGAAAACTTTATCTCCCAGGTTATAGCGAGGTGCTGGAGTTCGATTCACATTGGCGGATTCTGCTTGTATTCTTTGTGCTCGGAACATCTCGTTTTTTAGAAATCCCACTATCTCCTTCATTTCCCGTGCAATACTATTGGCTTGGTCCTCCACAGTGGTCCTACCATGTTCTAAAAGGCCAAAGGTCATTCTTGGGTTTCTTCCCGTATTGGCATAAAACGGGGAGACCTTTGTTGTTTCGGAGGCATGATTGTTTGTCGCAAATTCAGCCATTGGTAACATTCGAGCCCAATCATCCTGTTGATAGGAAACATAGCTTCGGAGGTACTGTTCCATTACGGCATTGATTCTTTCCATTTGTCCGTCTGTTTGGGGATGAAATGCGGTAGAGAATTTTGGTGATATTTCTAGACGATTACAGATCGTCCTCCAAAATTCTGCAACGAACTGCGTTCCTCGATCTGATACAATAGTATCTGGTAGTCCATGTAGTTTCCAAACATTATTGATATATAACCTCGCTACTTCCCTTGAGTCCACTTCTTTGGTTGTTGGTATCAAATGTCGCATTTTGGTTAACCTATCAACCACGACCAAGATTGCATCATATCCCTCACTCTCAGGAAGATCGGTAACAAAATCCATTGACACATCCGTCCACGGTCCATCAGGTATTGGCATCGGACGAAGTACTCCATAAGGTGCATTTCGAGGCGCCTTGCTGCGGGTACACACATTGCAATTCCTAACATATTGATCGACGTATCTTCGCATCTGTGGCCAATAATATTCTCGGTTTAGAAGTTCTAAGGTCTTTGCTCTACCCGGATGACCTGCCGATAGTTTATCATGGTGTTCTTTTAGGAGCCTTAGCCGAAGATCATTGTCCTCTGGTACATATAGTGCACCTCGATAAAGTAGCCGACCGTTGTTATCTTCCGTACATTCGGCAAGCGAAATTTTATTCGAGTGGCGAATGCCGTTCCGAAGCATGGTAAGGATTTCGTTTGGAAAACTATCAACTTGGTAAGCTTTTGAAAATAACTCCTCTACAGTGGACGCTCCTTCAGCGGATTCATTTGATAAAGAACCCGCGAACAAACTTAGCTTTGTATCCAAATTTTTTCGCTTCAAAATCACTTGACTCTGATGCGTCAACCGTTCATCCCCCTCTTTAGGTAGGTCACCTGACCTCCTAGTCAATGCATCTGGTTTCATTCCTTGTTTTCCTGGTCGAAATTGTATAACGAAATCGAAGCGTGAAAGAAATTCGGACCAACGGGCTTGTCGACGATTTAACAATTTTGTTGTCATAAAATATTCAAGATTCCGATGGTCGCTAAGAACTTCAATTGGAAATTGAGCTCCCTCTAGGTGATGTCGCCATTCTTCAAAGCATCGTATGATTGCTAGAAGTTCTTTATCATAGATTTCATAGTTGCATTCTGCAGGAGAATGTTTCTTGGAGAAGAAAGCGACTGGATGTAGGATTCCTTCGTTATCACGTTGAGATAGGATTCCTGCTGAAATGTAGTCAGATGCATCGGTTTCTATCACAATTCTCCGATCCAGATTAAAATGAACTAGTATCGGTGCCGTTGTAAACATCTTTTTCAAAGTTTGAAATGCTTCCTCCCTTTCATCCGTCCATTCGAATTTAACGTTTTTCTTTGTCAAGGCTGTAAGTGGAGCAATAATTTTCGAATATCCTAGAATGAACCGTCGATAGAAATTTGCAAATCCTAGAAATACTTGAATATCATGAAGGTTCGTTGGCGTAGACCATTCCAAAACGTCGATAACTTTCTTTGGGTCCATTCTATTTCCATTCGGGGTAAGGATTAAACCAAGATATTTCGTCTCCTGAACCATAAATTCGCATTTTTCAGGTTTAAGGTGAACATGATTCTCATCAAGTACCTTTAAAACCTTTCGGATGTGTTCTTTATGTTCTGATAGAGTCTCGGAGTAGATAAGGATATCGTCTAAGTATGCCGTTACGA